TGCGTATCCAGCGGGCCCAGTTGGGTGTACGCACGACCGCATCCCGGACAAATGTAGCTAAAGAAGGCATGGAGGATAGAGTGTTCGAAGCCGTTCAGAGACAAAGGACGTGGCAGTCGTCCATTTTCAGCAATGTGCCTATGTCTGTAGGATGCCAAGATGTGCGCTGTCCTGCTAAGATGTAATAACGGTGCGCCTTGCGGGCGGTGCATGAAAGCAATGTTTGCGGTGATAGCTTGGAGTAGTGTTAAATCGCTCCGACGACGGATGGAACGTTCATCAATCGGATCTTGTTCGTCTCCCAACAATGGCTCGCCCCAGGGAGGCAAGGGTCTTCGTTGATCAACGCGGTACATTGCTGCGCTCAACCGCGTCGCCGCTTCCGTTCGGCCACAGCAGCAGTGCTGATAGCAATCTCGCCAGTCCAACGTTAGCTTTTCAAACGAGCGATTCCTGCTAAATCCCTCTTGAAATAACTGCACCTCATCCGCCGCGGCACAGTTCCACGCCACTTTGTGGATGATGGCGCACTGCTTCATATGTGTCCAGGCTGCGCTTGCGCCTGGGCCGTCAGGACCCGGTACTAGGCATCATCAGATCCTGTAGTTCAAGTCTGGGTGAGAGGTGGCCTTACGTGCATCTCCCCCAAAATTGTCGCCCACAATTGTAATTGCGGCCATCATTCATAAAAGCTATAAAACTCTGACTGAAACCTCTGATCGCATTATAACCATTGATTGAAGCCTGGAAAGCAGTTGACAGGACGTTTAATGCGATGTTTATCATCTATCGAAACCTGATCTTTCTCGCCATGCTGCTGGGCCGCTCTCGCCATGATGGCGCTGTTTCCAGAATGTTTTGTGTGTGGGCTGGTGAAGTTCCATCTATTAGGGAAAGTGTCGTTGCAGATTTGGGGGGTACGAGAAATTAGACCATGAAGTGGAGCAGAAGGATCCTGAAGAGGGTTGGTAGAGGGGAACTTGAAGTTGGTTTGTTTTGACAAGAAAACTGGCGAGCAAAGAAACAACCGGCTTGTCTCACATGTCGGCGGTGCCTACTGGTGAGGTAGCACATGAGACAGCTGTAAAGTGGTGGCTAGATGACCGTCAGCAGGTAATTACGGAGTATGTAATGGACCTAGGATTGGACCTGGCGTAGCACGAGACTGTGCTCTCATAAGTCATATTATGATGAGTATCTAAAAAAGAGGTAGTCTAGTATGTATTGAGGTATCCGGCAAGCGCTATGAAACAAGTAGAGTTTACTTATTACTGCCAACCAACGAAGGAAACAATCTGAAGTCGAAGAGTTTAACCGGCACTGTTAAAAACTCCACGACCTCGATCTTGACGGCCTCCCTCTACGCGAGTTGGACTGCTCCGAGATATTCCTCTCTGGCTTGTGCCACCCTGCAGGCTTTCAGGGCCTCCACCTTGCGTCGTAGTTGCAGTTCGAGCCAAGTCTCTGTGACATTCCTCTCGGCCACTGGGATCTTGGATTTGGCCGCTCAAGCAACCGAATGACCTCCGGCTCGTGTCTCCAGGGGCTGCCCCTCCACGCTCTACAATTGGCTGGCGGCGTATACCTATGCGACCTCCTCCATTTGAGTTCCTAGGTCGATCTGAGCTCAGACGGTGTTCCTCTGGCCCATCCTTGTTTAGAGCCATACCTCCAAAGCATTTGGAGAGTCCACCTCCAGCAGACCATGCTGTGTCGAGGTTGGTGTTTCGGGGACCACCGCTTCCACTACGAAGCCTAGCTGCGCCGTCTTCACTTCCACGTGGATTTTCAACGCCCTCTCTTGCAGCCACATTGGGAGTCGCTTCTCTACCCAAGAGTGCAGCTGCGCCCTGGGCTGGGGAGGGCATTGCGGGGTGTGGTATTCTTTTCGTCTCGCCCTTCACAGCTGGGCTTTCAAAGCATGTGGACAAAGCACGCCTTGCTGCTGCTGCCCTTCCCCGGGTTGCTGCTTGCTGAGGTGTGCTTGCGGGAGCTGGATTGGGATCTTTCATATTGTCCGGATTCCCACACCTCTGCCAATTTCCGCCCTGGACACGACAGCGAAACCATCGTTCCACCCGTGCTGGGTTGCGCAGGTGGACTTTGACTTCCTCTATTTGTAGATCGGACTGGTTGTAAGGGTAACGTGCTGTCCTTGGGGGAGCATCACCTTCCAATAAGATAGGACCACGGGGAGGCAAGTGTCCACCCTCTCGCACACGGGTAACCGCCGCACTTAACCGCCCTACCTCCAACTCGCCCCCGTACCGCTCCATGAAGTATCTTTGTGCTGCACGGATCGTCTTTCGGAACTGTGAATCGCTGAGGGCTCCACGCTCGAATAGCAACATCTCATAATCAGTAGCATCATTGTGAGCCACCTTTGCCACCGTACGATCTCTGTATGGAGTTTTGAGGCACCTCACCACAGGCCCGTTGGCTGTTGTACAGGTTAGATATTTCGTGCATCGTGAGAGGCATAGACATACTACAGCCCCCATAAAGAAGAGTCTCTGCGTCGTCCTCCCATGGATCCCATGTAAAGTCCACCATAGTCAATCTGAATAAGCAATGTTTGGTATTATTAAGAAACCGAGGAAACACAATGAGAGAATAGACTTGGACTACCTCTTCGTCTTTATACATTTAACCTTATTGTCGAAGGCTAAAACCTCATGACGATGCCTGCTAGCAATAGTTTCAAACCTGCAGCGTTTGGCAGAAACAGCTAGACGGTTTTTTTTAGTCAAGTATGGTTTTGGTGGTAGGAACCTAAAGAAGGAAGTGTACGTAGTACAATAGTCATGATACCAGGGGAGCCTGAGTATTACAGGAACGGCAAAGGAATGTGAGTGCCAGTGCAGATGCGAAGAAAAAGTCGTAGGGTAACTGAATAGCATACAAGAGTGCCCCTATATAGGCATCTCTGAAGGAAAGTCCAAGTATGCTTTTACCACAAGCATAAGATTTCATGGTTCAAGGAAGACCACTATCCTTCGGGAGACCATCAAGGGGATCTTTGGCGTGCACGCGGTTTCCGCTTGTGAGACACTTCAAGTTTGGGCATTTTAGTCAGAGGATGAAGAGGGCGAGTTGGATTGAAACAACCTTGAAGTCAACTGCAGTGCGGTACTAGTATGTGCATCACTGCCAAAGACGACCATGTCAACCCCCTTGGCTTGGTGGACACCCGAAGTAGATCCGAGATCAGGATCAACTTAGGACGTTACGTAGTAATGCTAGATTCCGAAACTACAAATAGGACCGAGCTGGGAAATTCCTCACCATTGCCGCAGAAAATAAAGCGTCTGCAAGCGGAAGAAGAAGCCGTAACAGGAACACGTTAGGTAAAATATTTCAAGAATTTGCTCCTTCTGAGCAAGTATTGTTGTACAATTGTGCTTTCAAAACCCAGAGGATCACATGGAAAATGACCGGGGGGGAAGAGAAAGAGACAGCGGAGAGAGTAACCTCAGCAACCATCCTCTGGCTACTTTTCACGCTCTTGCTAAATCCATTACCGGAATATGAAAGCAGTAGAATCTGACCTTCTCCTCGCCGACCATGATAAGCGACCATGATACGTGCTATGACACGAGCTCAGAACTCGCATGGCTGGTACCACTAGGCAATTTATATGCTCTCTCCCCTCAGGCGACCCAATCCGAGTCCTGAAAACCAGAATCTCCAAGCTGATAGTAGCTGTTGGAACTGCTCGGGAAAGTAGGTCTTGAGCTCGCAGTAGTCTTCAGGTCGACTCCATTCGCATGACGGCTCTCAGCCCCACTGGCCTCACTGGTATCGTTCTCTTTGCCTATGGGCGGTTTCGATGCCTTCTTCTTATCGCGCTTGGAGACAGTAGTCCAGGAATCTTCACTTTCCTGAATCAGGCGCATCTGATCTTCCTCAACTGGTAGGCCTTTTGCCCAGTCACTGCCAGTCTTTTCGGAGCCGGCAGGTCCTTCAGCAATTCTTGCATCGACGGTCTCTTCTGCCGCCCCCGTTCTACCGTTATCTGTGGAGATTTTGCGGTCTGTGACCGAGCCGAGGGGCGCTGTATCCATCCCATGCGTCACAGAAGTGGCTGATCCATGCTGGGGTTCAAAGGTATCTAACAGCGACAGTGAGCTAGCAGAGGGCGCCGCCATAGATTCCGCAGGAGGCTCAGCCGGGCCTGAGAACCAGACGTTCTGGGCTGGCGGCTTGAAGGCCGACGTCCTCGTCTGTGCCGAAGTGCCTTCAGCCATTCTAGCCCCCCGGATCTGCTTCTCCAACAACCTCTGTCTCTGCCTCTCAGCCTCCTCGACCTGCGCTCGATGGGCTTCTCGTTTGATTCGTTGCTGTCGCTGTTTTTTCGTCTCTGCCGGCTCAAATGTCCTTTTGGACTGCTTCGCTTTAGCTTTAGGGACAGGGTTTGCTGGCTCCGTCAATCGTAAGACCGATGGCCCAGCACTTGCGTGCCCGAGCATGTCGGAAATGTCGCCTGAGTTTGAGGTGGCCACTGTGGAAGTAGCCAGCAACGGGGGTGAAGCGACCGGTGATAGGTCATCATCAGCATCAGCTCCAGTCGTCGAAGACGCTCCTGTAGATAGGGAGGGTGATTCTGTGTCATTGCTGGTTCGAAGACTCCCTTTGTTCTGGGCCCCACGCTCCCTCTTATTCATGCCTGGCTTGTCCGAACCGGCTGGTTGTGTGCCCACTCTTGCACTCACCATCTCCCTGGCAAATTCTGTGTTTTTGCGGATATCTTCATCCTTCGGTGACGTCAAAGCTGTCTGTTTTGGAACTCCACCAGTACTCGACGAGAAGGCAACTTCAAGGCCACTCTGTGGAGGAGTAGCAATCTTTCTCTTCCTGCTCACACTGCTTCCAGCTGAATGCAGTTGATGAGGAGCATTAGTCTCATTTGTCAAGCTGTCAGTGCCTCCACGTTTACCCTTTGCTTTTGACTTGCGCGTACTAGCTCCGGATGCTTGGTGTGAGCTTTCTGGTGAAAGCTTCTGTGAGTTAATCTTATCGAACAAGTTTGGTCGCCCAGCGTAATGCCAACTTAGGAACCCCAGCACAGCTAGGAAGATTGCCCATGACATGTAGGCGTTCATCTTGGCTTGGGCGTGGCAGACGCGTGGTACCTGGATAATGACGGGACGTCAGTGGCAGAGCTAATGGCTGCGTTTCCGCTGACTCGGTTTTTGGTCGTGATGAAGCGGCAAGATGCTTGGATTCGAGCGTTAACCAGGTACAGAACACGAGGAAAGGTCTAATGCCCTTGTGCCATCAGTTGGGATCGGGTACGAGCAAGGGGCACTGCAAGACGAGGGAGTATGCGAGGGAACTTCACCTGTGCGCAAGAATACCAATGAATCGAACAGCCAACAAGTGGGAGCTGAACGATGTTTGGTTCGGCAAAGAAGTAGAGGGAATAACCAATGGAGAGGTTTGACGTTCTGAAATGCTGCAGTGGACAATCCACAGGATGGTGTAGCACTTCCCCTTTAATTTACCGGTTGACTGCGCGGAGAAGACGCAGGAGCCATGAGGGATAGACAGCTTGGTTAGAGGTCAGAATAGGTTCACAAACACTGTATGATAATAATGGCAGAATCATCAAGTAATATTGTGCGAGGGAGCATGGATGGGAAAGCCAAGTTCGCAACGTCTAATGCATACAACGGAGTACAGGGTTGCTAACATAAGTAGTGATCGGGCTTAGCATCTGCTTCTGCTGATTTTGGCTTCGAGCTATCAAAATGTTATGTAGGTTTACTGCATACATACTCTTCCACAAGCCTCTCATATTGCCGTAAGGCTCTTGTACCACTATCAGAAATGGGGGAAAGAATTCTTGTCTGCTAATTTCCGTCATTGCCAGTCCTTTTGCTCCTCCACTCTAGACGTGGTTACAATTCTCTCGTGGAGTTTCGTCGTCCTCAATAACTACTATTACGGACCATACCCCTGGCCATACTTAGACATTCTTACCAATATGGCACAACAGCAGCAGCTGAGTCACAAAGATGCGGCTCTGTTCAGGCAGATTGTGCGCCACTTCGAGAACAAGCAGTACAAGAAAGGCAAGTTTCGTTTGCACATCCTTGTGATCCGGCTGACCGGTTCAAAGGCCTGAAAGCTGCAGAGCAGGTATTGCGAAAGAATCCGAATCATGCCGATACTCAGGCCATGAAAGCCCTTATCATTAGCAACCAGGGGCAACAGAAGGAGGCATTTGCGCTGGCGAAGACGGCTCTGAACAACAACATGAAATCACACGTTTGCTGGCACGTTTACGGGTTACTCTACCGCGCAGAGAAGAACTTCGACGAATCAATCAAAGCCTACAAGTTCGCTTTAAGACTGGATCCCGAATCGGCACCTATACAACGAGACCTAGCCCACTTGCAGATTCAGATGCGTGATTTCCAAGGCTACATTCAAAGTCGAAGAAACATGTTACAGCAGAAGCCCGTGTTCCGTCAGAATTGGACCGCATTGGCTGTTGCGCATCATCTAGCAGGGAACTTGGAGGACGCCGAGAACGTGTTAACGACTTATGAGGATACACTCAAACAGAAACCAACCAGAGCAGACATGGAACATTGGGAGGCTATCCTGTATAAGAACTATATCATAGCCGAAAGTGGAGATTACGAAAAGGCTCTTGAGCACCTTGATGCAGTCGGAAAGAAAAGCCCGGATGTCCTAGGCGTCATGGAAATGAGAGCGGACTACTTACTGAAGCTTGGGAGGAAGGCCGATGCCGCCGATGCCTATGCTGCTCTGCTTGACCGAAACCCGGATGATTCGGCATACTACGACAGGCTGATATCGGCGAAGGGTTTTGCGGCGGGAGATGAAGCAGCGATGAAGGAGATCTATAAGATATGGTCCACAAAGTTTCCCAGATCCGATGTCCCTCAGAGGAGGCCACTGGACTTTCTCAGCGGAGATGCATTTCGAGATGCAGCCGATTCATATCTTCAACGTATGCTCCGTAAAGGAGTTCCATCAACCTTTGCCAATATTAAACATCTTTACTTGGACCGATCCAAGCTTGAAATCATTCAGGATTTGGTAGAGCGATACCTTAAGGAAGACGTGCAACCACAGATGAATGGATCTGCGGAATCATCCCCCGACGATGAGGCGTCGCGGTTTCACTGCTCAGCGCTGTATTTCCTCGCTCAACATCACAACTTCCACATGAGTCGAGATCTCTCAAAAGCACTGAAGTACATTGATGAGGCATTACAGATCGATCAGAAGTCAGTCGATTTTCACCAAACCAAAGCGAGAACATTGAAATATCTTGGCGCAATACCAGAGGCAATGGAAATAGTGGAAAAGGCAAGATCATTGGATGAAAGGGACAGGGCCATCAACACGAAATGCGCCAAATACCAGCTGCGGAACGACCAAAATGAGAAGGCGCTTGATACGATGAGCAAATTCACAAGGAACGAGACTGCTGGAGGACCGCTGGGAGATCTACACGATATGCAATGCATCTGGTACTTGACAGAGGATGGACAATCCTACCTCCGTCAGCGAAGGCTTGGTCTTGCTCTAAAGCGATTTCATGCGGCGTTCAACGTTTTCGACATCTGGCAGGAGGATCAGTTTGACTTTCACAATTTCTCACTAAGGAAGGGCATGATCCGGGCATACATAGACATGTTAAGATGGGAGGACCGTTTGAGGGATCACCCGTTCTATACTAAGGTTGCTGTTTCTGCTGTTTCTGCTTATATCTTGCTGCATGATAGTCCTGATTTGGTGCATGGGCCAATACCAAACGGTGTTAATGGAGTTGGCCAAGACGCTCAAGCAAATGCGGCAGAGAGGAAGAAAGCGGTGAAGAAAGCCAAGAAAGAACAACAAAAGCTGGAGAAGGTAGAAGCCGACAAGAAGGAAGCCCTGAGGACGAGCAAGAGTGCTGCAAAAGCCACGGATGGCGAGGTCCAAAAGGATGATCCAGATCCATTTGGCAAGGCCTTGGTGGAGACAAAGGAGCCACTGCAAGACGCCATGAAGTTCTTGACCCCGCTGCTCGATCTCAATCCGGGAAGCATTAATGCACAATGCGTGGGGTTCGAGGTTTACATTCGCCGCCGTGAGTTTCTTGCGCACCGTCTCTTCAGGCACTCAGCACTAAGTCTTGAATAGGAAAATATCTTCTTGCGTTGAAGTGCCTTCTTGCCCTCCATGCCATCGATCCCCAAAATCCAACACTTCATGTTCAGTCATATAACCTCAGAAAGATACTCAACGATGCAAATGGTGCTTCATCAAAGCTTGCACAGATCATTTCTACCGAAGGAAAGACGTTATTGCCCGAGGATAACAAGCTGGTCGAATGGAACAACAACTTTCTAAATCATCATAGATCGAGTACCTCTCATATTCAAGCCGGACTTCGTGTGCGTGCCTTAATCGGCAAGGAAGCGAAGGCAACAAATGAGAAGGATCTTTTGGAAGCTTTGTTACTCGACACGACCTCGATGGAGGAGGCTAGTACCGGACTTGAGCTGCTAAATGAATGGGGCAGCTCTAAGGAAGTCAAGGAGAGGTACAGGAGCAGTGCCGCTGAGCGATGGAGCAGGGCGTCAATCTTCCAGGCCAAGCAGATAGAGACACAATAGACCTTCTTGTTCTCTACACGTATGGGGCCTGTGGTTACGAGTTAGTAAGTATTTCTGATAGCCTTCCGCAGATGAAGCTGGTGAAATGAGGCGACGTTCAGGGTATTATGCTTCATCCCAGGTAGGAGTGGTCCCTGTGCCAGCCTCCATATTCAGGTAAGTTCACATTGAATTGCGACCCAAGAGATAAATGATGCGACGTGTCACAATGCTTGTTGCTCGTGTCGGTGTATCTCTATGCTCCCTAAGCTGTCCCTAAAGGTGCTCACCACCCGGCCACAACTGCTGCCAAGACAAAGGGATGAGTCAGCACACAAGGGAGACCACCAAGACTAATATAGCACTAGTGTCAACCCGCCCGGAGCGTGATTCCGTGAACGCGACTTGTTAGTGAGGGATGGTTAAAGTCCATCCTGTGCATGTGAGAACCGCAGCTAACACTGGGACTCTCTTAACGTCAGCCACCTGCTCACAAACTCAGAAGGAAAACCTAGACCACCCTGGAATGTGTTGCTACTGCTATTGCACCTGAAACATCAGATCCCATTCTATCGTATGCTGCCTGAGCCATTTGGATACCCCCCTTCCAGATGGCCCCGCGAAAGCGTGGTCGGGATGAGATGGAGTCTTCCGAGCCTCCCAAAGAGATCAGCCTCTTGAGCAAACTACGCAACATGTGGGAGTTTGCCTGCGTCATGCAATACATCTTCACCTTTGGCAAGGCAGTGAAAATTGATGAAGATTTTGTTATCGAGGTACTTGCTTCCACTTCCTGTCAGACCCCCAAGTTTTTGGCTTCCAAGCTCAGTCAGCTTGTTCAAAGCTATGATGACTGATTTAATGGTCAGGACTTCGAAACCGAATGCCTGAAATCCGGCCCCTCGGAGAAGCTCGAAGAAATTGGCTTGACGTTACTGAAATGGATCTCGTCACATCGTGGCCTCACGTTCGTCATGTCCGTGCGGGTGTTGCGCTCTGCCACTAACACATTCCTAGACACGAAAACTGGGATGAATATACTCGACGACAATATGTCGCCAAAGCACCGCATCTGAACCCTTACGGCACGGAAGAACAACCAAGAACATTCCGTTGCTTCGACATTTTCCAAAAGATACGAGTGTTACACCAGCTGACAGTCTGGACGTTCTGGAATCCTGATCGCCTGAGAGAGCGAATGCCCGAACAGAAAGAGGCAGACCAAACTCTATGGGCTCGTATTGCCTGACCCGTATCCTTAATCCATGCTAACTCTACCGCAGCGTATCGAAGAGCTTGGCTGGGATCGCCAAGAGCGCTCTTACTTCGTTTTAGACGATAGTCGCCTTTACCGGCGGACGGAGCCTCCACTACCGGGCGCGTGGAAAGCAAAGCCCAAGTCCAATACTCTCAAAGCGCAAGCTGCTCGGCGCCGTGCCAGCAAACGGAGAAGGATTGAAGGATCAGAAACACCAGAGATGAAGGATGGAGATGGGAGTGTTGTCGCCGACTCCCAGTCTGCGGAACACTTGATGAACGGTGATCAGCAGGTAGACACTTTGGGCGGATATAAGTGGGAATGTGTGGCAGTCAGCAGTGAACAATATCAGGGTTTTCTGAGAACCATTGAGAAAAGCCGAGATCCCAACGAGAAAGATTTGAGTTTAAGTATCATCGAGCACGTCCTGCCTGTCGTTGAGAAAGCCGAAGAGTCGCAGAGACGCAAAATGGAGAGGAAGCAGAAGGAGCTACTAAATGCTCAAAAACTTAGTGGCGCAAAGCGTTCTAGTCGGCTGGCTGACAAACAAGAGCGTGACCGGCAGGAACGCGAGGCTGTTGAGGCTGCTGAGAAGCATGCTGCGGACCTCGCTGCTGCCCATAGGGAACAAGAAAGACAAACCAAGCTCGAACAGGATCGACAATCTAGGATGATGACTAGGGAGCAGAGAATCAAAGATCGAGAGTACAAGAGATTACTACATGAGGAGGAATTGGCCAGGGTGGCTGAAGAAGCTAAGCGAGTTGAAGCAGGAGAAGCTCGTGGGTCCGAGCGACACCTCAAAGCTCAAATGGAGAAGCACAAGCGTGACCTTGAAGATCTTTGCTCAAACGAGGACTGGGTCTTTGATTGCTCAGGCTGTGGGATCCATGGCAAAAATGTGGTATGTTCTGAACCTTTCGCAACCAGATTTCTTGTTGGCTGATATGTGGCAAAAGGACGACGGTGCACACAGCGTTGCTTGTGAAAAGTGTAGCGTATGGCAGCACAGCCAGTGCTTAGGCATTCGACGCATTGAAGCCGAGAAGGATGATTTTCATTTTGTTTGCAAAGACTGCAAGCGGAAGACTGAAGACGCCAAAAGGCCAAACATCAAACTGAAATTTCGAGCTGGTCTCTCATCGTCCCCACCGCAGGCGAGAGAAAAACCTTCCACTGAAGCGCCATCTCCCACGCTGAAGTTTAGAGCTATCGAGGTACCTACACAATCGTTGCAGAATGGGAGGGCCTCCAGTCAAGGCCAAAGTACCAATGTACCGATAGATTCGTCTCGCAAAATGGCAAACGGGCCACCATCATCGCCATACCTACAGCATGCCGCTTCCAACGCGTCGAATTATCATATATCACATCAAACCTATGCTTCGCCAAATGCACGTCCACTCTCGACGTTGGCGTATCTCAGTGGTTCTCAACAACAACAGCCAACGTATCCATATCCATTAAATCCCCCGCACCATCAATCGCCTTCGCCGTCTCTGTACACAAATGGTCATGCACACAACCCCTCACAACATGTCCAAGGAGGACGACCGGCTTCGGCATATGTAAACAACAACTTCTCACCAGATAGAGTACATCACTCTCAAGATATCTCCCATCAACGAGATTTGTCCCTTACATCTACGCCACAAGTAGGATCCGTTGCCAACAAGTCGCCATATAGCACTGTCCCAAACCCAACCACTCAACACCAGGGTCGTCTGCCCTCTCCAGTGCTCAACCGCCCTTCCATGTCTCCAACCCAAGGTAACGCCGATGTGGGCCCTCTTGCTGGGATACCGCATCATTCTGCAATAGGCTCAGCAATGTCTCCGCCTCCATCTCAACTACCGATGAATCAATCCTTAAACCACTCCATTGCATTACAATACCACAATCAAGCTCAAGCCACCCCTTACACAAACGGGGTCGCCACCAACCAATCACATACAATGCACATAAACCCCACTGAGCCCCAAGCTCAACTTCAACACCAGCAGCAACATCAAAAGCTCTCTGGCCTCTCACCCACCAAACACTCTCCGACTCTGCCCGCACCATCCACCACAGCGTCGAACGATCATCCTTACGCACACCCATCTTCATCAACACCTCAAATCCCACCGGCAACCGCAGCCGCAACCGGAAGTGGCCCCCGCCGCTCCATATCTGGTGCACTCATCTTCCCACCCACAGAGATGCTACATCCGAGCCCCGAACAGTTGAGTAAGAGTCCGGTGCCTACGCCTAGCAAGGCGATGACGCCGGCTGCTGTGGGGGAGGGGGAGCTGAGACGAGTCAGTAAGGAAATTAAGGATTGGGTTGATGGTTAATGGAGAGAGCATCGAAAGGGGCGTTGAGAGGAGGTGTGTCTAGGCTAGGTATGGCGGAGAGGAGTTGATGTCTTGATCTGACAGATGACGAGGATGGCACGTTGCATCTTTTTTGGAGGAGTCTCGGGCTCCTTTCTGTGTTATCGTCGCTGTGTCCGGACGGATGTGCTCGCTTATTTTGCTCTTGTTCTCGTTCTCGTTCAGCATGGCGGAAGGAGGCATAGGGATAGCATGGTATGGTTTGACAGGCAGCGAACACAAAAGCAACTCCTTCCCCCCTTCCCCCCTTCCCCCCTTCGCCTGCGCATCTTAAAGCTCGGCGAACGACTTTTTGGCATAGCAGCAGCATTCCCTTAGGGACCTAGCAAACCTCGATGAGTGAGAAACAGTAGATAGATAGATAGACCTCGATATCTCTTGAATCAACGCTCTTCCGTAACATGCTGCGTGTGCCCTCGTTTCGCATGTCGGAATCATGCTAAATGTCAAAATCTATTTTGCGATGTATCATGGCCCAGAGTCGGTCTGCCTGGGTAGAAAGAGCGCCTGTAACTAGTAACTTATGCTTGGTCTTGAATAAGGAGAATGGGAGTGGCTTAGCTTAGCTTAACTAATAGCTAATAGCTAATATTCAGCCTTGAACTCCGTTCTGATGGATGGATGGATGGATGTAATTTACTGCTATTCACGAACCGGGGGGACGGGGCTATGTATATGAATGTCACAACTGCCATCAACGCTCAAGGCACGTTCGGCACAGTGAGGCTGTTCTACGGGGTACTTTACTGATTTTCCATCCTTTTGGGTTCCTGATATTCGGTGGTTCAGTGAAGATGAGCATGTCAGGCCGACACTCCAGCCGTTTCGTCTGACTAGGTAGAGGGGTATCCATGCATGCCCTTCTCTTTCCCGGCGAGATATCTAGACGTGACATTCCAAGGTTTGATTTCTCTTTCCAGAAGTCGATAAATAGTAGAGGCACATGGGCGAGACCAATGAGGGTTCGTTCAGTGGGGGCTTTTGATTTTGCTTTGGGAAGTGAAGAAGGAGAGTCAATCTCTTCGGTGTTGATTGGGAATGCGTCTGAGCGCTATTATCCACGCCTCCCCCCAGGGCAGAGTCTACCGCAAGTTTCAGTGTGATCTGAGATATGAAACGGTAGCTGCAAAATAAAATTTGATAGCTATTGAGGCCGAAAATGAGGAGATCGAGAAAGAAGTGTATGTGTGTAAGAAACGTTTGGTGGGCATGTGCGTCTAGAACTTTCGGATTGAGGTTGTAGACAAAAAGAATCCGCATAGCCACCATGATATTAGGAGATCCTCAACGTTTTCATGGGGTGAGGAATATTTAAAGATCGAGAATATCCGTTGTAATAGGTCCGGTGGATACCTGGACCAATGCCGCGAATCAACTCTGTTCTGTGGAGGGAACTGGCTGTTTCAACTCTGCACAAGCGCCCGGGGTGGTGCTGACACTGTACAATATCCCTTTTCGGTATGCACTAATTTTGACTTTCTGGCCCCATGATTGACCGTAGGATGAATGCCGTTGAATTTGTCACGACCAGCGCTTGTTCTGGGGGCGGATGTAGGTTTGGAGCAGACTATTTCCCAGTGCACCAGGCTTACTTCTAATCGTAGAAGCTTGCATTGAGATCATTTTCCGCTGCGATACCACCCTTCTTTCTGCATCTCGAGGCAGGACTTCGCGGAATGGGTCTCGGGTTGTGCAACCACCGGGCGTTTGTGGGGAGGCTAAGAGCGAGGGCACCTGGGGCGTCTAAGGAGTGTTACACATAGACAGGTGTAGAAGTTCGGCCTTCCAAACTTTGTACGATTTAGTTGCGGAGAAGCTTCGATCGAGATCCGTGTGAGGTAATCGCAACCTGGACCAAAGCATCTTAGTCCAACCGTGCTGTGTACGTGACTTACTTTGCCCTAGAACGATGGCTCGAACCCCGGCACATGGCTGAACCCGGCTGGACTTTTTTGTCACCACTTGAGATCAGTTACTGTGACGGTTGTGCTAAGTCCTGCAAGCCTTGATCAGTAGGTGGCTCCACGGCCGTGACTTTTGTGGAACTCTGCTCTCAACTGGACTGGCATCTCCCGGCCGTCGAGTAGAGACATCAATTCATGGAAAAGGGACTGAGCCAACAGGAAAGTGCACATGGTATTGTAGCCGCTATGGTTATCGATCAGGCACACAAAACAAGATTTGTCATATGGGGACGGTGGTTTTGTAGTGATAGCTCCAGGCAAAAGCAGGAGTAGCTAACATGACAGCTGTTAGATGCTCATCACAAATTTATGCATTTGAATAAAGAACGAAATGATCAAATTCGAAACGACCAAACCAATAAGAGCAGCAGCTACTGAGTGAACCCTACCGTACTTAGCGTTTGGCTCGGCATGTTGTTCGAGTAGTAAGCTGCTCCCAGATTTCGGACATCCAGGCTCCGAGTAAGGGTACCATTCAGTTTAACATAGCAGGCCGTTGCATCTATCTCTTGCCTTCGTACCATCATAGTGACCGCCATCAACAATGGTACCGAGAGTTGGTGTGTGGGTGTGGGGATGAAATAACGAAGATCTGGGGTGAGACGTGCAAGCTCCAACTCTGTTGCCTACAAATAACCATCTTATGTGGGGTTCAAGCGTTGTGAACCAGGCACAAGTTGTGGCTGCTCTCGGCGCACCTCCGCATCTTGCTGAATCAGGTCATCTTCGATCTACAGGTCAGACATCGTGTAGCTCAGGCCTTTCGTCCGGCTCAGCCATGGGATAGATATGAGAAGTACACAATGTCAGTATAGGCCACGTGTTGTCCTCATTGACTTGCGCCTTTCTACCCTGGAGATATCATGGACATTGCAAGTGTGGTTGAGTTTAAGGGACCCTGCAGGCATGCGTCCAGCCAATCGGTGAGCAGCCGGCTGAAACCAGCCGCTAGCGTCATGATGATTGGTGGTTTAGCCGCAAGAAGCATGGCGCCGCCTGTCAAACAGCGCCTTCCGCTTCCGGGCATTCCTCCTGGAATCACACCCACATTCCCCTAAAAATACGCCCTGAAAGTGATGAACATTGAAGATTAATGATCAGTACTCGGTCTATAAATATATAACTCGCCCCTATGTGCATACAATAATGGGCAGATCGGGGGGGACGGAGAGTTCTCTGGGTGGCGGTGAGGACAGGCCTCGGGATGTAACAAACGTGCCTGCCGAACCCACTCCACGCATGGAGATCATGCTTGTAGCCTAGATGAGGTTCATGCTATCGAGCTGGAAAGCAAGCTAGCATTGCTCTAACCGCAAGGCCACGGCAAGCTCCCGCTGACACCTGTCGCGGTTTATCAATGTGGCGGTCGGTCATAGTTCCTGCTGACGGCCAGCGCGGGCAAGGCTCTTCAATTTGCAGCTCATAAATAGGCTCATGACCTTGTGATATATTTCGGGCAAGGCTTGCCATTTCAGGGGGAGTCTGCTGGAATGTGGCAACCCCTGGCCGGCTTCGCATTTTCTGGACGCTTTGGCCCTCAATGGCCGCTCCTCATGGTGGGTGAAGGTCAATTTAGCCGCACTCATGCGCTGCGGCTGTGGCTTTGAGACCCTGCAGAATCCTGGTTCCCTCTTCTGGTTTGACAGAGGCCTGCTCAGACATGAGTACAGAAATGAGTAAAACCTTGAACCAGTGGGGCCAGGGATACAGCCTCCATGATCTGTCACTGGTGTCATGTCAGAGTGGAGAACATGTAATATGACAGCGAAAATTAGCCTTGGAGGACGAGCAAAGCCTTCCCGGTCATGAACAGAGGGCGATCCAAGATTAGTGCTTAGGACCATGACATATATTCTTGCCGGTATGAAGCGCGTAACGCTTCTCAATGCTGAAAGCAGGTTTATAAGGAAGTCATGGATTGACTCGTTTGATGGTCTAGCCGTGTGAACATGCCGCATCCGGCCATCTGTATCCGAGAGCATCAACATCCTCAGCAACACTGCACCCAGAATAAACCTGTGACTTGACTTAACAGGCGAATGGGTTTCCTGCAGACAACTTATGTTCCAAGACAAAGAAGTTGTCGTCGTCCTTCATCCACCTTCGTCGGAAGCATCTTCCCACCACAAAGATCCCAGACAAAAAGCCTCCACAATTTGCCATCAAGCATCGATCAAGCTCAGTCAAGGAGCCGTACCTAGTGAAATCTCCCATTTTGAGACCGTCTCAGATTCAAGCAGATTACAGCAGTGATCCGCTTCTGAGCCCAGGCCAAGACACACTGCTGGTGCGGGTATCTGCAACTATTCATCCTGGGCTCTCCGACATCTTGCGGCCTTACCTACCAAACAACGGTGTTCTTCCATTATCCAACAAGAAACAACGGGCTCCAGATGTTGACAACGATTGCTTTGTAGCAGACTCTCGGAACAAAAAGCTTTTCTAAAACACCTTCATCAGCGCTCGCCTTAGTGACAAGGTCCCGTCATTTGCCATTGGCTCTAGCTCCGGCGGACGGTCAACAACAGCGCCATAGCCAACAGTTCAACTGACCAGGGCTGCCGTTACATCTTGTGTACATCAAACAAAGGTGTGCTGCTCTGCATTGAATCGCGGCCTTCCCGGATTGTCCTGTGTCGCCTTTCACTAGCAGCTTTGGGTCAGTCCGCAGATAGCCTTGCCGCGGCATGAGCAACGCATAAATCAGCAGCCAGAGAGGAAAGCGAGAATCATAACGACAACAAATTGCCCAATCTAGCAACAAAGGAAACACTGTTACTCTAAAATAGAGAGCACGAACAAAAACGGAGCCAACTAAGAAAGTAACCATTCATCCTCTTTACCTGTAGAATCATCGACATGAGTGGTACACCAACTGCTGTGAAGCAGCAGCCACCATCGCCACCTCAATCCATTGATGGGGAATTCGACTTGAGCGCTGTTCAGCAACATATAGCTGCGCTTGAACAACAGGCAGTGCAGCCGCAGATCAACACTATTGGCCTGGCTGAACAACCAATAGTGAGTGAAGAAGACTTCTCTTCCCAAATTGAATCGACAGCTAATGCTGATAGGATCAATATGGAGACCCCTCCGACTATCAGATTGCTAGCAACCACGTGTATTACCCTTCACAACCTGTAAGGATCAAGCATAGACGCTGGACTAAGGACCACACGCTGACTCGATTTTTAGGGTTTTCATCAAGCGAACCATCCTGCAACACCTCCAATCACAGGGTACGACAGTGTCATGCGAACAAGAAGCGGTCGATCATTGGGATCTCCCCTGACAAGCACAAATCCTGAAACGAGTCGCAGATCCAGATCGCCTCGGCCCAAAGCAAAGCGACCTCCACGGAATGCTAAAACAAATCGGGCTGTAACATTGGAGGAGCCACTGAGCATAATGACCAAGAATTGGGCGGTTCCTCTTGCAGACATCGAAGCCAAGGTCCATCGACCAGCAGAGCAACGACAAGCAGAAGTCAACAATAAGAAAAACAATGGTAAAGTGCCAAGGCCAATGAATTCCTTTATGCTGTATCGGTCAGCCTACGCAGAACGCGTCAAGGAATATTGCAAGGAAGGCAACCACCAGGTCATTTCGCAGATCACTGGCGCTAGCTGGTCGATGGAGCCTCATGAGGTCAAAGAACTCTATGAGAAGTATGCAGACATAGACAGGCAGAATCATTCCAAGGCTCATCCTGATTATAAGTTTGCACCGAACAAGAACGGACCAGCAAGCAGAAAAAGGAAGGGTCGCGACGATGAAGTCGACTCGATCGACTGGGAAGACCAAGACTATGAAGCAAGCAGTGGCCACAGTAAGCGTACCCGGTATGGCCAGAGCGTGGAAAGCCGCAGTCATTCGTCGACCCCGTTCGAGCCCATGAGACAGCAAAACTACGCTGCGGTACCAGTAAGCCGTTATGCAAATCCATCTTCGTACCATGCAACAAATCCGCGAAGCATGCCTCCAGCTTATCCTCTCGACATTAACGACCAGTATTACGAACAGTGGGCCACTCCGTACACCAGCAATGTTGAGGACGTTCATGTACGCAGAGTCAACCAACCTGGCGCAATCTCATATACTTCGATAGATGATCAATCGTTAGTCGGTCTTCCTCAGGGTGGGCTCCCCAGCCAGATCCAGCCAGATCCAGGATATGGCGTGCCACAGCCAATGCACATGGATCCCTTAGATCCGCGTCTGGAGCACTATGGCGCACAAGACTCTTATACGCAGTATGAACCGGTGGATCTGGCACATCGTCTCGAGCCACAGTATGATTACGGCCAGGATGATATCTTCGGAGCCACGACATATGCTTATTCAGAAGCAAGTCGTCATCCAGGAATGGCAACTTTGACGTCTCCTCGAGGGCCGTGGGATCACCCTCTACCAGGTTCTGATTTTGACGAGGAAATAGGGAAGTTCCCGTAACAAGGAAGCCCAAGGCTCTTCATTTGCTCGGAAACAAGGTGACGTATCGAGGTGTCCGGGAAAGCTCATTCGATAATAGTGGTGTTCCACCTGTTGCAAACTTCGAAGCTCCAAGGGGCCTCTCCAAAGCGTGGTTTCCTCGACTGCATTGATGCCCTTTATTCCTGCATAGGGCTGGTGTCTGATTTTGAAGGAAGCAACTCCCTATTCGGAGGGCAGTATATTTTGCTTCTTAGGTTTCCATATATGCCGTGATGGCGAGGCTTCAGCATACGTCGTTCGAACTGAATACAAATTCTTGACTCGCAAACATTCTTTGCGTAACCTCGGCCAAGTCCGACTGTAAATAGATTCTTTGTCTCATGCATGTATCCGTGGTTCAAATTGAAGAGCCGAAATGTTTAGCCACCAGTCGCGAAAGCAGCTGTAGAACTCCATGGTTTGCATCCTGGATGATGAGACGGGCACGATAGGGAAGAGGCGATGGTGGGTAAGAATCTGGGAGATCTTCACCTCGCATCATGCGAAATATCGAGGCTTGTCCTGGAATTTGAAATGTGGTCGTTAACACGTCCGGAAATAGCAAGCCGGACCGACTCTGTAGCCGTTGCGCCAAGATCCTTGTGCTTCTGAAAACTTCAATTGCTGAACGTGGACCCAAAGGACTGGTTCAATGGTATGAAATCTAGTAATTTAGCTATGTATGTTCTAGGACTTAAGAGGTCCATCAAATTGAGGGAAGTCGGCGAAACAAAGGGGGCTTTGAGCGATATGGTTTTGACTTAGCTGGAAAGAACCTTGAGTTAGTAGGCGATTTCCATCGGGAGAGCGACGCCTACCCAACTTATTGGACCAAAAGGACCGTGAACTAGCTGATGTTTGACACAACTATATAGAAACATGGCGGCAACGCTGGCTGAAAAAAAGACCTGAGCAGATATTTGACGCTCTGCCTCCATGCAGAGGTCCCCAGTCCACCATCTCAGACTATGGTAACTTGCTTCGTCCCATGTGAATTCCTGCAAAGACTGCTGCGCGGCCCAACCACCTTCGTGTTGAGGATATCAGAGGTTCGAAACTATGGTGCCCTGCCATTCTCGAGCAAGAGCGCATAAGTGAGCATTGCTGCATGTGGAGGCCATAAATCTTGCTAATTTCTTTAGAAAGGCCTCACGTGTCCTTCCGGATTTCTTGCTCTAGTTTCCGACTGAGCTTGCGCATCTGCTGCTTTCATTTGCTTCTTATACTCCTCCCGTCCTCTCTTCAGGACGCCAAGAACACTAGAGGTGGATCCAACTTTGCAGTTTCTGCAACCATTCCTTGGTCTGCCGGCAGGGCATCGGCAGGCACTGCTTTGTAGGTCTCGCTCAAAATCTGACAATGGCGTTGCTTCGCATGTTCGTCTGGTCGAAGGTCGTTCATAGCCAGTCACATATACAGGATTGCGGCTTGAAATGGAATAACCGGCGGCCTTGCGGTGTCTCGACATGCTGCCGCTGGAACACTCACGCCTCTCCGGCTGATAACCTGATATGGGATGCTCCCATAAGCTACTTGTGCTCTTCTTGTGTGACATGACAGATGGCGGATTCTGCTATGGCCAAAAGAAATTTGTGTTTAGGGGGAGTGTCTCAACAGCGCCAGATAAAACGAAAGTGCGCGTGGAAGTTGAGGATAGGATGATGTTTGAAGGTTGCGTAGAATCCGGAAGATGTCAACAGCTGCCGGGATGACCATGATTCTTGCAATGCTCGAGATCGAAAGCTAAGGTTGCCAGTAGCGTATATAGGAATCCAACCACAGATGATGCAAGTCGTGCAGCATGCCCCAAAGAGCAATTGCCTCATGTTTCTAATGCTCATGCAGAGAGACCAAGCTTCCTGAATACCCCATCAACTGCAGAACCCTTTGAGAATGTACGCGTGTTCTTGAACTTGCTTCTCTTTTTCTCGATATCGACGGGGCTGTTACAAGAAGAGCCGCATTGCATGGAAACAAATGAAATGGAGCCATTTGAGATGATGAAATACCTACCGATACAGAGTTTCAGGCCACCGAGGTGTCCGCCGCTTTTGAATTTCAATAAAAAGCACGAGCTCATCGTCCAGTATCTTCAATCTACCCCCAATAACACTGCTTCACGACGAGGGAGGGAGTTCGAGCGTAGGGACTGCGACTATGCCCTAACCATATTCCTTTGGTTACGAAAACTGCTTTGCCGTTCTGATTAAGCCCACAGGTTGCGTGACCCATGCTGTGGTAAATTGGTGATGCAAGATCATGTTCAATGATAGAATGTGTCTAAGAGCTTGTTACTTTATGGAGTGTTCCAGAGGCTCATCAGTGCCAGCGACGCAGGGCAGCATCTGCTGTGTAAGTGAACCACGGTTAGGCGGACCGGCTCGCCATTGGTCTCCAGCATGTGAAAATCCAGCAATCCAGTAGTTATGAGCAAGCAGACACGTCAATATCGTCGTATGGATACATCATACAGCGAATCGCCGGCTGATGAAGATGATCGAGCTTGTATTTGCAAGGTACGCATTGCAGCACCAAGTAACTAACTTACTGTAAAGTTGGATCCCAGCCATCATGAGTGGATCCAGATTTGGGTGCACTATCGAAGACGTCTTTCCTGCCACCACTACCACACCATGTGGTACTTTAATCAACCTGCACGTTCATCCCGCCGTTTTGGTAACAGACGCCTCTTTTCAGATCTCTGAGACGTGGATTACTGTGTGATATGCAAGCTCGACACAGGTATGATCCAGCAACTCTTTGTTGGATTCACCAGAACTTCTTTCCAAAACTGACACTTTCCAAAGGTTATCTAACTGTCAACCATCGACGAGACGTACAACTTCATATCGCATAAGGCATCCTAACATACGCTATGCTTCCTCGAATCCGAATTTTTGCCCTCCCTGCAGCTTTACTTGCACTACTGGCAATCTTTCCTCACCAGATACATAGCGAGGAGCTTCGGTGGCCCTACAATCTGCCTTCATATGTCAAGTACTATCCAGAAGAAGAGGTCTTCGTCAAGAGAGACGAGTCTCTTCAGCAACAGCTGCGGCAGCATTCAGTGGTGGGTGTGAAGAAGATGAGCGATGATGAGGGAGAGAAGTTCTACCTCGACTACTGGACATTTGGGCCGATGGGCAGTAATGACGTGCTGGAAGACAGCAGTCGTGGAAAGCGAGGCCGTGACGAAGAAGGACGAGACACGCGTGGGCTCAATGGCACCATCAGTGAAAAGGCTATGCCACCCTTCCTTCTCCACTCGACCAGCAACAGCATGGTTGCAGGCAACATGCTGTCACGATATATACGCTTCCCAATCTCACAACGATCTAGCTTCTATCGCCGGGACTTTCAATGTCCAAGCGGAACCTCGAACTGCGCATCCATCAGCCGCCCAAACATCTGCTGCGCCGAAGGTCAAACTTGTCAATTGGTACAAGACACAGGACTGGGGGACGTGGGTTGTTGTGCAGCAGGGGAGACTTGTGGAGGATCCTTGTCGGAATGCGCATCTGGCTACACGGATTGTCCGAATCATCCAGGCGGCGGTTGCTGTATTCCAGGATATGCTTGCGTAAGCGGTGGGTGCCTCCTCAGCTCTACAGCAACCGTTGTTGTTGTTCCCTCAACCCTTTCCACGCAGTCGTCATCTTTGACGACACAACCTCCTAGTTCTTCTACAGCCATCAGGTCATCCTCGCCGACATCGACTGATGTTGTTGCTCCTCCCACAACATCACAAACGCCTTTGCCCTCCACTACGCAGAGTCCGAGTGAAATCTCCCCAACTACCGCCACAACATCTACTACTCCCAGTACAACAGTCTGCTCATCAGGCTTCCGATTCTGCCCAGCATCTCTTGGTGGGGGCTGTTGTCCTACAGATCGAGCTTGTGGGCGAGATGTTTGTCCAGAATTATCCTCGACGGCAACTATAGGTGCTCCAGTACGGCCTACGTCCGATGTACCAACCACGGATACCGGAGCCTCGATAACAGGATGTCCTACGGGCTTCTATGCTTGTAGCGCGTTTTACCAGGGAGGATGCTGTCGCTTGGGGAGAGATTGTGCGCCCACTTCGTGCCCGACCAGCGCCACCACAACCTTGATCGATGCAAATAGCGTAACCATCGTCGCGACGATATCAAGCGGTCTTTCGGCAAATACAATCTTGACTGGAGCATGTGCAACTGGGTGGTCTAGCTGTGCAGCCAGCGATGGAGGAGGATGTTGTCCGACAGGATATGCGTGTGGGAGCAGCTGCACTGCCACTGCGACAGTGTCTAGTTTGCAAGCTTCTCAAGTGGGGAAGCTCGCACCTAATGGAGCTGTTCGTGGGACTGGTAAGGGGGTGGTGTTGCTTGGGACCAGTACGGCTTTAATGGTGCTCATATTTCTAACTGTATAGCAAGTTTTAAACATAATGATGAGATCACATTATACAAATCACTGTACGTTCATCTATTTCTTTAGATGTTGAGAACTGCAATAGATTAAACTTCACTTTTGTATAGAAGAGAGATATGATGCTTTGCAAGGGCGTGTACCTGTGGCTATTTGCAAGGGTGGGAGGTTCAACAGCAGACCCCTAAAATTATTCTTCTGATTAACTAGTTAGTTCAGCCACCCATTGCTTGCTCACAGATCAATACTCCGTACTCGTCATAGCGATCTGCTTCTGTGACTACGATGTGCCAGACTCTTCACTGTCTTACTCCATGACCTTTTTCTTGCTAAGCATGCTTATGAGGTAGCAAGGTACATGATGCAGTCTGCTTCCGGACCTCAACGGGCTTCTCAGCGGCGCAACGCAACTATCGACCAGACACCCGGCCAGCAAGTCCCTAGCATGGCCTCCAATACAGTCACGAACGCAACACCACGGACGTCTTCAGGCTCGTCAAGATCACAGACGTCGCGGGGTGCGAACGTAAGTGTGGCGCTTGGAGACCCTTACTGCCTTACTGCCACCCGGTCACGCAAGGCCAGCGCACCCTGAAGGGAGCATTTTTGCTGACTGATATGCGTAGCAGCCTGATAAGCAAATGTCCCAGATCGAAAAGAGCGTGACCCATCTCCTGGTGGCAACGAAACAACTGTTGGAGACTCTGACCCAATGGTCCCGTGGTCAAGCGCAGGAAGAGGAAGTCTCAGACGTGTACGTTCGACTGGGCTACGAATTCAATCTAGCCTGTAGAGCATTCAGTTCAATCGGTGTTGAGACTTCAGACCTTGGGCCAGTGCCGGATCTGTTACGGTCCATATTAGAGGACACTCTTAGCCAGCCAGCTTCGCCTCAAAGCTTGGACAACTTCTTACCACGCATCCGAGATATCATTATTAACCTTCTTCATGGCCTCAAAAGGAAGCAGGCGAAGCTTCGAACGCGCTCCAGTAAGGATTCTGCCAGCAAAGTGCACCCTCCTATGAGACAAGCCAGCGGCGCCAGTCTTGGAGACAATGATGCTGGTCTGACACAAATGCTGGAAGATGTCCCGCCACAGACCCAAAGCAACAGACAGGGCGAGAGCAGGACCGAGAGCAATAGCGCCCGGGAAGAATTAAATGGTATGCCGTCCCGGACAACGTCAAATGGAGCTACCACACCTTCATCGAACCGTCACAGTTTACGAAGAGACATTCATAGAACGATTCCACAGTCAACCTCTGGTTCGTCTCTGTCTAGCAATGCGGCACAGAACATGCCTGTACTCCCGCCATATTCCGATCCACAGCAAACTGCGCCTCGACTGGATACTGACATAAAATCCCCATCATCATTCCCCCATCCACCTCCACCTCCTCCCAAACAAATGGATGCTTTTGCAGCCCTGCAGAGAGGTGGTGACCTGGAAAGGAGGGCATCTCGGCGATTTTCGAGTTATCAAATATCTAAGCATCTCGGAGCGTCTCCAAACGGCATACCGTTAATCCCACCTGCGCAAAACTCACCTATTCCAAATCGAGGTCGAGATGATCGAGAATCAATGAATGCAGTGCAGTCACGTAAGTCGGCTCAGCATTCCCGGCAGCGCTACCACAACCGCCATGGGGACCTGTCTCCAAGCAAGAGTGGCACTGTGAAAGCCCCAGAGCCAATATCAGAAGAGAGTTCAGAAAGTTTGCAACAAGCTCCTGATCTCCCTCCACCTACAAGACCGGATCGTGATGATAGCCCCACTGTGAAGACACCGGATGAGATGTACGGACGTGGCGATCTTAGCCCAAACGAAAAGCCAGCTATTTCAGCGACGTTGAACGGTCCCCCGCCCTCCCTACCTCCTGAGCCAGCACTTTTTGTCGTCGAAGAGGAGGCTAAACCTATCCCTTCCGAGCGTCAGCATACGCCGAGTCCAAAACCTACAGAGTCCCTACCCAGCTCCGAGGATAGGGTAAAGAAAGTTACACCACCCTCCCAACAGTTTGTTCCGGAAGAGTCTCCTCCGCCAGGAAAAGAGCTAACTCTGTTTCTTCAATACAAAAGCAAAATCAAGAAATTTGTGTTACCCGATGGTTACGATGAACTCACTGTTGCACGATTGCAGCTGGCATTCATTGAGAAATTCGCCTGGAATACCCACAACAATGGAGTAGATCTGCCCGAGATCTACATACAGGATCCAGTCTCTGGTGTCAGGCACGAATTGGAGGATCTGTCCGACGTCAAAGATCGGTCAGTGCTGGTGCTCAATGTCGAAGTCCTTGATGAAGTGAAAAGACATTTCGATGACGGCATTGGAAACGTTCAGAAGATGCTGGAAAGTGTTCGCAGCACTCTTGATGGTCAAGGATCTATGATGGAACGGTTTTCAAATCGTCAGTTGGAGGCTTCCAAGGAGATGGCTCGCATATCTGCAGTTCCTCGACAGGCTGTTCCCGGTGTTGGTCGTGTGCAGTCCGGTCGTTCAACCCCTGCTAAACCTCCCGCGAGCATCTCAGAAGTACAAAGCCTTCGGCGCGACATCGCAGCATTGCGACAGACATATTCCAGCATGTCAACGGACTTCGCTGCCTCTCTGGCCGCCATCAGACAAAAGGGTGCCAATGTCAAATCAGCCGCCGCGGATGCTGTTGTACCTACATTCGAGGGAAACGCAGGCCGAGCGCACGTCAACAACGGCAAGAAAGTATTGCTCCACGATTCGGAGGCGCTTGTAAACCGTGTCGACGATCTTTCGGATCTCGTCGAAGACCTACGCAAAGATGTAGTGACTCGTGGTGTGAGGCCTAGACCACGACAACTCGAGGAAGTCAGCAAAGACATTAGCGTGACGGTCAAAGAGCTCACGAAGATGAAGGAGTTCCTGAAACGCGAGAAACCGATCTGGACCAAGATCTGGGAGAAGGAACTAGATCTGGTTTGTCAAGAGCGTGATGAGCTGACCCAGCAAGAAGATCTGATGGCTGATTTACACGGCGACCTTGAAGATCTTTCTGGGGTGTTTAAGCTTGTTGAGGAGGCGACGAAACAGCAGAATCTGCAGAACGCAACGCCCGGTGGCGGCATGAGGAGCACATCGCGCAATTTACCAATAGACCCAGATATCGATCCACAAAGGGCCAAAGATGGGGTGTTAGGAGAGGTCCGTGCACTCCAGCCCAACCATGAGGACCGCTTGGAGGCCATTCAAAGAGCGGAAAAGGCGAGGCAAAGGGAATTGGAAGCTCGTAAAGGAGGCGAGTTCCAGCGTGAGGTAGAGAAATTCGTAGAAGAGGGTAAACTCAAGAAGACGGGCGGTGCGGAAGAGGTAGAGCGGTTGAGGAAGGCAAAGGACGAGAAGGCAAGAAAGGAGAACTGGGAACGGGCTCAGCAGCGGCAAGCGGAAATGGAGGCCAGAGAGGTGGAGCAGAATGCTTCCAGTGCTGCTGCCGGAGATGAAGAACAAGAATCTACTGCTGATGCCCGACCGAACGTCGCATCATACCCCGAAGTTCAAGACGGGACGCCAAACTCAGGCGCTGACCACGACCAACGTGCACCATTGGAGACTGATGGAGCATATGAAGGAGAACAGTCAAGCAAAGATACTGCTGATGTGCCTCAGGATGAAGGATCACAACAACAACAACAACCCGGTACGTCCTTCCTCGATCTCCATCCCGAGTAGATGACAAGAGCTATATCATCATATCTGCATGTGTTCTGACTCGTGCTGCAATTTTCTTGTAGGTTCTGGCAGTTCTCCCAAATCGAGGAGCTCATGGTTACCTGCTATCTTTTCGGGTTGAGGAAATAATCTGTGACACCCCCCTTTTTAACCCGGTTCCACCTGATTTTGCCCTAATCAAATCTCCTCTTTGGTTAAGGGGCGAAGCGCTTTTTTTCCTCAGGGTCTACAGCAAGCAGATGAGCGCATTAGCGAGGGCGCTGGGCTTGGAGTGCGCTTCAGTGTTTAACTCGGGCGAGGAATAGTAGTATTCACTTTCCGCATGTGCTGGCGTGTACTGCGGAGGGACCGTGTTGCGTTCACATACAGGATGCCTGGATCTACTTTTCAGATATAGCTATAGGATCGTAATTATCTCTCGGGTGTACTCCTATTTCTGGAATGAAACATGATGTGGATATGGTGAATATTGCACAGCAGCGGCTCTCATTATGCTCATAGATGTGTTGAATACTGGAGTGCTACTTCTTGGTGGAGAATGGTTGCAGGATGTAATTGTCATCCGTGGCTTACGAGCTATGTCAAGACTCGGGATCAGTTTACTTGATTTGGATATGCTTGTGTTACACCAGTGATTAGGCTGTGATGTATTGATGCGAGGTTTGGCAAACTCGTCAGATGTGGAAAGGTCGTTCTTGCAGTATAATGTGCACTTTGACGGGGGAAATATGTTATGTTAGCTTGGAGAATGCTAAATGAGTGAAAGGGTCGGTATTTCGTCTTCCGAGATTTATGAGCGAGGGTGAAGCCTTCAAGGCATTTGGCCAGGTGATGTATGGTCATGTAGAGGGTGAGGGATAATTTCGTGCTTTATTCCCAGGACGTCTCGAACCTCGAAATCCCAATAGACGCCCAGGCTTGGGTACGTCGAGGCGATGGCAAAGGCAGTAGCAGATGGCCACCACATGGAATGGAAGAATAGGAAGTAAAGATGTCGACATTGTGAGCTTAAGGAAGAAGCTGAGGTCTTTCAGAAGAAGGCGATCAGACGCAAATAGGAGGGTCTGAGAGCTTGCCCGTCCAGGCTGGTAAGTATGAGTTCAGGAAAGTCAACCACCACTTGAGTCGAGCAACATCAAGTGTGAAGGATAGAAGGCAATTTAGAGATGGCTCGTTCGACGTACAACATAACCTGTGGCCGTTCAACCGTACCAGCCGAAAGAGAATTGGTCTTCGTCATAGCTCACTACAAGGTCGGCTCAGGACAGGAATCTTAGCACGAGACGGGGCTGATCTGCTCAATGAGCTATGGATTGTGGGGTATTATTGGTTCTTCATAGTATCTAACGACCCGGAACCCATGATAGTGTAGAGGATGTTCGGGACAGTCAGTTTGAGAGACGAGTCGATATCAGATAACCACAATGCTCTTTATGGTTGTGGTGTGAGATTCCTACCTCGAGAATATTACTGGACAAATTGCTGGCACAACCACAATCTCTTTTCAGTTGAGGTTTCAAGAGGTTTGCTGTGAAGGATTGTTACCATGAACGTCGGAAAATTTACTCGAGTAATATTGATGACTTTGAAGGTCCGGATGTTATGCGTTGGCAGGGTGCGGGTCCTCGGTGGGTGGGAACGTCGGCAAAGGGGGACAGGCCGAGACCAGGACCAAGTGACATGATCTACCAGTTGTTCGTGAATGCGGTAGCATAGCTGTGAAGACATGCATGTAAGCTTCACCTTACGCGGATTCCAAGGGCAAGTAGTCCAACGCACCTCGACGGTTTTGACTTTTGGGGGGGGTGAAGGGGGGTAGTTTTAGGTTGGGTTAGTCAATGTTCAAGTGGCGGGCGCCTGGAGAAGGTGGGAAGAAGCTGGGGAGAGTGCAAAATCTAGTTACATCTAGCTAGATTGACTAAGACGGCCTCTTCCTAGTGCCCTTGCTAGCTCAAACGAGGAACCTCGCATCCGTCCTGATCACTCACTCACTTTCGAGCCCCATTCTACTCCATCCCCCCCAAAATAAGGTCACTACTACTACGTACTGACTGACTGCTGTCTTCCTTGTGCACAGCGCACTGACAGCCAGTCCTTTTTCAAATCTGCCCTCCTTCATCCGAAAATTCTCTATATACATCGTCACCACCTCATCTGCAGCCTGCTGTAGGCAAGGTGCAATCTCGGTCGGGCCTTTCCTTCCCTTTTCCTTTGTTGCAGCCAAGATCACTCCACGCACCTCGACCGAGAGGCCTGAAGGAAAACGGATTCGTGACTGAGGCATCTCACACCATAAATTTCTGTGCGACGGTGCCACAGCGCGCCATTTTCACCGACAATTCTGCAATGGCTTCTACAACCAGTATTGCCTCAAATGCAAATCCAGCCTCAGGCACTTCTCTGAGCGCACAACCCAATGGTGCTGGCAGACCCGCAACAAAACCTACATCAAGCATGAAAGCTTTGGATGGAGGAAGGAAGCAGACTACAAGTCCAAATGATGTATCACAGAAGTATGTTCCACGTCCATTCACTTTGTAGCAGCTGGGTCTACCCGCAGCTGCAATCACCACCTTCTGGAGCTTGGGAGACAGTCTATCACTGCGGCAGCTCATCCGGGTCTTGTGACCAATGGAAAGCGTCGTGAAGCTTGCTGACGGGTCATCGAACCTCTCACTTTCACCTCATTCGATTCTTAATGCAGGTGCTTACACATTTTTCATTAGGCGCGCTCTTCCACAAAAAGCTTGGACTTCTACGATAAATCCAATTACGCAGAAGAACTCCTCTCAGCTCCAGCAAAACGGAAATCTCTTGCAGCAGAAGCCAGTGGGGCCAGCGAAAGCTAGTATTGCAAAAGAGGGTAACACTGCTGACAAACAAGCACATGATCGTCTGACGTTCATTCTTGCTGCTTCCACGGTCTGTTGAATCTGACACATCCACAGCTTCCAATTGCTGATGTGTACCAGGGTCTCCAAATCTCCGTCTCGACAACATCAGGTGACAAATTTGAAGGCGTCCTCTGCAGATCCACTCTTGAGCCCAGCGACACAAGTATAACTATGAAGATGACAAAGAAAATATTGACTGGCAATGATACACGTGTAAACGGTGTCGCAGCTCAAAGCTCCACCTTCATTGGTTCGGGCCCAGACTTTGCCATGAGTATCGAGGGTAAAGAAATTGCTGAGGTGTCACTACCTTCATTGAACATACCTGATACTCCAAAGCCTCAGAATGGTTAGTGATCCATCAATATCATCGACATAGTCTAATTGAACACAGGGGCAATAGCAGGATTCCGGACAGACGCAGATATTGCTGGGACCGTAGAGCGTGTCGAGCGACCACTGCAGCCTTGGGTACCTGACGCTACTGAGGATGTGGATCTGTCTCTGGAGTCCACTGGCTCGACTGGCTGGGACCAATTCGAAGCGAATAATCGTCTCTTCGGGACGAGTAGCACCTTCGATGAAAATCTTTACACTACCAGGATTGACCGCTCTGCTCCATCATATCGTGAGAGAGAACGCCAAGCCGCAAAACTAGCGAAAGAGATTGAGGGTACGACCTCGACTAACGCACACATGCGCGAAGAGAGAGGTCATGCGTGGGAGAACGATGGGGAGGACGAAGAGGATAAATACAGTAGGGTCCAAAGAGACGACCATAACTTTCCTCCGCTACAGTCTGGTTCATCGAACAAGTACATGCCGCCTGCTCGACGAGCGCCAACCGGACAGCCTACCGTCGCTGGAGCTCCAGTTGATCCCGCCATAATCTCAGCACAAATCTCCAAACCCGAGAGTGCAAAGTCGACACAGACCAAAGCACAACATCTCAAGGACATGGAAAATACTCAATCTGACGCTACAATAAAGGAACCAAAGAGAGAGCCATCACCGGCAGTCAACCCTGAACCCATCGATCGCTCAGGGAAAAAGATCCTCACCCCGTCTACCAGCACCCTCTCAGCAAGTCAAAGCCAAGAAATCAAAGAAAAAGGTTCTCCAGCGGGTAGTTCTTTAGCTTCATCACGCAAAGCCCCGGAGAATGCCACAGAGGATGTGGAGAACAAACTGCTGCACCAATTCAAACAATTCGCAGCTTCGGAGAAGATGAGAATTCACCAGTCTCAACGTACAAGAGCTACTAACGATAGGCAAGCGAAACTGAAGGAGCTGCAGAACTTTTCTGAATCGTTTAAATTGAGAACGCCTGTTCCAAATGATCTGGTCGGGATCCTAGCCAAAGATCCTGCCAAGCAAGAGCAGATTGTCGAAAAAGCTAGGAAAGAACACGAAGAGCTGCCTGCAACACCGAGTCCTGCATCTCATTCTATTGCTACAGGTGAGACGAAGCCAGCGCCCAAAACCCCTGCAGTAGGAAAGTTTGATCCTTCGATGGTTCCTGCTCCTATCCCGGATCGACGGACATTCGACCGTTCCCGCCAAGGTCATCCCCCAGCTCCTGCGCGGAACGAAAGACCAGGCCAATCTCAGACAAGTCAGCCACTCAGAGGTGGACCAGGTCTCTCTGTTCATCGATCTGTAGGCGTACCGCACGAGCGAAGGCCAGTCTTGCCCCAAACTATTCCTACACCTATTCCAATCCACGAAGGCAGAGTCCCTCCCCTGGGTCCTTTGGCAGATCAATCCAGCGTTTCGAGCCCTCAACGGTCAAGCGTACATACTCCTACATCTGCAGTGTCTACCAAGTTCAACGCTAAGGCAATAGATTTCAAGCCAAATGCAGCTGCGCCAGCTTTCACTCCTGCAGCAACCTCTATCGCACCATCTAGCCCCAGGCCGATTGAGCCAGTCCGGGACGTCTCTGGAACCGCCAGCCCTTCGAGCTTTTTTGGCGCAAAGAAGCCCAAGCTAGCAGCCGATCGTCCTGCCTTCGTTGACGACTTTAATCCTTTTCCCCGAATGAAGAGAGAGGTTGAGCAACAGAAAGAACAGACGAAGAAGGATTACTCGAACAACGGGGGCATTCCTCCGGCGTATAACACACCACCACGCTGGGAAGTGGCAGAACGTTATCAGGACAGAACCTACAAGGACGTTTTCGACACGCTCATCGCCCCAAGTATCTCTCCAGCTCCTTCAGCTCGTTCGCTATCCACCCAACAAATTCCCTACCAGCAACAGCTTCCTTATCATCTACCAAATAGTGCCCACAACATTCCGCAAGTCCACACAACACACCATGCTATGCAGCCCACTCAATCTCAGCCCCAACACAGCCATTACGATGAGGGCCATGCTCGATTGCATATGGGAGCCACACCTCAAGTCTTTCCATCGCCTCGGCTTGGGTCCGGTCAGATGGCCTACCCGTCACCTATGACCCATGCAACACCGATGCAGTATGGGCAGCCAGTTGGACAATATATGCCTGCTCAGGGTGGGCCATCACCAATGCAAATGCGCCCATATCCTGCCACTCCTCAATTCATGCATGCTCAAACTCCGCAGATGGGTGCCCCCATGATGGTTCATCAACCATCAAACGGTCCCTACATGGGTATTCCTCAGCAGCAATATCCACACATGCCCATGTATTCTCCGAACCCTTCACAGGCATATCCTCAGCATGCTGCATCACAACCACACTCAGGCTACCCAAGCCCAAGTCGTGCTGCACCAATGATGATGCATCAAGGCTCTCAGCAAGGTCATCATTCTGGTCAGCATCTATATGGTATGCCTAGTCAGCCAGCTCAGATGGGCTATGGCCAATACGGGCAACCACAACCGATGCGTGGAGGTTATCCCGGCCAACATGCTCCGTACGGGACCAGTCCAGGTCAAGCATATCAATACCCGCCACAGCAACAGCGAAGCTTGAGCAACGGGTATGGCGGGGGCTACCACGGAAAGGTGCCCATGCAACATATGCAGCCAAGTCAAGGGCCTATAATAAATGGAGGACCACAGCCAGCAGGATATCCTCCACAAGATATGCCTATTGAAATGGCCAAGTGAAGAAAGGTGCCTGGTTATATGGTTTCCACTTACTTTCGGCCTTCGAGGGACATCTTCACATTATTTTTTGAGACAAAACATAGCTCTCAAGCTCACCATGTCCGCGGCTTTTTATTTTCTATCACCAGCTTGCTCCTTACTCGCAGGAGCATAGTCCTACTGGACTAACCGACATTACTATTCTAGGTACGTCCTCGATAGAACCTCAGGGACACTACTCGACCGACTGACAAGTCGCACAGTATCAAATAACTCGACGACTATCCTTCGAACTCGACTCCACACCTTTACCCCTTTATCCCTATACCGTCAACAGATCCACGAATTATCGCCTAGCCGTGATGGGGTAACTCAATTGGACATAGCAGCAAGTAGCTTACGATGGATAGTCACGAGAGGCTCCTGGATGGAGTGGACTCAGTTTTGCAATGCTATACGAGCAGAAACAGTGAGAGAGGAGTGCAGTGAAAGAAACCCTTGGCCTGCTGCACGTCAGTCACAAGGTAGAGAGACAACCGGCAGAGGATTGCTGGAAATTTCGGAGTCTGGACGTAGGTGTGGAAGATTGGAGTTGCTTTTCGTGACCTGGGAATTGGCCGCAGAGAAGGCGCGGCAGGCTAATGGATGGAAGGGGAAGGGGATAGGGCAGACAAGGGAAGGAGGGATGAATCTAAGTTCTCATCGAAGATGTGTGTTCCAGGAAGGGATGTGCGAGCTAGATAGGCTGAAGGCACGTAGGGTAGGTAGGCAGTGGAGGCATGCCCAAAATAGTATTCATATTTTTCTCTCTCCCTGCTCTCTTAATTGACTGGGTCTTGCAGATGATCTGGCAGCAATGCATGCTTCTTACGGTCATTGACCCATTATTGCTCATCCCCGGTCACGGGAACAGTCGATCCACTCCTTTCCGCATCTGTGTCGCCCTCGTGCATGCAATCTGACACAGCCTCACACACTGAAGCTGAGCCGAGGGGCCCTGAGATTTTGATATATACGAGAGCGAGGACAGGAAAGGGAAAAGAATAGAGGTTGTGGTGGGAAAGTGGGTGAGAGGGGGTTGGATCACCAGCAGTGTCAAGGAGACAGATTGCGCTTGCTTATGGACGAGCGAGGGTTCGCTTATCTCTCACTGGGTTGGCACGTCACGGTTGGATCTCTTCCGGCGGCTTTCCGGGCCAGCACGGACGGTCGTGGCTGGGGGATAGAGGATGGGAAGATTCGAGTGTGTTGATGGTGGTGGGGATATTGAGGGAGAGAGGCAGGCAGAGGGAGGTTGGGAAAGGACAAGGAAAGAAAGGTAGATGGACAGAGTAGTTAGGGAGGAAAGAAGGGATTGACCATGAACTAGTACTTGTGACGAAATTGAACTTTTTTGATTTTTTGGTCGCTAAACGAACGTCCAAGTTGTAGAACCACCCGAGACTCCACCCGCAGTTGTACAATATTTGACTGTCAATTGGCCTCATGCTGTATTACAGCATAATAGCCCAGGCGCCGAATCCAAGGATCAGCATCCCCACAACCACAGCACCAGCAACAGGACGGACCAAGCCGGCCGCTGCACCTGTAGCGGACGCCGAAGTTGAACCCGCCGTCGCGCTACCCGTCACGGAACCAGTGCTGTAACCAGTCATGGAGCCAGTCATGGTCGAACTCGCCGTACTGTTACTACTGCTGCTACCACTCTCCTCGCCCTCGCCCTGATCCTCGCCTTCCTCATTAGCGGTAACGATGCCGCCGGCCACGCCGGTGCTTGGAGATTCCGCTGCCTGCACCCCGCTGGCGGCCTCCTTATACGCCTCCAGGGTATTCTCGCCGCCGGTGGGGGGGTTGACCACCATGGCCATGCCGCCCTGACAGTGCGTGCCCTGGCTGCAGTACAGCCAGATGGGATCGGTGGTGTTGACGAGCATGCTGAACATCTGCTCGCTCACGTCGTCCTGGACGGGGAAGAAGCCCGAGTAGATGACGTCGCTGTTGCCGGAGCTGGCGCTGCTGAGGGGCACGCAGGGCGCGTCGAAGCTGGACTGCACGACCGAGTGGTTGCGCGGGTAGAAGTGGAAGTTGATCGTGTCGCCGACGGAGGCGGTCAGGGACTCGGGCGAGAAGAGGAGCGCGCCGTCGGCGCCCACGTCGATGTCGTACGTGCTCGCGTCGGCGGTGCTGGTGGGCACGGAGCTGGAGCTGGTTTCGGTCGCAGCGGGGCCGCTGGTGCTGGCGTCTTGGGCGAGGGAACGGGTGAAGAAGAGGGTGAAGGGGAGGGCGAGCAGGGGGATCTGGGTGAGCATGGTGCGTTTTTTTTGGTGCTGTTTTATTTCTGTGATGGAAAGTTGGGTTGCAGAGATGGGAGGAGTGGGGGATTGGTGGTAGAGGAGATATCGCAGTGTTTATTGATGGAGAGTATGGCGATGGAATGTGGTTAATCACCAATTGGGAGACAGAAGCAGATGGTGAAGCAAGCCAAGATTGGCTTTGACAGTATCCAGCCAATATGGTACTCCAAGCAGAGCACGGGCGACCACGATATCTTTATACTAACATACCTGCCCCCCTACCTCAGCGCTTGGCCATCATGCTGATCCTGCAAGTCATGCTTATGGTACTACTAACGTAGTAAGTGTCATCTCGGCATCTGTTTAGCTTCCACCCTCGCACAGACGCCGACCGTTAAGGAATGCGGATTGCTGTGCCCCCGATTCAACGGTCCAGAGAAAGTAGTTAGTACTGAGTAAGGTCGCCCTTGTCTGTTACTGTTGAAGTAGTGGTAAGCGGCATCCCATAAAGCTAGGTAGTGAGCTACTAGCGTGTTTCAAGATGTCGGTTCATGTCAGAGTTAGGTCACACGTTGGCGGCGAAACAAGCTGACTGGCTCTGGCAATTCGAAGTAATCTTATGAGAATGAAACAGATACCCTTGTCTGTTCTGGATTGGCTTGCAGATTGACATACGAAGTATCAAGTTGTTAATTAAAAAGAAAAGCCCCGTGCAGGGTCATGGGTATTGAGTGAGGCTAACTAACTACCGTAGTTCTGCCCCCTACCATAGCACCCCACTGGGGCGAGCGGATCATCGTCGATCCGCATTAAGGCTGTGCGGGACGGCGGCAAGAGTGCCCTTGTCATTCGAAGCTGCCTGGTAGGAGCACACCACAACGGTAAGCTACAGCCTACAACGGTACCGCGTAGCTCATCAGGCTATACGGGTCCGTGATTACGGCGAGGCTGTAGGCTGTGGGCTGTGGGCGTTGGGCGTTAGGTGTTACAGGGAAAGGACAAAAACAGTTAGATCAACACATCTGTGAGTTGCGGACAACGATCCAGCGGTTCAGAAGGCAGGAAATCGCCTGAGCTTCCGTCTGTCTGGAGCTTGCCTAAAATTTGCATTGCAAAGCCTGCTTGAGTGGACACGAGAGTGAGAACCTAGGCTTTCACCCTTCTCTCGAAATGTGTGGTCATGGGTGGAGTTGGGGCAGTATCAAGTCGATATTGATGGGTTGCAATCATGGTTGTGCGCGACATTGGAGAGGACTACGTTTCAATTAAAGAATACAGGTTACCTGCCTTGTCAGGGCCAACTTCCGTAAGAGCGGATAGAAGGTCTTTGGAGTCGCTCCTCACAATCAACTGCCTCAGTGCTCTCGATGAACAAGGCCCATGACGGCAAATAGTATTCGCTCCAAGTACGACGTACCATGGACACCAATCAGAGACATAATTATTGCTTCGCTCCCACTGCGTCTCGTTTCTCCTCGTTGACCTCTGCAGCTTTGGGAGGAGGCGGCACATTAGGCCACGGCTTCTTCAACGCATCTTGTATCATCACCATACACCCTTTGGGTCCACTCACGGCCCCTGATGATAAGAGTTAGCATTTCATCCATCACAAGGAAAGGTCTTGGGAGCTCCTCCTACCATGGACAACCACAATCCCCTTTGCTGCATCCACTTGCAAGACCTTCAAGTTCTGTATAGTATTCCGTTGTCCACCCATGTTCCCTGCCATCTTCTTCCCAGGATACACCCTACTCCCACCACCCTGTCCCTGTCCCGCCGAGCCCATACTCCGGTGTGCAAGCGAAACACCATGCGATCTATCCTGTCCATGCATTCCCCATCTCTTCATCACCCCTTGGAAACCCTTCCCTTTACAGTTACTCCTCGTGTCAACAAACTGACCCTCCATAAACCAATCTGCCCGGATCTCTTCGCCCACGGCCAACAACCCCTTCTGATCCCTAACCCGAAATTCCTGCTGGTGCTGTTTCGGCGACACACCTTGAACAGAGTAGTGTCCCAGCATTGACTTGGAAACATTCCTCTCATTCCTATGTCCATAACCCACGCACACCGCGTAGTAGCCATGTCGCTTCCTCGTCTTGTGGCTAACGACTTGAACTCGGTCGAGTTGCAGGACTGTGCAAGGTGTGCGCACGCCAGTCTCGGGGTCGAACATGGCCGTCATGCCCTTTTTGATGGCGAGAGCACCGGTTCGTAAGGGCAGAGTGTCGGCTTTTGCCCTTCGTTCCAGTGCTGCGGTGGAGGAGGAAAGGAGTGGTGAAAGGCCAGTGCCGATGTTGAAGCGATTGGGTCGTGGTGGGTCAATTGATTTGATGCCGAAATCTCGCCTTTGCGACAAGGCATTTCTTTGTTTGAGGAAAGATCTAGGGAGTAGAAAGGGAGGTGGAAGCCGGACAGCGATGGTCATCACCGTGGCAGACTTAGGAGGCATGTTGGGATGACGGAGGGCGCTACAGCCAGAATATGGACACGTGTGTTATTTTTCGTCATTGAAATGCCATATTGTAAGCAGGTGTACGGAGTACGGGAGTAATGGAAGATGCTCCTAAACGGACTGCTTGAGGCGCCGCAGAATAGAATAGCTTGGCATAATTCTTGGCATGGAAACCGAACAACTTGAACTGATCTTCGACTCCTTGAACCTCATCGAGGCTTCAGAATCTCCCTGTACACTTCCTTCTGCCCAAGAATCCGACCCAGATGGATCTCCCAAGGTGACATCTCAAAGAACCTTCCAAGTGAAGCGGGACACACTCTAGTAGGTAGTTTTCTTTAGATCGGTTTCAAGTATACTGCGGAAGATGTTTTAGTCCGTTACACTCTCGAGCAATTCACAGATTATCTGATACACCTCCTGCGGAGAGAATCGGCCTACCTTATCTTCGATCAGATATTGAATGTATCCGTATGTACATAAACATGTCTCTGTCCTCCATACTCTCTGTCCTCGTTATTTCTCACTCTCAAACATACACCTCGCTTTCCTCGTCTGCTTTTGATCCTTATTTGAGAACATACTCTTTTCTACTACTATATATTTCGCACCATCCAATATAGAATGGCAAATGGCAGCGAAGGGCCCGGTTGCCTGCGTGTGACAGCTTCAGGACAGGTCAATCGGCATACGAGGCAGACAAAATCATCGTCTCAACAAGCTTCCCAGCAGGCCCCTCAGCACGCACGCCAACATGACTCTCGACGGACTCCCCCGCAAGCTCCTCGAGAGGCTTTCCAGCAGGCTCGTCAGCAACCGTATAGAAGGACTGATACGGTCTCAAATAACAAACCAGTACCTGCAAGCACAAAAGATGGCCCGCAAGAACCTTGGGCTGGTTCGGCTAAAGAAATCACCCTTCCAGCTAGAGGAATGAGACAACGATCTTCTGGAAGCGCTGTCAATCCAAGTGAGGCAATACCAAGAGAAGGGGCCCGACGGCCACCGATAGGCGCAAGAGGGAAGAGTGGGTCATCAAGCACTAATTCGGCAGGTGAACCCTTTGGGAAAGTGACATTAGATATTATTCCCGAGTCCTCTTTGTCGACTCCACTGTGTAGGCCATCGATGCGGCCTTCAACAAGACCATCTGATGGAGCAAAGCTGCAAGATATAGCCGCACCCAACCAGCCTCCTCCCGATACAGGCGGAGTTATCGAAGCTTCAGGACGGGCCTGTCTTGGCTCAAAGCCACATGACTTGACACAGCCACCCCGTGGGCCACCATCAGCTACCGGTTCATCAGCAAAACCATCCCTTGGCTCGAGTCCGTCTCCTGGCTCAAGCCTAGATGATAGGGTCGCAGGTCCGCCCTTTGAACCCGATGCACCTGCTGGACCTGCTGGACCTTGGGTAGGCTTTTCCGATGTACCCGACGCAACTGCTGGACGCAAGGTGCGCCTCTCTATTGAGACAGAATTCTATCTTGCTACGCAAAGTAATCAGGAGCATTTAAGCAATTGGTCGGAGGTTGCAAGCATTCTTATGGATGACTACAATCGGCAGATGGGCGTTGAGCATCCTCGAATAGAAGTTAGTATTATATCAGCTTTGGAACATGGTTATCAAGGGTGGTATATTGACCATGATCCCTTATGTTCTGAACATGAGTTGAGAGAAAATAATCACATTTGGTGTAAGCCCATCTCTATTCTGTACGATTCTGAAAAACGGAGCTGTTTTCGACTGACAAAATCCCAAGGGCGATTGAAGATGATATCACCAGCATTTGATATTGTTCCCCATTCACCATGGAAACATCATATAAGAGCGGTCTGGAAATTCCTCTGCGACAATTACAGGATCGCCAATCGCGACGGCCTTTACACTCGTATCCGCGTTTCACTTGATCCAAAATACACCCTGACAGAGCTGAAGCGGATTGCTTCCTCCGTCATTCACTTCGAGACAGCAATTGAGCCTTTGCAGCCGGAAAACACCAACGACCCGGATGAAGCCCGAAGTATTTGGCTTCATAGCTGGCCCTTTGCACCATTCCGCAGAAGTCGATCTGCCTCCATCAGCTACATCGACGAATGTTTCACGTGGCCAGAGTTTCGGGACAAGATAAATGGTGTTGCGATAGGTGAATATGCCTGGAATTTTTGGGATGCCTGTCCAGATGGGTTACTCGAATTCCGCAAAGCTCCACCGTGCTTACGGCCGCCACAGGTCTTCAGCTGGGCCGAGCTCACCATGGCCTTCATCCTAGCCGCTATCCGATATGGATCTCCTGAGTATCTGCGCGGCTGCCTGCATAACGTTGGGTCTCTGAAAGATTTCGTCGGTCGAGTCGACATACCAGGTGATGGCCCTCATCACCTGGACCGAATCTGGGAGGGTATAAGTCTGAACGCTGCTCGTGAACCTATGATGCGTACGGATGACTATACTGAAGTTGACGAGGATGAACTCGAGCCCGAGCTGGCATGGCGCCATTGGGTGCGGCTCAGAGAAATGGTCGAACAGGATGCGCAGCAGTGTGCGGCTTCGGTGCCGCAGGTCCTTCGGAATTATTTGAACAACTTTAGTACATCTGCGTAGACGTGGAGTCGGTCAGATCAATTCTCAAAATTTCGATTGTGCAGAGTGTGCTTTTGTAAAGCACCTCTTCAAAGTACAATGATTCTTACAAGGACGTTTTTATATTCTTCTTCCAAAATTTCCCCCACCCATACTATTTTCTTGAGCATTCGCAATACACAACGACGTAGAGCTTGTTCTCGTTCTCTCTTCCAATTTTGAAAAAGAAGCTGCATAGGTGATCTAGCGGTTGTTGCTTAATCCATTTTACACATCTACAAATCTTTGTACATAGTCATTAAGAAATTTGAAAATTCTGAAGTATATAAATGTATGTATGCAGAACAAAGTTCTCTTTTGAGAGGGGGAGGAAACACCCATACCTTTTCAGAATCAACTCCCCTTAACAGCTAAATACCATAGATTAGGTATTCTCTTTCTTTTCCCAATCATGATCGTCTATATCAGGAGCTGACTTTCTTTCTAGGACCAACCATGAGAAAAAATGACAGTAAGAGAAGAGCTGGAGACTAGGACTTCGACTACATTGCAGCAGATGTGCAGATTCCAGAGAAAAGCTGCTCCGTACGTAGTAAGACGTGGAAGGGCCAGGTGTGAGAATAGAAATAGGCCTTAGTACCACTTACTCTGAGTACTACGTAATAAGCTGCGGCTTAAATAGGGGGTGAGCCGAATTTCGCGCATGTCACAAGTCGTGGATGGCTCGAGTCCCGCCGCTCTAACTAGAGTGAGCTGGGCTAACTAGCAGAAGGTGCAGCTGTTGGTGGCGTCCGTACCTTCAGACCCAAACCCCCACCCTACCAATGACTTTGTATCTCGGCCCACCCTGCAGACTGAAAGGAGCTAGTAGCAGTTGCAGCATGCGAACTGACAGGCACATCCCTCAAGCAGAACCTCACCAGGAGTCCTTTGGGGGTGTTCTTGCCCATTAAAGCGTTACGGAGCTTGTAATAATGCTGTATGGTAGGTTTGCACTCAATCATTGGCCTACTAGGGCGATGCTTCGCCATCCTTGGTACCTTGCAGGGCTCTACAAAAAATCTAAGCTGATATTTGGGGAATGCTGCAAATGTGAGTGGACAGTCTCGTGGACTGATATTTCTAACGGGGTCCGGCATTATCATTCTTCTATCAACCTTTTTCACTTCCCTCGCTGAAACGTTTGACATTTCCCTCCTTTTGTTTTTTCACTGCTTCTATAGATTGCTTCGGCCTCTGTTAGATGCAAAATCGCACTGGAGGTGCTCATCAACAATCTATTGCGTCCTGGCATACATCAGCTCAACACAAGGCGAAGAAAACATCATTCAATGAAGGACAATTGTCCCACCAAGCACATAACATCCAGGCCCAGGCCTCCTAGCTATTCTGGTCGTGTCTCTCCTTTGGCTTCATACTTTAGCCCGCTATATCAAGCTAGCTGGTCATCTACTAGCTAGCGATCTTCCACCATGGTTCGTACGGCCTAACTATACTGATGACCTGTTGTGTGGGGCTTTGTCAGTAGCTACTATGTCTAGCACAGTGCTTCGCGACCAAGACAGCCGCTCTGTCATGCGGAAATTCCTCGAGAGTGAGAGGCGGTTCACGTGGCCTGAAGACGAACGCAAAGATGGCCAGATGTATCATTTCACAGAGGACTTTCCCCCGAAGAACTTCCTAGAATGGGAGCGACGTCTCGCCATTATTCGCAAGACAAGCACTGCAATTATCGAACAGCACCACATTGTCAAAGAAAAGCAAGATATAATAGGATTTTTCGAAGCATTTGCTGTCAAAGAACTCGTTACTCCTGTGCTTGACGAGAAGGAAGCCAACAACGAAGTCCAAGCCATGATCGACCTTTTGCATCCACATGTGGCCGCTCTTCTTGGCACGTACCTCTATCGCAATAGACTGCATATTCTCACCTTTCCTGCAGGATGCTGTGACCTTGGAGACCTCATGCATTGTATTTCAAAAAGGCTACTTCAAGAACCTTACACCCCTCCTGAACCGAGACAGGACGGCCATAACTTAGAAATACATCGAAAATACACCTGGCCGTTCCGGCTAGAACTGAACGAACAGCTTCAGATGCTGCGAAGATATTTCCTGTGCCTCTGCACAGCCGTGGCCTATCTGCATCGCAGTAATCTCCGACATAAAGATATCAAACCTGAGAACATAATTATCGACTTCGATGGCAACGTCGTCATTATGGACTTTGGCATATCCACAAAATTTGAGCCTGCAGCAAGCAAGGCTACCAGAGACCCTCGCACACCGTCGACCTCTCGGTACAGGCCACCCGAAATGGAGCGAGGTTGGACCAGAGACGATCGATCTGATATATGGTCACTTGGCTGTGTCTTTCTGGAGATGATATCCGTGTTGTTGGGAAAAGATATCGAGAAATGCAAAAATCATTGTCGCGAGCTGGTTAACAATGGCGCCGTCAGCGATGATTACTGCCTGAACTTGCCAAAGATCGAGACATGGCTTCAAATTCTCGAAAACGTCGGTCGTACTCCATCACAGAATGACGCTGAATTGAAAGCTACTTTGCCAACCATCAGGAAGATGCTCAGTGAAATGAAAGATGACCGCCCTCTCGCAGAAAACCTTTGGCGGGATTTTGACTTGAAAAGCTTAGCCAACTCGAAGTGCAAAGATTGTCATCCTGACGTTGACGGGAGATGGAAGCTCAACGATGACCAGCAAGAGAAAGCTAAGATTGGAAGTTCGCTCCGTCAGAGGATGACAGAGGACGAACAGCGAGCCATTGAGAAGACGCGCTGCAGACAAGAGATGTACGCAAGCGTTAAACAGGTAATTAAAGAAGCCGAGGGAAATCTGCCAAATGGGTTGGCTCCCATCCGACCCAGATCGCCTTCTGTCATAGACTCGATTTTGGCGTCGGAGAGCTCGCGGAGATCCAGCTTTCATGGCACTGGGACGAAGCCAGGCCATGGCAGGAGACAGCTCTCGCCACCAGGTTTCGAGCTACAACATCCCAATCGAAGTGGTATTGTGCGAGCGAAGCCTAACCCTCCTGCACTTCACAGACGCTCTTCACCTCTACCTTGGCCAAGTGAAATTTCACGGCCTGGATCCTCAGACTCCGATAGAGAGAAAAGATCAGACACGGCAACAAAGGTACGCTTCAGTCGATCAATAGAATCCATAGTACGGGAAGACGACACCAACCTATCTATTGCTGTGCCAAATTCCCAGGCTACCGAAGCAGACCTAAATCCACTTCCATCAAAAGGAATTCTTTCCGTGGCACAGCAAGCTGATACAACACACTTGGCGACCATACACGAACCTCATCATGATACTATTCGAGATCTCGAAAAGGCCAATGATATGCCGAGGGATATCGTCGACCCGCTGCACTACGATCCGGATTCGAAAATTGAACCCAGCCTCCATACCACAGCTCCTCAGCCAAAGAATCAAGTCACCAGTGAGTCTGCACGAACTCACAGAGCAAGCCACCCTTCACTTCCACTCACGTCAGTACCAGGTGCCGCAGGCAGTCGTGTTGCTGCGAGCCGCGGACCTACGACTGAAGAGATGGTGAGCTCTAGCCTAGGAAATCTGGGTAATACGCAGACCCAATCGGGTTCCTGGAGCCGGCCGGCAGACAATGAGTCGGTTCTCGCATGTGACTGCTCCGGAGGCCTGAAACTGCTGCAGGGCCATTTCGGCCTGCTTCGTAAGTTGCCAATTTTGGATAGATGGACACTGCTGACGAATTGTAGGTGCGCCACTGGTATGTTTCAAGGTTCCTCAAGGGAGGTACTTTAGCGTGTTTGCCGACAGTGGATTCCTAGGAATCCTCGATCTAGCACAACTTGGATGGAATTATCGATGGGGCTCCTTGAAGAAGTGGTGTGGCCTTGAGCAATTTCGTACGATATACATGATCAACTATGGACCTAACGACGTTCCTGCTCACCTACTCAATCGTCAAGACAACACCAAGATCCACCCTATAGTTCTAATGTAAAAGATGAACACCAATACAGGACCTCTAGATAGTAACCTCGACCTACTAAATAATGCAAACATATATTTCAAATCCTCTAGACAGTCTACGGAACGAACTAGAATGGCATTGCAGTTTGCGGGTGATCAAGATTTCGCCAAGAATGCATTGGACATCTCGAGTTGTCAAGTACTTTGCAGGAAGAGGCCCTTGAAATGATGCTAGAACCATTAAAGTGCACTTGAAACAAGCCTAATCGTAAGATTGCTTGGAGTGTATAAGAATACGTAGCTTAGTTGTTCGTGATCCAATGAACTCCTAATCTCTATAACGTGTTTTGCCTAAAAATAAGGTCAAATAGTACAGGTCAAAAATTTGCTTCCTTAATCGTACTAACATCGTCTTTATCAGACAGAATAGTTGCCATTCCCACTTACGGCACGTAGTCTATATCTCTAGCTAACCCTTCTCCTGGTAAGTAGCCGAACGGACTGCTTCCTTTATCAATCACTGTCCGTCCTACCCTTTTCCACCAGTGTCTTGATTTCTTGATAGTGAACAGAGTCGGGCGGCGGCATGTTGTGATCCATGCGAAGATGGTCCAGGAGCTCATCGCGATCGACGACGCGACGACGTACCTGAAAGTCACATGTCGCGTCGTCATGTTTGCATCTGTACTTTGTGCCGAAGGCAAACGCCTCCCATCGGCTTGTATTACAACGCAGCCTGCGGAGTCTTACAAGCTTCTCGGCGCATTCATCGAGCTGTTTCTGCACGTCTATTCTCTGGAGATAATCCTCCGTGGCAGATGTTATATGCCTGTGCATTGAGTCGCTGCTGGGGTGGAGCTGCCGAAGCCCTTCCAGGCCCGTCTTTGTATCAAACCTATAGTAGGAGAAAGCCTCCGTGTCATCATGCAAAGCTTGCATTATGTAGTGCACACCCTCGGATGAAGCAGCAAGCGCTTTACTCAATCTCAAAGCCGTTTTCCCGGGCTTTGCTTTGTGCTGGAGGAAGGTATTTGGTGCGTCGGGAGAGCTGTTGCCGCAACCGAGGCTCACAAAAATGTTAATTGGTTGGAGATGTTGATTGCTGTCACGCTCAGTCAAGTCCATATTAACCTCACGATACACCTCCAAACTGGGATTGCTGAGGCTGATACTCGCATCATAATATTTATGTTCTCCCACAGTGACAGCCTTAAAGTATAACGGACTACAACTGGTGGCGCGAGCGACCTGCCAGACGCGAATATCGTCCGGGGGGTGCGACAGCTTCCTCATTGGAACCGTACCGCTCATTGGTGCTGTTGTACGCGTGGTAGGAGCGATGCCTAGGGACTTCACCTCTGGCGCGAGGTTGATACTAGAGGCCATATATTGAGAGATAGTATCCAGCGTGTTGCGACCATATGAGGTGAAAAGGTAGGGTACCTTCGAGCCACGACTGGCTTTCGCTTGCAGAGAGCAGATTATTGTTCTGCACATGGTCGAGTCAGATTTGAACGATGTTTCCTCTGGAGCAATTTTCTGTATTGTTGAATTTAACTTTTGGTCTTCACTTCTCGACTTGGGACGAAGCAAAAATCTCCATGCCTGCACCGAGGATTTGTGATGCTGATAAAGCCTCGGCGATATCTCTTGATAGTATCGTATTGCGTCCTCAACACTCATTCTCATCCGGCCTAACATGATCGCTATGAGACCTCCAGTGCTCGTGCCCGCCACGTAATCGAAATAATGGCAAGGTAAGTAAGCAGTCTTCTCGCTGCTTGGTTCGGGAATACGAGCGGCCTCGACCATGGGTGAGTCCTTGCTCGTCATTGCTTTGGGCTCGATCTTGTGTTCGTGCTCCGCAATTTTGGCCATGAGTTCGCGGAGAATTAACAACGAGGATATACTCCGAACACCTCCTGAATCGAGACACAGCACATTCTTTGCTTGCCATGGTTCCCTTCTGTCCGATACTGGTTCACTGAGATTGCTTCCAACCGTTGAGGGCAAGCTGTGTGGAGCGTGTCGACTGTCTTGCGCCGAGCGTTTCGACACCTTTTCATAATCGACCGAGGTTTGCGAGGTTGTCGGGTAATAGTCGAGCGATTCCCGTAGCTTTTCAAGCGTTTTCTGAGTTCCTTTTAGTTCGAGCGCGGTCTGCTCCAAGTCACTGGGAAGATGTTGGTCCTCAAAAGCGCGATGCATCACTGCGATCAGACGGCTTTCGGCAATCAAGTCGCCTACGGAAACGCGAAATGACATTTTCAAGAACTTGTTTTTGCAGACAAGTGATACGGCACTGGCCTCCTATTGCCGCGATGGCCAAATGCTGCTTCCAATGTCATCTCCAGCTTCCCAGCCCGTGAATATAGCGGAGTACGGAGTATCAGGTGAACCCATGCCAGGTGCCCATTTCAGCCTCGTCCGCCCAAGGGGGGCGCAATAGCGGTCTGCCCTTGCAGTGCCCTTGGGGTCGGGGCGAACCCGTGCTAATTAGGCAAGGCGCCTTACATTTTAACATACCGTATTGGCTTGTTACACCATTCAACCCCTGCAGGTAACATATCCTCATGCATCCATTTGACCAACTCTGGCCCTTTTGATACCATCAGTCAGGGAGTCCATGTTGGCGACAATCATTCCCCATCCTCGTGATCATGCAGCCACAATCACCACAACATTACAAATTGCCAACCCTGTCCACCCCCTATTCTAGGCCGGGGCTCCGGGCGGTTTCCCAAATGTATACAACCGTAGCAGGCGATCCTGGCAATTTTGCCTTGCCCATCCCGGCGTTACGGGCAATGCTCGTTGCTCAAGGCAGTGACATTGGAAGTCACCGCATACCGCCGCAGGAAGGCTGCTCGTTTACTTCCAAGTAATCTCGAGGATATCAATAATTAAATTCGCCCTATTCCCCCGTTTACATATAAAACCTCCTGAGAATGGGTGTTGATCCAGTTGGCGCCAGTGTCGGCGCAGCGTCTCTAGCAATTCAATTGCTTGATAGTGCAGCCGCAGGTCAGAATTCTCCCAACCCCAGATGTTCACTCTGGGAAGGCCATTTCGTTACATGGTCTGATTCGGTAGTACATAGGGTTTGCCTTGTTCCTTGCGGCTGGAAACATGAACACTTCATGCCTCGAACTGCGCACTAGGCTTGAGATGGAGCAATGCCGGCTGCTCAACTTTGCTGAAGCAACTGGCCTGCTGGACTATGAGGAGAACGATCCGTTGTCAGAGAGTCTTGAGTCAGAAAAGCTTGTCCTTATCGCCGTCCTGACGCAGATTGGGTGCAAGTTAGACGACTTTTCTGCTTTAACGAACAGATACAAGCCGCTTCGTAAGGAAGATAAAACCGCTTCTGAAGCCAAGAATGTCAAAGAAGACTTTATTAGCCTCAAGAAAAAATGGGAGACAAGTGTGAAGAAAAGTCCTAAGCGAAGAGAGCGCCTCAGAGGAACAAATCACTTGTTTAAATGGTATGGTATGGGAGTTGATATAGCAAAGGAGCCGGAACGTCTGTGGTGGGCAGCGGTTGACGAGAAGGTGTTTAAGAAGGTATTACAGGAATTGGTTGAATACAACAACTACCTCCACGAGCTCACACGTGGTCAACATGCCAAAAAGCTTGAGATGACTACCCGGGAGACCTACTTAGAAATGGTGCTGGTTAGAGGCCAAGTCGACGAGCTCAAGAGATTACTGGTGAATTCGATACTCTTACAGGATCATCAACAGGTGACTGCGACGCCGCGAGCGGCTGAAGCAAATGTTGAACACGGTCGCCTATTGCATGGTCTTGTAGACACGAAGTCACAGAGTCTCATGAACGACGAACCGGATGAGAAGAAGCCTCCAGCGTACGAAGAAGCAACAAGGGATACCAAGCTGTCATATAAATCTGTCGACTTGTTGACTGAACTCAAAAAGGTTGATGTGATGCAACAGCGAGTTCAAACGAGTGGCAAATACTGGCCTGAAGGCAAATCAAAAACAGAGGAACGCCCGAGTGTTCAGGTCTGGGTGGAATGGAAAGAGTATAAGACAGAGATCAATGATGAAACAAGGAATTCTGTTGCCCTACCCGAATGCCTCAAACGCGTCAAAGAATTGGTTGCACTTCTGCAGAGCTGTCGTCTAAATGCATTCAGAATACCCACTTGTCTGGGCTGGTACGACTACCGAGACGACGACATTGAGAGGAGTTTACATGCGCCCCTATTTGGTATCGTATTTCGGAAGGAAGACCAGTCTGACAATTCCCCTGATCCAATCTCCCTTCTCGACCTCATCAAGACCGAACCTCGTCCGTCGCTTTCCGCTCGAGCTACTCTTGCGCACAAGTTGGCAGACTCTGTTTTGTATCTCCATGCCGTGCGGTGGCTTCATAAGTCAATACGCAGTGATGGTATTCTATTCTTTCCCAACACGAAGACCCGTGAGCCAGACATCAGAGAACCATACATGACCGGCTTCGAGTATTCAAGACCTGATCGCACCGATGCTCACAGTACACACATTCCACCGAGTCCCAGGAACGAGGCATACGTGCACCCATCCTACCAAGGTGTCAAGGCGCGTGGCACATACCGCAAATCATTTGATATATACAGTCTGGGTATCGTTTTACTGGAGATTGCGTACTGGGAGCCCATTCTCACCATCCTGGCCAAGGAGTTTGCCACCGAGGCCGAGCCAATATCATCTGAAGTCCAGCTTATTCAGACAATCTTAATCGAGACAAAACCGAAGTATGTCGAAAATCTAAAGGGCATGGTCGGGGAGAGATATTACACGGCTGTGGATAGCTGCCTCCGTGTTATGGCTGGGAAAAGCGACGAAACAGCGATCGAGGTAAGTGCCAAGTTGCAGAGCGACTTCACACACTTGGTTGTGGGAAACCTAGGCTCAGTCATAGTCTGATGACCCCTGGATAAAACTGTGCTGAATTGGACTTGATGCGGTTTGTTTCGCTGTTCAGCATAGATTTCTGGTGGGGCTCTGATCCCCAGGCGACAAGTTTGAGCTAAATAAAAGGTTGGTAAGTAACAAGCTCAAGTCCAATATACAAGATTCATTCTACGGCCTCCGAATTGCTTCTGTCCGTTCCCAGCCCAACCTGGTCCGTCAAAAAAGCTGGCCTGATTTCCCTCCGCACCCTGTAGGCCCCATTTCTTGAGAAATTGCCACATTCAACACTTCGCCCTCGTGTATTCCCTCCATCTCCCGCGCCGATTTACCACACCTCGACGGTTTAATATTTACTCAACAGTAACAACGTCGCTAGCCCCTGTTAATCCCGACTCAGTGGCCGACAGATCTGCCATCCGCAACGATTTCATGTCTGATATCGCCAAAATCGCGCCAGCAATCTGTATAAAACAATAAAAGTAAGTTCCGAGACTTCTCCAAAACGCCAAGCCATTTCTGTCTGCGCATTGGAGGGAGGTGGGGAGGATTCTGTTGCCACATCATGTGTGGGGCTGGCCGCGTTTGTCTGACAGTCGAAGCCCAGTGAGGATAAATATCTTTTCCCTCTTTTTGGCTATTTAAACTAGTCCTTCCAGCTTGCTTGTCCGTTCTGCCACAGCGCTTACTGACCGCCCGGATGCTCACGCGTGGTGTTTTTATTTATTTATTCTTTTTCGGACGGGGAGGGGGGGGCTCGCTATTTTATAAAGAGAATACGTAGTAAGTAGTTAGGGAGAGCAAGATGACGAAAAGGTCCTGTCGTTCTTGGCGTCAAAACTGGACGGCCCGCTGTCAGTTGGCGAGCCTATTTTCAGCTCCCCCCTCCCGCGGCTATCCAGGCCGGGTATTGGAACATCTTGATCGACGCGGTGGCAGAGGGCGGCGACGGTTTTTATCATGCTAAAGGGGGAAGGTGTGTAGATTAACTCAGTCCCGCGCCGGGAGCCTTGGGGGAGGAGGAGAAAGGGAAAAGCATGGATATGTCGGCGTGTGTAAAAATGTAGAAATGAATGCCACGCCAATAGTTTGAGTAAATAACCACTTCTAAGGTAAAGCTGGAGCTGTCCGGGGCAAGCAGTAATATGAATGTCACGGCAATTGTGAGGCCATCGTTGCTTTGATCACCAAATATAGATGACTCTTGGTTTGTGAGGGGAGTGGGTCATGAATGGACTGTTGGTTGATTGATTGATTGTAGAAGAGCGAGTCCCCCCGAATCCCGCCCCCTTTCTCCCCCACAACTGGGTGAATATGCTGTGTAAAGTCGAACCCGCTACATATCAATGGTGTCATGAAATCTGAGAATGCCATTGGGCTTCAGTATCCCATTGACGCCTTCGGGCATTGCCGACCATCCCTCTGTGCTGCCACCACCGCTATTCGACCCCATCTTCTCGTTGGAGGTATCTGCCACCAGAACCAGGCCTAGCTCCTGGATCGTGTCGACCAATGCTGGAACCATTCCCTGTGACGCATTAGGAGGATGAAAAGGATGTTGGGACGTGTAGCATTAGAAGTGGCGACTAGTGGAAAGGGACGCAAGAGAAGTACAGCTTTTACTCACCAGAACTCGAGATTGCACCATCAAACCCATGAAGTTATTGCTCTGCGCCATTCTGGCCGACTCTTTGATTGACATGGAGCAGGCCGACTGGTTAAATAGCGACTCGTGATAACGCGCGGTTGAACGAGTATTCTTTGGCTCAAGCAGATCATTAGAAAGTAGGACCGGATCTGGCCAATAAGTCAGCCCAGTTATTTCAGATGTAGGGAGTCTGGCTACAATTTGGCTGCTTCCAATTCAATGCCGTGCAAATATTAGGATTATTCGACGTGAAAACGATAGACCTCATAAAATCGGGGCTCTGCTCCTTCGACAACCTTGCGTGGTCGAAGACGTTTGTCAGTATAGCATCAGCAAAGGCATTGATGTCAGCGGTAGGGCCAAGGCCCAATGATCTTTCTTCCCCGGCTGTAGGGTATAATATTTGCAGGTTGAGGTGAATGTCGGTTCTGAGGTTAACTAGCACGTTGTGAAGGGACAGAGTGGAACAGATGAGCCTCTGCAACATCTCTGGTGATGGAACAGAACCTGAGGAATTGATATCCGCCAGTGGATCTCTGACAGCCGAAAAGCCCCCAGCACCTGCATTGTGCATCTCTTGATGGGTCAACTGGCTAATAGGGACATTCAAGCCATGATGATTCAGTTTATACTTCGGATAGACAATCGGAATGCTATCGTGGGTAAGCTGTATATAGAGCCGCAGATAATCGCCACAGAGACTAGACCCAGTGACAAGTCCGCTCTGGTCATCAAGAGCACTAGTTGCCTTCCAGTACGTTGCAAAATGAGTAATATCGAGAGGATCTCCATAGTATGGTTTGATGACCTGGAAACTGAACCTGATCTGACCAATAGCTCGCAAACGGGGGTCGAATAATGGTAGGCAGCACGACCCAGAACTACTTTTACTGGCCTTGAAAACGTCCGGCAAAGCAACAGACTTCGCGATCACTTTCGAGCCGAAGGTTGGGAAGACTTCAAAATCGACAGCAAATGTGTCAAGACCATCTATTTGGAACGATACGGTTCTCGAATCCTCTTGAATGGGCAACATGATGTTTCGTGGAATGAGATCCGATAGCTTTGATGAGATAGTGATTCGTGCCGCAGGGTACCGGCCTTCGTTGAAGAAAGCGATCGCTTCAGATCCAGGCGAGAAGCCGATTGAGATTAGAGTTTTCGTGTCCAGAAAATTGTGCCCGTATCTTCTGAGGGGAATTATAGGTGGTGGAAGAGAGAGGTCAGGGATACCGTCTCCCTCCTGCGGATTTCCTGACAGTTCAGCATCCATGAGATCAGGCAATTGCCGTCCTTGTCCACGCAATAATCCCTCGCGAGGAGTGCTTGAGGTTGTCCGTGAGCGACGACACTGTTGCCACAGCTGCTCCATGCATTCCAGGTGTCCTTCCCATGTTGCATAGTACATTGCAGAAAGGCCCTTTTCGTCCAGAGCGTCAACGTTCACGCCATTAGCAAGCAATGTTCGTAAGCACTCTACTCGACCCTCACTAGCAGCATGGAATAATGGCGTCCACTGATAAAGCTTGTCTTTTTGGTTTAGATCTGCGCCATGGTCTTTCAGAAGTAGCAACAGGGTGGAAGTTTGACTGGATCTGGCAACAAGATGCTGTGGATACAGGCCTTCTGCATCTGGTAGAAGCTTCGCTCCACGCTCTAGGAGTAGACTGGCTACCTGTATGGATTGATGTTGACAGGCTAGGTTGAGGGGAATGTGATCCGCCGCTGTAAGTGGATCGATGCGCGCATGGTGGATCAACAGCTGTTGCACACAGGCAAATTGATGTCGAACGATGCTGTGAATTAAAGGTGTGAAATTGTCATGGTCCTTGTAATCAACAGTCTGATTGCCAGCTTCTATGAGCGTTATGACCATATTTACTCTTCCTTTCAGGCAGGCGTAATGCAAGGGTATTCTTCCATATACATCGACCCGGGATACGTCGACACCGGCCGCAAGGCCACGACGAAGGACGTAGTCCCGACCGTAAATGGCAGCTTCGTGCAAGCAATTCCGCTCGTTGATATCATCCTCGGCATGTAGATCAACACATTGTGTCTGCAGAAGCAGAGCCAGCGCTTCGTCGGATGAGTCGTGGATGGAGGCTAGAAATATCCGCGTGAATCGATCACTCGCATGCGGCGACCTTCCCAGTCTTACTATCCACTCCTTGAGGGAAGCCAGATTGTCGGTCGCAACAGTCTGTAGAACTTGCAGATCGATATCGCTTTCGTCAGTGCCCACCCGCTGACCGGTTACCTTATCAGCTGGACGAGTTGCATCGTACTGTATGTTCTCGCCCTCCACCCAGGCTTCAAGATCCAATCTCGAGGTTGTCGCGCGGTCGGATAGGTCTCGAAGGACATCACGGTTGAAGCAGGGTTGGATTTCTACAGCACGTTGCAGATAGATCTCCTTAGTTCGGGACTACCTTCTTGTCAGCGTTAACAGAAACCCTCAAACCGGATGCAGACCTTTGCCGTTTTATCCCACTGTGGTCTGTTAGCCCAGGGTGGTGAACATGAGGAAGGCCTCAAGGGGTTCTACCCACCTTCTTGAGAATCTTCGAAATCGCAGTCTCGTTGACTTCAACAAATTGCTGCCACCATCAGCCCCATGCACGCTAGGTCCTGCCTCTCTGTTCGCACCTGAAGCTTGTTGAGATCATTGTCGAATTGCTGGAAACCCTCGACAAGCGTCGCAAAGCTAGCTGAGATCTTTGACGTCGAGGCATTGCGGGCTTGGATTGTACGCCTTTTGTCCAGTAACGTCTTCAAGCGCAAGGAGAACTGGTGTGAAGTCAGTGATCAAGAAGTAGGAAGAGGAGAAGCAGAGTACATACTTCTGCTTCTTTCTGAAGATATAAAACGTTGACCTTCTCGATCTCCCGCTCCTGAAGCCTCCATGAGCGAAAAGGCCCACTGAAAGCGTGTTGGCACCAACCAGTCGAAAGAAAAAGACCTCCTTATTTGCACGCAGGGCGATCTTGGGATCAATGCTTCCTTGCGCCTCGGCTTGCGCATTTTGAGCAGCAATGGTCGGTGTGGCACTCAACTGCTTGATGAGCTGTATCGAGGTCAACAACAAACAGCAAACTGACGACGGCATTGTCTAGACCTTCTTAAGAGCCTTGTAGTTGAGAAAGCTTGCGGCATATTCTGGCAAGTCAAGCTGCCGCTTTTGTATTTGTTTTCCAAACTTCCTACAACAACGGTGCAATTATCAGCGGGCTGAAGCCTGTGGATGAGGAGGACTTGTTTCGAATAATTTTGTATGAGGTCGGGAACATACATCACAAGTCAAGGGGCAGAGTCAAGAGAAAGCAGAGAGTCCTGGCCACGTAATCCCGTTCTGTAAATTATACAGGCTCAATGTGAAAGATAGCGGGATATGCTTTTCCCTCCCCGGATAGAATGCATATTTTATGCTGCCGTGCCTTCCAAGTATCAATCAAGGGCCCTGATTGTCATCTATGTCACGCGGTAAGCTGCATATGCTGGCCCGCAATACAGGCCCAAGGGACGTGCTGGTAAGGTTACAACGGGCTGGTCTGACTTTGGGCTAATTCAATGGATTAGAGCGATTCACGGAGGCCAGCAGTGCTGCGAAGCGCTGGGAAACGTCCAGCAGATGCGCCAGAAGCAGAATAATGTTAACGGTGCCATGCCATGTGCAAACGGCGGACTGGTCAAGTCGATGTACCAAAAAATACAAACCTTGCAGTGATTGATTGTGGACCAATGATTTCAACACATGGGCCATACTCGCTACCTCGGCCCTTCCTGGCAATGTTCCGACGCTGAAGCCATACTAGTACTTCAACCATTGCATAAGATTTTGCTCTCCATCCGCGTCTGAGGAGCAAAGTCCACACTGCTGCAAGTCCATATTCAGACAATATGTGAGCTAAATGGAGGAGTCACGACGTGGGATAACGAAGTTGTTCGAAATGTCTAACATTCCAACTACCTAGTCCATAGTCCTCCAAGTTTTTAGATGCAGGACATTCAAGACCTAGAATGTCCCAATCGACCTGTGCTTGACTCGATGAAAATTATCCACAGAAACTACTTACTCTGCGAAATCCATGACCAAGGCCCCTAACAACACAAATGAAAAATATCCACGCTTAATTATAAAATCGCTCTGTTCTGACCAGTCAATGCCAATCGCTGGCTACTTTGAAAGTCAAACTTGGAAGCGGAATCTCATTGAGATAGCAAACGGGTTAAAGCTTTCTCAGCTCAGTAAGCTCAGTTTGCAAAAACCAAAATAAGTTGTTGTACTGCACTAGAAATTCTGTGCTATGCCAGAACTTCCTTGTTGGGGGGATATAGTGGGTTTCTCGATTCTCGTGTTTCGCCTGGCTTGTACATCTCTTATCACTGGTTGTGCGCCTCCAAACGCGTTGTCGCCATAGAGCTCAGGTTGGCCATGTCCCTCATTGTAGTATGGACTGTCCTCATGATAGTAGGGTCCGGCTGGCGCTCCACCAGGTAGGGCCATGTCGTCCGAACCTTCTGACCGAGCAGGACCGTTGGAGTATGCCGAAGAAGCATTCGATGCGCCTCTGTGAATGCCTTTGTCTTGTCGAGCGACACCAGCAACAGGTGCAGTGCCCAAAGCCGCAAGATCTGAATCGCCTGAGGTAGACCGTACATGTGGGCTACCCACAAGAGGATCGCTTGAATGCCCATCGGAAGGTCGTTCTGTGCCATGCGAAGGAGATGTCTGATAACCGTACCCTGCGTTATTGCTCGCGCCATCTGACAATGCCACTCCAATTCCTCCTTGGCCACTTCCTAGGTTGGTAGAAGGTTTTCGCGTGGTTGCTGAGTTGGTAGTACCCCAGCCTCGATAACCGATGCCGTCTTCGGCTTCTTCAGATTTGTTTTCACCATACGCAGCCCCTACTGGAGGCAACGACGGGTCATTGTTAGGATTGAAACCATACTCCTCCATCTCCTTCTTTCGTTGCTCCTCAGCGCTCTTTCGCGTTTTCCTTCTCTTCCAGAAAAACAGAACCCCAACGACAAGCAAAGCAATGACAACAATGGGCACCACCACAGCTACGGCAATCCTTCCTCCCTGTGACAAGCCACCAGAACTCGCAGAACTCGCAGAACTCTCAGCATTGCTTGTTGCCAAAGGTGCAGCACTTGGAGAAGAAGACCGGCTAGAGGGAGAAGCTACAGTCAATGAAGAAATTTGTTGAGGATTGCTGGATGCAGTTGAAGTAATAACGACCACGGAAGGCGAGCCCGTACCACCCGCCGATGCCGGGCTTTGTGTTGTAACTGAAGTTATCAGAACAATAGACGGTGTGGGAGGAGAAGGCGCCGCTGATGATGGTGGACCGGAGGAGCTTGTCGAAACAATAATTGTAGGCGGAGGTGCAGCGGAGGAAGAAGGTGGAAAGGTAAAGAAGCTCGTCTGGGTCGTAAAAGTGTTTGGGGCCGGTGAAGTCGCTATCTCTAGTCGGCTGATCAGCGTCACGAATAGACAGCGTTATGGAAACACCCACCAGTTGCATTAGATGCCATTATAGCAGGATGAATTTACTAATTTCGCTTTGATGAATAACAGCACAATGATGACGCCGCCGAAGGCGAGCAGCTGCGGAAGAGCTGACACAAGCAAGAAGATAGCCTCTGGATCCGAACGACGTTCTGTGTAGATGGATTCCGAGATGGCGTCTTGCGATCTTCCACGCTTTGCGGATGCTGCTGTCTGATGTTTTGTCTGACAGATGTTTCAATTGTGAAGAAACCGCAGTTTCATCCGAGGCAATGATTGGTTGACTCAACCTACACTTCAATCAGGCCTTGCAAATCGTTACGAAACACAGGACATGATTCGACACTTAAAAGCCTTAGATCAATATATATGTGCGGAGGAGTGGAGGATGAAGAAAAGCTGCGAGTGAAGGCTTATGGTTACATTGAGAAAGCTGAAGGAGTAACTCGCTCCTCGCTCGCTTTGGAGGGTCTTTTGATTCCACGGGCCACGCACCAAAAGACAACCCACTAATTGAAGCCCCATAACCAACTTCGAACAAGTTTCTTCAGGACCCCCTGCGACCATGTTAAATGCGTCTAGTTCGCTGACACTTCATAGCTAGTTTGCCAGTATTGCCTAATTTGGGTACTATTTACAGGGGTTCAGCCATAGTTTCATGGGAGAAGGCTAAATTAATTGCCCGTGGTTGACTAGCGAAGACCGCGGGCGGTGGCGGAGCAATCTTGTGGTTCAAGTACGGAGTACTCCGTACTGCTGTATCCAATTCAGAATGATTTAGGGAGTACTGCTTACTCTTTCACCATGTATCAGAAGATACCAAAGTCAAAGGTTTGAACCTCTCTTATGTACATAATCCACAACACCGCTCTGAGATTTCGAGTCGTGTCAGATTATGCTATGGTAGAAGGGGTTCTTTTGCCTATTGCCACACCAGAAGGATCACAGCTGCTCGTGTTCGCTATTAATAGTAGTGTGAGAACATATATTTCTCGCAGGTGGTACGAGATAGAGGATGCTCCACAGACAGCAAAGTCTTCGTGGTATTATGCCTCATGCTGTTATATATATAGCCCGTGTATGTGCCCTATATGATCTTTAGAATGTACAAAGTGCTGCGCTGAGGCAGCTCAACGGCTTAACGGCAAGTGTTTCGTATCGTTACCCACGACCAGAGAAAGTGAATTTGAAAGTCTATGCACGGCAAGTCCAGCTCGGAGGAGAAAATATCCAATGTTTGCAGCCTTCGAAGGGTTTGTACTCGCTTGGGTGAAAATGTGATTTTGATAAAAGCAGTACATCATTTTCTCATGTCCCATTGAGGTCGCAAGGTGTCTGTAAATTCTTGCCTGGTGCCACCCAGATCTTGAGGAATGCGGCTCACACGATATGCGCCAGCACGAATGCTATGCAATTGCGCTGCGGACATCCCGGATTGATTCGATCGGATACTGCGGGATTCACTTCTGGTTTCTGTGCTGGATCTGAATCGAGGTGGGGGTGCAAAGTCGAGTGCAGTGAAGGCTCCAGATTTGCGAAGAGCATGCCTAAAGGATCATCAGTATTTCGCTCAGAAGGGGTGGTTGCGAATAGTGAAGCTTACGGGCTTGGCATCACCGCCAGATCGTCAAATGAGGAAGCAAGCGGCAAAGCTGGGGGAAGAGCAGGTGAATATGGCCGCAGACCACCTTTGAGACTATCTGGGGTGCCAGCTCGTCGCTCTTTGAAGGAGGAGGGTGGGGCAAAATCTATAGGAATGAACATATCATCCTTGAGCAAGTGCGGTGTCGGAAGGATTTGAAGGGGTGTCGGTGGTGATGCTTTCTTCTTTGGCGGGCCTCGATTGGAACCACCCAAACGAACAGATGCCGAGGAGTATGCTCGGGGACCAGCCTGCACAAAATGTCCGCCAGATGCGGACGCCACCATCCGGCTTGAAGCTTGTAAGCTCGACGCTCCGCGAGGTGGAGGTGTCATCGCACGTCTTGCGATGGGCTGTGCATAGGCAATACCATTGTTGCGAAAATGGCCAGAATACTCATGGTATGCTGGACCATCATAGTCAAGGTGTTCGCCGCCAATGTGGTAGTCTTGCTGGGTGTAAACAGGCCCAGGCTTAGCATCATCGAAGTACTCCTTGTAGAAGGACCTGATTCGGATGGCTCGTTGTTCAGGATCTTCGGTAGGGTCGTCAGGAGGAAGTGGTCGAATACCCATAGTCAACCTGCGAACGTCATAATCGAAATCCTGCTCATATTGTTCTACCCTCGGCTTTGCGCGATCTGCTGACAGAGGTACTTCTGGAACTTGTGAATCTGTATCCGGTGCACTCATCTGGATGGTGGGAATGGATATATCAAACTTAGGGAAGTCGAAGTTAAGTGGTTCAGGTTCGGCGACAAGCCCCGACGGCGAGGTAATGCCAATTTTAGTGACCTGTTCCGCAGACTCAACGGGAGGTGGTGTAGGAGCGGTACGTCCTTTCTCTTCGTGACTCTTGTTTTCAAGAGCAGAGGGGCCTCCACTTCGAATAAAAGCACCAAGATAGTCATTGCTCTTTCTCAAGCCAGCCACGGGTCCATCTTTACTGACATCACTACGATACGAATCTCTGTTTTCATCAGACGATGTTGGTGCCAGGTTTTCACTTGGCGGCGTTGGTGAGACAGGCTTTCTAGGAACTTTGTTGGACTGTTCCGATTCCTGAGTCACTGGTGCAATGCCTGCAGAGGTAACAGAGGTCCTTCTTGTCGGTGGCATGGATCGAGACATTCTCTGGGCGTGACGGAGAAGACTTTGATTCGATTCGTTCTCTTTCTCTCCAAAGACGCGACGGGTGGAGGCAGTGTAGCTCGAAGAGTCATCCGCCCCATGCCTAGTGCTGCCTTCCCGCGAAGTAGTCCCATCATCAGGTATGAAAGTCGTCGCCGGGCGGTATTTATCATCTCCGCTGTTCACCGTGCGGGACATCGAATGGAGTGATTCTCTCGATTGTTGGAGCTCTGGGGGTAATAGATAAGGATTGGACATATCCATGTCCATGGACAATCCACGACCATGGCCGCGTCCTAATGTCTTCTCGGTGTCGGCAATGCTCATCTCTGGAGGTGCTTTCCCCTTCTTTTTCGGCTTACCCCCTTTCCTACCAGGAGGGTTGACATCTCCCATGCCAAAGTCAAGTGATTTGTGTCTGTCATTGGCATCTTCGCTGCGTAACTTTCGAATATGGCGCCGGTGGAGAACCAGAAAAATGACCAAGGCCACGGTGAGAGGAATGACAATACCGAGTGCGATCGGCAAAGTGGTATTGCTGGAGCCGCTCACAGGCTTCTCGCATATTGAGCTCGAGTCATCTGGCGCACAAGACTTAGACGTAATGGCTGATGAGGCTGTTGCAACCTGCGGCTCTCTTTTGACGATACTTGGTGTGAGATCCACGTTCAGAAGAGCTTCATCCGCCGGTAATGGATCATCAACCATTCTCCGCGATCTCGGTGATTGCCGCGCAGAGAGCTTTCGATGCAGAATTGAGTGGCCAGCCATCTTGGGATGTATGGAATAGAGGGCAATGAATATAAGGTCGTGGTTTGCTTGATATCGATTAAATGAGATAGCCTCCACGTAGATATCAGAACACCTTATCCAAAGATTGCGATGCTAGATTTGTGTTTGCATGGACTTGGGCGTATTGTTAGTTGTTGGTACCGACTGGAATGGGCGAGAGAAAAGGAGCGACTCCGAATGGAATTAACGAGCTGTGAATCGAGCACGAGGTGACAGAACGGTATAAAGGAGTGGCTGAGGTGCATGAGTCCTCGAAGATTGAAACCAAAAAAAGAAATATTAAGAATAGGAAAGATGTGTACAAGGTGGAGGATGAGAAAGAACAAAGCAAAGTTAACAGGGGCTCTGGAAGCAGCACTAATTGGGACTTGGTTATCCAGAAGTTTGGCAACGCCTAATTAGCCAATTAGTCCATTTCCCCTGGACTAAGATTTGCTAAAGAATTCTCAACGCACGGACCCCGCACCGCAATCTCCCCAACTTGCGCGATATCCATCTTAGCGACCCCGACTTCGTTCGGTTCTGCTGCACGGTTCTGTTTATGTACACAAGCACCCAACTTCAGCAGGTTCTATTTTTTATTCAGCGCGTGTATGAGGCCGAATTCTTGAGTCCTTAACGATCCTGTACACGTTTCCAGAACTTCTCACGCGAAAATGATCAAACATGGCGAATATATAAATTGTCCATGGATACCCTATTGAAATGAGATGATCCTCCACCCTAATCCGCCTAACAAGAACGACCCCTGGTACTGGGTCAACCAGATATAGTTAGATTTGAGCTCCTTTTGCAGTTTTGGCCGGCGTCTAAATTAGCTTGACAAGCATCACGTGTTATGATATCTCCAAGATCTACTACTGGCCGAGCCCAGCTGGGTGACTGCACAGTCATAATGCTTCAGCATGCACTCGTTCTTAAGGCTCCGAGCATGCCCTCGTTATCAAGGCTCCAAGCATGCTTGTCAATGATCCTCGGATCACCCTCCTGGCTCTTGGCATAGTGCGGATAACAGCTATGTCAGCGGCAAGAGCACCACTACTCACTCCAGGTCCCTCGGTCAGTCCGAAGGTAAAGATTATATCATTGGGCTTCTTCCACAGTTATTACATAATTCCGTATGTTGTGATGGAACCCAGGGCCTGACACTTTGGACACCCAGCCGGCCGTGTGGGATCGGCTGCAGAATTAAGCATCATCCGGATAGTGTACCGTCCGGCTTCGCGCGCTGGACCATTTCTCTGTCTGCGCAATTTCATATCCCAAGATGACAATCTAACAGAATATCCGCTAGCCCAGAGACTTAAGCCATACTTAAACAAGGCCAAGGATCTACCAACAATCCATACAATATCAGCAAACCTAGACATATTGATCCGGTCATCTCTCACGAACCTACCATTCAATCTATGCTCAAGTCTGTTTTCGCTCATCTCATCCCCAACCGCACCTCTAGGTCTTTCTCCGCTCCGCCACCCTCGATCCATCCCCTACGAAACCCATCTTCCATGCGTGCTCAAGCTGACCTCTAACTCCAATCATCACGGAAGCCATTACCGCATACCAAGCTAAAATCAACATGACCGTAATCGAATACTCTCTCAAGCTCGGCTATAGCCTGACAATGAACCTCCCGGCGCCCGGTATTAGGAGCTGCAAGATCACAAGCAAGACGATGTTGACCACGGTTTCTGACATTGACTCGTTGTAGTCTCATATTGGTAACCGATATGATCAGCCCTTTTACCCGAGGTTCAGTATCATAGTTGTGTGGGAAGAAGTTTGGCCAGATCTATTGGTAGAAGAAAGACGAGTGGTAGACCTGAGGAGCTACTTCAGCCCTGTGGCTGACTGGCGCTTTACGGCTTTCAGAGGTCCGCTGGGTTTCGACGAGGTAGGGTGCTATCCACGCAGAAATCGCATGTAGATAGTAGTTCATGCCGGTGTTAGGAAGAATGTAGCAGGAATATTCAGGTGATCACCAATCAACTTTGGCCTAACAAATATGGAAGAGGATATCCACTTTCCTGGTGCAAAGTGCGCCAATTTATCTTGAGCTTTTGTGCCTGGAGTAGACGCTATAAAAGCGAAATTAAGTGTGCAGAGGTTTTGCATAGGGGTTTTCATTGGTGGGTTAGGCCTTGGCCATGGAGTGATCAACCACGGCACTGATGGTAGATTGGCCCATTTCACACCAGAAAGTAGACACACAGCTACTTACTGGAACAAATGGTTGCTGACCACCTTGGAAATCATTCTAGTGCAACCTGAAGTCGTCAAAGATATTAGTTTTCTTGTAGCAACGTCATGACCAATAGTCGTCAATGATGACGCATGTCCACAATACTACACCATCGTACAGCCAGATTCAAATTGGCTAGACGCTCCATTTCAGTGTACAGTTTCGATCCTATGCAGTATGACCGAAGTCTTTTTCTCCGAGACGCCCGAATCTTAACTCCGGGCTCCTGTGATGGCAACAGTATTTCTTATGTTCCCATACTGATAAAATAAAACCCTCTGTTACGGAGCCAGGCTGCGGTTGAACTCTGCTTGATCATGGACATCACTCTGCTAAACCCGAAGCCAACGCCGGCGTTAACGGTACTTACAATTTGCATTAGTTAGTGGTTAGTTCTACTTAAGACGACTTACCCTCCAGTTAGTCGAAAGCAGACAGTAAATCAGGATCTCTTGAGCTTTCAACATCCAGGATTTTACATATCAATCCAACAATCATGGTTACGTTAGTCGGACAGCCAGTTGGCAGTATTGGCTACGGCCTCATGGGTATGTACTCACGATGTTCCTTTCTACTACTATTTCATCAGCCATTGACAGTCCTGTCATAAGGTCTAACATGGCGGCCTGAGCCACCCCCACAATCTCAATGCTTAGCCACCATGCGAGCCTCTCTTGCAACAGGTGCCAATTTCTGGAACGGTGGTGACCTTTACGGCACTAGGGAGCGAAATTCCTTGCATCTCCTTAAAGAGTACTTTACCAAGTACCCCGAAGATGCAAAGAAAGTGGTTCTTAGCATCAAGTCAGGCTTTTCGCCGGAAACGATGAGAATGGATTGTAGTCCTGACAACCTTCGACGCAGCGTAGACGAATGTCTGCGAATTTTGGATGGGAAGAAGACTTTGGACATTTTCCAGTGTGCGAGAGTTGATCCTAACATACCCATCGAGGAGAGTGTCAAGGCTCTTGGAGAGCTTGTAAAGGAGGGAAAAATCAAGGGAGTCGGATTGAGCGAGACAAAAGCTGAGACGATCAGACGCGCTCACAAAGTACATCCCATTGCCGCAGTTGAAGTCGAACTCAGCTTGTGGGCTACTGACATATTGAGAAACGGGATTGCAGCAACGTGTGCTGAGCTGGGAATACCAATTGTAGCATATTCGCCACTAGCGAGAGGGGCACTGACAGGGCTCATCAGGAGTAGCGCCGATATCCCAGAAGGAGACGTGAGAAAGCACTTGCCGAAGCTTCAAGAGGACGTCATAGCCACGAACATGAAAATAACGCACGAGGTAGAGAAGCTGGCCGAGAAGAAGGGAGTGACCAAACCTCAGCTCGCAATAGGGTGGGTTAGGACTTTGAGTGGCAGAAATGGTATGCCTATCATCATTCCCATTCCTGGCGCAACCACCGAAGAGAGGGTTCTGGAGAATGGAAAGGAAGTTGACTTGGCGGACGAGGAAATGGATGAAATCGAGAAGATATTGAAAGAGAATGAGATCCAAGGGGCCAGACATAGTGGACCAGTTGCTGCTCTCAGTGAATACTAGATAAACGTCTGGCCGCGCTTTGCCGTGTGCTTTTACTGCTTCCTCGGCTACACTTGCAAGAAATTATACACATTGTGCGACACGAGTGTGCGAGTCTCGCCTGATCCTATTAGCTACAAGTAGAGTCAGTACAGCTCGCCCGGCTCGGAATGGCTTGCAATGTAGCATCAAAGGGAGTGATCAGATCAAGTGTAGTTTGCGAAATCAGCATTGAGAATAAGAAGGTCCCATACGCTTTCAGTATTGCAGAATTCTCTTGTTGCTCATCCTTAGGAGGGGACGAAGCTACCTTAAAGCAGGAAAAGACGAACCTGAAAATTCTGGACTCATGAACCAAGATCCTGTCAAGAACTCGACTCTGTGATTGGGAAGTTGTGTCCTCACGGAGCCGTATTGCACATCGAATGGTCATTGTCTCTTTCCAGCTACTCATGAGAGTTCAGGCTGAGTGGCGTAGTTGAGAAAACCTGCAGGTGGTGTGCCACAACCGATTACTAAGTGTGTTGCCATGCCAATTGGCCCATCGGAAAGCTGACGCAGTGATCGACCGCAGCTTAATAGTAATCTTCAGAAATACATCATCGACTGCAACTCAGTCTCTTGAGACTCGGCCCCGTTAAATCTCTCGCCGTATTATCCCATTCCATTGAGTGTCGGGACTCGCGGGAAATAAACGTTGCATCCATCAGCAAATGATAAACTCCACCGTCCCAAACCAGCTTCCTCGATCAGATTCACCCCGTCCACACTTTCATCTCGAACGAGCCACGCTTCTCCCCCAAGATGCGGTCTTCGGTCTTCGTCTCAGTCGTCTTTGTGCTGTCAGGCGCCTCAGCTTCATTCGACAGCTTATCGCCATATGTCAATCCTCTAGATTATACCGATTCCTCTCCTAGACTATTTAAGCGACAAGGGTGTCCGGGTGGATTCACAAACTGCGGTGCACTTGGGAATAGTGGTGCTTGCTGCCCAACGAACCAGGTCTGCGCTCGAGACTCAGCCGGAAACGTGGCATGCTGTCCTGTCCGTGCATTATGTACAGGCACGATAGGGGGAACGGCACCAGGTACTGGCGTAGGGTCGAGCACTGGCGCTGTTATTATTGGGGGTTCGACAGGAACGCCGCCGTCGTCCGTAACAGCTACAAGTGGCTTTCTCTTTTCCAGCGTAACAACGACGCCGGCGCCATCATTCACCGGTTCGACCGTTCCAGGGGCCGTCTTCCCTTTTGTTTTCATACCGACAACGTTCGCCAACGCTGCCGAGTGCTCATCCTACGCCACATCTTGCTCGAATCAATATCAGTCATGCCTTGCAACGCTAGGCGGCGGGGTCAATGGCGTAACGGTGTCGGGGGCCAACGTCGGCATCACAGTCCAAGGGGCTTCAACGACTGTAGCGAGCGCAAGCAGCGTCTGCAGCTCTCTCAGTCAACAAGCTTGCTATGGATTGCAGACAGGTATTTGTCCACAATATGGAAGTGGCACAGGCACAGGGGGTGGTACTGGAGGCTTCGCTGTTGGCAGTGGAGCAGCGGCCAGAGCAACAGGGTGCCCTGGAATAATGTACGCAGTGGGTGCTGGAGCCATGGCAGGAGCTGCCGGAGCTTATTTGTGATTTAGCAAGAAGATTGTGGCATGGCGCTGGAGTTCTTGATTGCTACGAAATAACTTTGTTGATAATCTGGAAATTTGGAATGCAGCATTGCGTTGCGTGGCTGGAGATTATAATATTGCTCGTTACCTATAACTTCAGCCTACTCTACATGAGGTCCCGGCTTGTAGTTCGCTCTACAGAATAACACGAAATTCGCCCCTGATCAGGTGGCTACTATCCGTTCCGTCCTCAGACCGTCGTTGAGCCTCATCTGTTGCTACCCGGTTGCCGGGCCAGCTCCACATCGATAAGCAGGGGTGTTGGCGTTGACCTCGGGTTCGGGCCGGCGTAGCGTGCCACCACGGTATGGAAGACCATCTCTTGGCCCTGTGGCTCTTGAATCTGTACACCTTGAGCAAGGAAAAGATGTCTCTACTTGCGGAACTCAGGCAGAAAATGAACTCAATACGGAGTACAGAGCTCTCGATACCAGAGGCGAAATGTGCGGTCATTGGGGCCAACAGCTGCCTTTAACTGGTTGAGGGTGAGGTGGGTGGTACGAGTACGAGTAACTTCCGTAGCACGGGCACCTCGGCAGACCAAGCAGCAGCAGTGGATCTGCACCGCAATAATCCCCGCACTAATCCCTGCACTACCATTATCCCACTATCCCACAGCTTCAGTTTCCAGTTTCTTTTCAATGGTCAAAGCATTTCAACAAAGCTTGAGATTGCGTTCCAGCAAAAGCTTATATCATCTCGCCAGCCTCCTCTGATTTCTGCGTGCCGAAACTGTGATGGACTATCTGGGTGACGGTGTCTAAGAAATAAATCTGGTGGTTGGGTGGAGGAGGTCGGGGGACTAATCTAGCTGGAAGATAACCACACCATCACCAGTTTTGACAACGGCTGGATTTTGCATTCCTCTTTGCGCATTTCGTACTGTCCTTCAGTTGCAGCTCTTATCCACATATTATCGAAATCATCGAAGAGTTGTGGCTTTGTCTGAGGACGAAGTCGCCGTGGTAGATATCCCTGGCGACATCACTCTTCAATCTACGGCGACCCACCTGCACTCACCAAACCTTCCTTTCTCTGCTGGAGGAATTATCAGAAGCATCCTATTCTTTCATATTGATTGCGAAGCTCAACAACCGGCCATACGTGCCCGAAGTTCGAAGGGCGTTGTCGCAATGCGACTCTTCGCAGTGCCGTCACCACTCCTCTGCCTACTCGCGGTTGCACCTTCCACATCCTTAATCGAAGCAGCCATTATACCCTCAGAAGGCCGGGTGCCGAAACAAGAAGACAACGTAATCGCTAAACGACAATGTGCAACTCATTGTGGCTTTTACGGACAAGTCTGTTGTGGACCCAACGAGGTCTGCATCACTGATGCCAACAACCAAGCACAATGCGGACCAGCGGGTGCGCAAGTCACAGTGGCAGCGACAACGGCAGCAGGTCAAGGCAACTGGCAATACTACACAACCACGTACGTACAGACAGATCTCAGGACCATCACCAGCACCTTCAGCACCTTCTTCCCAATTTCTACACAGAATCTGATCGTTACCTCTACTGCCGCCAGTCAATGTAGATACTCTCTTGGAGAATCACCTTGTGGCAGCATCTGTTGCGCCTCTGGACAATATTGCATGGCCGACATAAACCAATGTGCAGCAGCCGGAGGAGGCAGCTCGGCATATTTCAGCAGCTTTTATACGGTCACGCAGGTCGCCAGCGTTCCGGTGCGACCAACCAGCAATACGGTCTTGACCGTGACTTCCACTGGTGTGGCCACTGCAACCGTGCCGTACTCGACTCCGGTAGGCACGGATGGAAGCACCATCATTGGTGCACAACCGACAACCCAGGGGCAGAGACTCAGTGGCGGAGCAATCGCTGGAATTGTCATTGGCGTCATTGCTGGTATCATCATCCTCTTTTTGATCTGCGTCTGTTGTTGCGCCCGAGGTGCGATTGATGGGATAATGGGTATCTTTGGTGGAGGCAGGAAACGACGCACAGAGACCACGTACATCGAGGAGAGGCGTTCTCACCGCGGATCAAGACCTGCAGGTCGTACCTGGTTTGGTGCACGACCCGCAAGGGTAGATCGAACCGAGAAGAGAAAGAAAACTGGCGGCGGCCTTGGTGGCCTCGCAACAGTTACAGCTGGGCTCGGAGCATTGGCCCTACTTCTAGGTCTGAAGAGAAGGAGGGATCAGAGGAACGACGCCAAAAGTAGTTCAAGCTACAGTTATTATGACGAATCATTCACTGGTACCAGCGAGAGTGAGTAGTCAGACAGTTCTTTCTACAATCGTTCTCTATGCTAATCATGAGTTAGGTAGTCTGAGTTCGGATCGAAGAACACGAGATAGTCGACGGTCGAGGAGGTGATGAATACAAAGAACAAAGGCAAATCCGAACGGCGAAGGTGTCATTAGCATATTACAGGAAGTACGATTACTATTAGGGATAATTGAGGCACATGGGACAGGCAAAGCGTTGCATCTGACACACCCTTAGGCAACTTGCGAAGGGAACGCATCTAGATAGGTTGGCGATAGCGAGTCCAGGTTAGCTCAGAAATTGTATAGAGAAGAGTGATGAAAGATGAGCAAGTTACGACTCCATGAGTCCTTGGGCAGAACAAACCCGGCCTCCCGATCGTGCATTCATATCTTCTCATAGATAGTACTACGTAGCTGATACTACAAATACAAGCCAAAATCCAGGACGTGTGTACTGCTGTGCCCCTTCTGCCCCACCCCTCTGTTCTTCTGTTAATGGTTCCTTCAGTAGATTGAGTATAGACTCAAGATACCACCATAACAAAACCAAGCTTCCTCACCGTCCACAGTGGCTGTCAACTTCCTGGACTCTGGTCTTCCTTCGTCTCTACCACGCAGAATTTCGGCTTTGAGGCTCGCTGCCCTAGGCTACCTACCTACGACGGTAACCGTCCTTCCAAATCAATGCTTGAGGGAAATGTCACCACCATGTGCCCGGCTGCAACTGGCCTGGAATGTTCCAGCTATCACATCATTGTGCTGGCCTACTCTCATGGAGGAATAGTCACCACAAAAACAATAGCCACTGAGCTCTATGGTCCAGCCCACAACTCCGAAATTGGCGTCCCCGCGTTTGCACGATCTATCGGAGCGCGTCGCTCACCTTGAAGAACAAATCTCTTCACCAGAAATACGGCTGCTCATCCCGTATCGAAGTAGGTGTCAACTAGGATGAAACTGTATATGACAAAACGTTCAGGACTCATACCAAAACGTTATCGAACCGTGCAGTAGTGTGGGAGAATTGCAGATGCACCTGTAACGCGCCATTAGTCTGCAGTTAGTGCGGAGATGAAGTGTGCGCCGTGAACGGACTTGAAGACGACCTATGTTTTCTGTGATAAGCTCTCTTGTTAGATTGCAAAAGAATATGGTTAGGGATGTGAATGAGGCGGGCAGCGCTGAGGACCTCCGGACTAAAATGCTGGCTTGGGAGCACCTGCCAGTCTCTTGGGCATTGTAGAGAACGTGGTGACTGGGCTTGTAGCGTAAATATGCAGCGTTCTCATTGCTAGGGGGTTGTCTTTGGAGCAAAGACTCTGAGACCAAAAGAAGACTGTATGAACGGGGCAAGTAGAACATCATTGCCTGCCGTAAGAGTAACGGGACTGATCGTGTTGCTGTGAACTTTGCTGTTATGCTTCTTCACGCTCAACGTACAGACACAATCTAAGGAGACCACTTAAACCTATAAGACCTCACATGATATATCTGTATGAGTTATTCGGGTCTCTGATGTTGTGAGGTTGGTGGCTGGAACAGTAGTGCGGCTCTGGCAAGTGATCGACATGGGAGGGGGATTTACAGCACTTCAGCATTGAATGATATTGTTACGAACGGCCTGCCAAATCTACTTACACAGCAATATCTCACCCCTTTGTACTTGCTATACTGACATTTTCAATGTTTTGCCGGTGATCTCGACTTTCACACGTCAATTCTGAGGCCCTCTAATCCAGAAGCGGGCATTCCAAAGCATGTTACAAACTCCTCACATCTTCTCGCATCAGCATCAATACGGACAACAGAATGACCAAGTATCCTCCTGGCAGCAAAGTCAACATCAAGCGCTCAATCATGTACAGCAACAAGCGCAACAAGCGCAAGCAGCCGCTGCAGCTGCAGCCCAAGCACAACAGCAGCACTACAGTCGAATTGCGGTGAATCAAAGTCACAGCTCCGCAAACAACCGGTCAGGCAGCTCGAATGACCCTTCCTCAAACAACATCAACGCAATCATGAACGGTGGAGCCGAGACTGGAAGCCCAGGCATGGAGCAAGGGATCAGTGAAGAAAACCGAAAGGTGCTACAGTGGGTTGCAGAATTGATGGATCCAGCGAGAAGAGAGGGAGCCTTGATGGAGTTGAGTAAGAAAAGGGAGCAAGTGCCCGAGCTTGCTTTGGTTATATGGCACTCTTTTGGTGTTATGACAAGCTTGCTGCAAGAGATCATATCTGTCTACCCTTTGCTCAATCCAAGCCAGCTCACCGCAGCGGCCAGCAACCGAGTCTGCAATGCACTGGCATTATTGCAGTGTGTTGCAAGCCACAACGAAACTCGAGGCCTTTTCCTGAATGGTAGGTCGAGCCTGGGCTTAGATATCCTTGCAGGCTGACATACGTTCTTAATGCTCGAAAGCGCACATACCGCTTTTCCTCTATCCATTTCTCAACACCACATCTAAATCTCGACCTTTCGAATACCTTCGTCTCACTTCTTTAGGCGTTATCGGTGCGCTCGTCAAGAACGAACCCTCGACCAGCTCCGCTTTGACCACCAATGGCCAACCAAACAACTCCTCCGGCAACAACTCATCACCTACAATTACCTTTCTCCTAACCACCGAAATCATTCCCCTCTGCTTACGTATCATGGAGACCGGTTCAGAGCTCTCAAAGACAGTTGCCATTTTTATCGTCCAGAAAATCCTTCTCGATGACACGGGACTGGGCTATATATGCGCCACTTACGAACGCTTCTACGCCGTCGGCACGGTCCTAAGCAATATGGTTGGAGGGCTTGTTGAGGTCCAGACAGTTCGACTGCTCAAGCACGTGGTCCGGTGTTTCTTGAGGTACGCTCTGCCTGATTCTCAGCCAACCGTCTATCTCCCAAGCTAGGCAGACATACTGACAGGTCATCTTACAGGCTTAGCGACAACAACCGAGCCCGAGAAGCACTACGCCAATGTCTACCAGAGCCTCTTCGGGATGCAACCTTCCAGGCCGTCCTCCGAGACGACGCAGCCACGAAACGTTGCCTGGCTCAACTGCTCATCAACCTGAGCGACAATGTTGCTGACGCACAGCAGAATCCCGGCATTGGCATGTAAAACTTTTTTGTTTCGCCGTTTCTCCCTAAATTAAGTGGGAAATGGCCTGGAACTGCCTGAGACAGACAGATCTCACATCATCCCTACTACCACTGCTACCGACTTTCTAGGTTCTCGTTGCCACAATACAATACACAGAAGAAGATACCCCTTGTTCGAACATATTTCCCAAAAATCCGCCCACCAAGTCCAAGGGAAAAAAAAGAAAGAGCTAGGCTGGGCTGATAGGGGAGGACCAACGATTCGAAATGAGCTATGAGTGCTCTAGAGTGTTTTTTTCCTTTTGACATTTTCTTTCTTTCGATGACGAGTTGCATAGCGACATGAAGGTTTTGCGGGCATATGGCAGGGCAGCTGGGGGACATTTTCAGGTTTCAAGTTTCTGGCTTCAGGCATGGGACGGATGACTGGCGTCGGTTCAGCTGGCTATGTGTAACCGGTAGATACGCGAACGTCTTGTACGAAATCTAAGATGGTCTTTGCTTCCCTCCTACACTTCACGCATACATACACAAGACGTGTGTGCAGATGCCTCAGAAACTGGCGCCGGAAAGACGTCAATTCTTTGGATTCTGTCCGCCTATCTATCTGGGTGAACTATCCGCCAGACTGCCCGTCCTCGACTTTCCCTTCGCCGCAGCACCACTCTCCTGCTCCAGGAAGCCCTGCCACAACTCCGCTAAACTCTCCCGGCTGCTCGGACTGCCCACCCCGCTACCTGGCACCCCATCTGGAAAATAATCTCCCGTCAGCGCCGGCGTGCTGGGCGTGCGATGCACGAGCGGTGAGTGCGGTAGTCGCAGACTGCCTGTCAGAGTATTCGAGGAAAAGGTGGTGGTGGTGGTGGTGGTGGTGGAAGAAGGGCGTGCCAGGCCGGCCTGTTCGCGTTGTTCGTCGGTCCAGCCGAGGAGGGCGGCGATGAGTTGGAGGATTTGTTACATTCTGTGTCGAGTCCTACAGACGGGCGGTCGAGGGCCAGGAAGTGGAGGAGGTGATTGGTTACGATTTGGCTATATGATGACAAAGAAGGGGAGGGTTAGTTTGATTTGGGCATGATTGGAGGGACGGAAGGAAGAATGGGTATGATCCATTAACGCACCGATCCACGTTATCTTCTGGTTTACCCTTCTTGAGAAAGCGGAGAGCTTTGGTCAAATGTTCGTTTAGGGTGACGGCTTCGTGCCGCAGCTTGCCGATCAGAAGGTTCTTTTCTTTGACCTCTTTTTCGAATGGGAGGGCTCTCTCTAGTTCTTTCTTCACGGTTTCGAGCTCCTGAGTAGCTGAAGCTGAAGCCTGTTGAGCCTCTGCAAGCTGGCTGCGTAGTTTTTCGGCTTCGCTCTGTGAGCTTTCCACCACTTCTCTCAATTCCCTTTTCCTCGCTGTTTGTATCTCTTGTAGAGCTTTCTGTAGTCCATCCACGGTATTGGACTGGCTGTCGCGCTCACCTGCTGCTCTCTCGTAAGCCTCTTTCAGCCCAGATAGCTGTTCCTCGAGATCGCCGACTTTTTCACCCAGGTCCTTGCGAATAGATCGTTCTTCCAGGGCAAGCACTTCCCACTCCCGCATAGCTTGTTCAGCGTTTTGGTATTGCTCACGCGCATATGATTCCTGCTCGATTAGGTCTTCACGTTCCTTGAGCCAGTTTTGTTGAGACAGTGTCGCTCGGTTGCGGAGAGAAGATAGTTCTTTAGATTGCGCTTGTATTTCTGATGTTAGGTTCTCAAGCTCGGCGGAGTGGATATTCTGCTGCTCCTGTAAGGAATTGTTTTGTTCTTCGAGCTCCTCGATGCGGGAACGGGCTTGAGCAAGGTCTTCCTAAGATACCATGTTAGAGTCACAGAGCCTTTAGCTTGGGACACTTCGCTTACTGCATCGGCTTTGAGTCTCTCCCCTAGCTGCGCTTTGATCGTGTTGACTCTGCCTAACAAGGTTTGGTATTGCTCCTCCGCATTTTCCTTCTCGGTCCGCGTTTCACGTAATTCTTGTTGGACACATCCAAGACTGGTCTGATGGTTTGCTTGTAGTTCTTCCAGGGATTGCCGGAGCTGAGTAACTTCGATACGAAGAGCATCTCGGTCCTTCACAAGTGCTTCGAATCTGGCATCAGAATCCTCGGTAGACCCTGTCATGCTGGTTTTCTGGGTGCCATTGGTGAGAGGAGTCGTGGAGCTGTTGTCGGTTACGGTGATTGGGGATAGTTGTGACTGGTCCTGGTCCTGGTCCTGGTCCTGGTCCACTTCTTCAGGCTGTGGCTCCTCATCTTCAGCTTCTATCATCTTCGTCGGTACTTCCGTTGCCTCAGATGTAGTGGATGCAGCTTTAACATCGCCATTGGCCTTGTCCGTTGCGCCCTTCTTTCTTCTCTTCTTCGCACTTTTCGATCCTGGGTGATTTTAGCAAATGAGCTTCACGAGTAGAGCGAAGCTAACCTAACGACGTATGAGCAAGTGGATCCGCAGTAGTGTTTCCAGACATGACGCCGTAATTATTGAGTTGATGAAGTATTACTACGCTGTGCATTCGTGGCAGCTTCATGCCAAGACCTATTTCCTCTAACTAGTTGCATCTGTGATAGTATTCGGCCTACAGGGAGGCCTGAAGTAATGTTAGTCAGATGCTAGTAGCGGCTAGTTCTCGTTACCAAATTCTAGTACTATGATTCGTCAGTGTGAAGCTTCTTTAATACGTAGCTATTGTGATTAGCTGATCTGTTACATCTAACTTCTTTTAGACGTAGCTGTTTCTTGCAAAGGACGTTTATCAGTAAAGATACTAGCGAGCTACCATTACTTCAGGTCTCCTCCGTAACTAGTTAATTAGTATGCTTTGAGGGGCTACCACACGTATATAACAGGACATCCCAAACACCCATGCTCTAGCTCTTTGTCTATCATGCTTGTCTTTCTCGCTCCCACCGCGCGTATCTCTTGAATAAGCAATCTCGTAAGCAGTATGCTTTCAATCTCTCCAGCGGCACGAGACCTATGCATATAAATATCTCATATATAAACCTCCTTCGCACGTTTTACTTCTTGGTCACTAACGAGCTACGTAAATAATGGAAGATCTCGAGATGGATGACGTTGACAACCGTGTGAACCTTCGTCCTAACATTCTAGTGGATGAAGAATCATCTTCCGACAGAGGCAAGTCCAACCTTCTGAAGATTTCCGAACAAGCTGCGCCCCACGGCGCAATATTTCTACATCTGGTAAATCTCGGTTGAGCTGAAGACATTACGGAAAATACCCGAATATTGTCCGTTCTCCCAAGAAAGCTGTTGAAATTGCGCCTTTTTTAAGTTGGCGACTTCAGAATCCTCCCAGGGCAAGCGAATCCGCGGTCAGGTATAATTGGCAAGAATGAATGAGAAAACTAAGTTCTTCTGTTTATTCGAGAATTGTACAGCCATCTCGAACTCTGATATCGTGTGCGGCTATCCCGGAGAAAGGCTTGAAAGACTATATACGATGAACTTGCAAAAGAGGGGGCTGGGAGTGGTGTGCTAGAATTACACAAGGACCGACAAGCGCGAGACAAATGCAAGCGAAAAAGTTCGCACCATGTCAAGATTCATGATCTGGTATCGAAGTTTGGGTTGGGTGCTATTCTCACCTTCACGCAGAAGGAAGTGTCGCTTGGGAATATTCAGCGGTGGAGCTCTGTCCGACTGAAAATAATAGCCATTGCTCTTCAGCATGGCCGGAGAGCTTGGGGTACACAGATCTATGCAAGAACTAGGAGACGTGGTAAGAAGCGCTGTGGACCCAAGACAGGCGGGTCAGTTCGTGTCAGTATTGAACGAGATCACTTTAGGTACAATTCCTGTGCTACAGCCATCCTCGGATTCTATCAAGGTCCACCATACTCGCACACCAATCTTGACCTCTTCAAATTCCATTTCCACTTCGAGACCTGAGCACACGTGACTGCAACCTGAGCGATGAGTAAGCAGCCCTGAGCATCGACTAAGCTTTAGCTTGAGCTTCCCGTAGCTCTGAGAGCTCAGTTTCGTGTCCCCTACATTGCCCGCAGCGCTTAACCGAGATTGCCCCCAGAGTGGATTGTGGATTCTCGTGATTTGTGACAATCAGCGGCATTCCATATGCAAAATCTTAAACAGCCATGGCTACAAGAATTATTTGCCATCCACCTCTGGGGCAGACTACCGTGGTATCAGGAAATCAAGTAGGGTCTTCTCGTTTCTCCTAAAAACAAGTTGTACGACGTGCTAAATGGTTGAAGATTGGCTTCACCGTTTGCATCGAGCTTGACCGGAAAGTCGCAGAACAGATTTGGGAAGCTGTCCTATGGCACAACGGAAAGGATGGAGAATGGACTGGGCTACCGTTCAACAGCCTTACAGACGCAGCTGACGTACTAATCACCTGGTCTTGTGATATGCGAACGTTAAGACCTCCTACTGATTGATGTATAGCTGAGCATCCATACAATTCCGGACCAACAGTCGATTTGCAGCTATTATCATTGCACCTTGTCGAATGTGCTAAGACTGACACAGATACAGTTCACGTTGAGGTTTCGAGCTAGAGATCAGGCGTGGCAATGGGTCAAGGACAGCTTTGGAGAGCAGGATGGCGAGATCCGGTTCCAAGACCATGCCCCCAGGCCAGATTCATTCCAGTCGTGCTGCCCGGGTTTGGATCCAGCGTTGAGCATCACACTTGGGTGCAAAACTCCAGAGCAGAATGCAGTCACCGTCTGGGAAATTTTTGAACATGTTCCTGGTGCCGAAGACCCAAGGTCTGGGTATAGTACGCGAATGATCGGGATTCCACGCGGCTTTAGTCATTGGTTCGCACTCGTGCGCCACTCTACGGCCTGGATCGCACCAAGGCAAGGCAAAGAGAAGATCACGCTTGACGCAGACGCCATTGTCTGCTCCTTCTTGCGAACAGATGGCCTTCATTTGGTTCTCTTGGCCGTGACTGCAGTGGACGTTTTGACGGTGCTTAATACCAATGAACATGGCGAGCTACTGATGGTAGGTAGGAATGACAGTCTCAAGGATGGTCAAGCTGTCGTGGTCGCAGCGCTCGGGACTAGCTTTGAGGATGCAAATGCTGCTGCGATGGCTCGCGCAGAAGGAGTCATTCGCAGGTCACAGCCTTCACTGCCTACAATCTCGAACAAAACTGCGGGCGGAAACGTAAACGATGATGCTAAGAAACTGCAGGGCTGGTATGACGGCCTCACATATTGCACTTGGAATGCTCTTGGTCAAGAGCTGAACGAGGGCAAGATCCACAACGCACTCGAGGTCTTGAGCGAGCACGGAGTGACCATCACAAATGTGCTGATCGACGATAACTGGCAGTCACTTGATCATGCTGGCGCAAGTCAATTCGAAAGAGGCTGGACTGACTTCGAGGCGAGCGAAGAGGGCTTTCCGAACAAGTTAAGTGGCCTCACGGCGGCTATACGGCATCGCCACCCGAATATACAGCATATCGGCGTCTGGCATGGTGTCTTTGGGTACTGGGGAGGCGTGGCTCCTGATGGAAATCTAGCAAAAAAGTACAGGACAAAGCGGGTACACAAGGAACGTGACTTTTGCGACAGAGACTCTTTTACTGTAATCGATGGCGAAGACGCGTCCCAAATGTTTGAAGATTTCTACGAGTTTCTTCAAGAGTCTGGAGTCGACTCCGCTAAGGCTGACACTCGCTACTTACTCGATTGCCTGTCTGCCTCAAACGATCGCAGAGACATGATCAGAAGGTACAACAACGCATGGCTGGAAGCCTCAGCCAAACATCTCTCCATGCGTGTAGTCTCGAGCATGGCAATGATCCCACAACTCCTATTCAGTCCAGAGGTCTTCTTCAAGCGTGCTACCTCCCAGCATCAACAAAAGCTGATCATGCGCACTTCCGACGACTTCTTCCCTGAAATCGAGCCATCTCATCTCTGGCACATCTTCTGCAACGCCCACAACGCCGTCCTCACCCAGAACCTAAACATCATACCTGACTGGGACATGTTCCAGACAACTCACGATTACTCCGGCTTCCACGCCGCAGCCCGCTCTATATCGGGCGGACCAGTCTGCATCACCGACTATCCTGGAAAGCACAATCTGCCTCTCATCAAGCAACTGGTCGCAAATAAACCTGCCGGCAGCAGCGTGATCCTCCGTCCGAGCGTTGTGGGGAGAAGTGTGCAAGTCTACACTGCGCACAAGGAAGAGCGCTTTTGCAAGGTTGCGGCGTTCCAGGACGTCTCGTTTGGAGAGCGGGAACTTGCGGCTGGCACAGCTATTGTGGGAGTGTTCAACATGGGTACGCAGACACATGTCGAATTCCTGCCTCTGGCAGAGTTCCTCAACTTCGAGGCCGAGGGGATCGAGTATGCGCTGAGGTCCTTTGTGACGGGCAATATCGTTGCACCACTGTCGGGTGCGTCTGGTCGTTCACTCGTCAAATTAGAGCTGGGACATCGGGGCTACGATATACTCACATTATATCCACTGTTGCTGCTGGATGGGCGGAGAAAGATCGCTGTTCTGGGACTGCTGGGTCAGATGAGTGGAGCTGCGGCAGTCATTGGCATTGACGTCAAGGCCAGTGAAGCTGCCGTCAGCACGAAAATAAAGGCGCTTGGCTCTTTTGGTTTGTTTGTGATGGGGCAGGAGGACGGGGAGAAACTTTTGACTGGGACGGCTACGCTGTGTGGTCAGAGGATTCCGGACGCATACCAACATGTGGAGGATCTGAAGAATGGGCTCCTGCTGCAGCTGGATCTGGAAGGTGCTTGGAAGGAATTGGCGCTACCAGATCAACAAATTGTGGTGGAAGCGGCGATATAAAAGAGGATTCACCTCGAGTTGCATGCCATCTTCTGATGCTCAAACGCATCGCCTAACCAAGACAAACTACGTATACAAACTTACACCAGCGCGTCTCTAGCAGCGCTCACGCAGCATCCAACGCCACAACGAGATCACCATCGTCAACCGTGCTAGCGCACACCAGTACTGTGGTTGGGCTCTCAATATAATTTTGGTATGCTACTTAACTATGGGTTTCTACACCAAGCGAGACCGTTTCCCCATACTTGGTAGCTGTCTAGATTATCAATCTATCGCACACTTGTCCTTGAGCCGTTTCGCAAGGCCTCTGTTACCGCCCTGCCTGGGCGAGCCGGCGTGAGTGCTCGAGCCCGCCAGACTACTGGAGCTCGCCTGCCGTTGGGTAGCTGCTTGAGCTCGAGAGCCCGGCTCACTACTGATGCTCGCCTGGCTGCTCGAGCGCGATTCTGGCCGGCCAGCGGGGACTGCCTGGGCTCTGGTTCCTTCTCCCTGACCAAATCCCATGCCGCGTGGTAATTCCAGAGCGTTGTCCCACGCTACGGGTGTGTTGTTCATGGCTGCGATTTTGGTACAAACATCGGCTGGCAATCCAGCTCGTCTTCCGTCGCCGGACCTGGCGCAGCTGTTTCATTGTCAGTCATTTAATCTGCAAAAAGGGCACATGAGCGGAATTGGCCCGGCTCTCTGTATGGGAATGACGAACTAGAGCAAAGCGGCTTCTCCATGATATCGACGCTCGAGCTCAGCTCTAGCCACGCCAAATCGCCTCTCGTATCCAGGTTTATACTCCGCTATCTGACGTAGAAACGTGGGGTAGACATCCTGCGGTTCTTGTAGATTATGTTAGCTCAGAAGGCTAAATACTTCAGGGGTGCGGTGAAGGAGAAAGAATGGAATAATCTTACCGTGCGTTATGTCCTCCCGGGCCATTAACTTTATTTCAGCGTCCTTCACAGATTCAATGCCTTTGGCGGCAACCTCATAGGCTTGCTGAACACGGCTTTTCGCAGGAGTTGCTGACATGCTAACAAGGTGTCCCCAGTCTAGACTCTTGAAAAGCTTGTGGATGAGATGAGAAAAGGAACAAGCGACAGTGAAGATGGTTCGATTAACAGGACCACGAAGCGAGCTTGGGTCGGTATACTCCAATATCGGCCAAATGGACAGCTTTGCTATCTAAGTTGAAGAATACGGAAGGATCTTCATGAACCAGAGAGTCCTGAACAGCAGTGAAGAAGTTCATGTCCAGAAGAATAGAAAAGGCACTCAATTGTAGGTACTTACTTGCCAGTAATGAGACTATGTTGCAAGCCATGCCTGGATTCCAGACGCGGTAAGGCCAGAAATGGCAAATGAGGGCCACATACCGAGTAGAACCCATGTGAACTGGTCAAACATGTCGCTGGACCAAGTGCATGAGCAGTTGATGTTCGAAGCACGTTACACCGCGTTGACAGAGACGGAAAATTGCTCCGGAGATACTGACTCAGTGCCCGTCTGATCATGGCAGGCCTGGAAAGGACTATCTCGTGTGGAAGAAGTTTCACGGGCTGATCGAAACCTTGCTCGGGAGATCCGGGGTCTCGTCCTCGAAACAGTGAGTGAAGCAGTCGATGGTGAAAACCATTGCCTGTTCTCGCGACACAAAACAAAGCATCGATTCAGCTGGCAGACTATGAGAACAGGGTAAGCCTAGGCCAGAGAGGAATGTTCAGAGCATGAGCTGTAGAGAGCTCTTCGCATCGTAGCATGCATTTTGTAGGGTTACTGTATGCCACCAGCCGTGTTGTCTTTTGGGACGATTCTGTATTCATCGTGTGTTGGAAGCTAGCTAGGGGACTCGGCCCGAAGCCCCTTTTCCGTTCCGCTAGTCAGAGGCGGGCGATTTGTTATATTAGCTGTAGAACGACCAGACCATACAATTCTTGACGCATTTCTATCTGATGTGTCAGTACCGAATCATGCTCTCCAGCTTTGTGTCGACTTCTCTTCTGCCCAACATCTGCTCTGTCGTGCCACAACGAGGCTTCTGGGAGAGCCTTATTCAATACCTACAGTGACTCGCTCATCATGATAGCTTCTCTACATGATGGTTCGCCATATGGTATCCCCTTTTGATAAGGCAGGCAGTAGCGATGGCCAACAGCTGATATTTGATCTGACTCTTCCATCTGCTCTCCCTGGACCTTTTTTGCAATGGGTCAGACCTCTAAGCATATGGTAAGTACAAACAGAGCCCTTTTCTATTGCTGCCATACACCAGCACATTTGTGATGACTGGGGCAACATAACTCTCAGCTCTTTATTCATCCCCTATTGTCGTTACCAAGAGGGAACCTGATTTAGTTTCATTGCTTCCAGGGGATGGTATACATATGGTAGACAATGGACAAGTACAATGGTTTTAGCAGTACGGGTCCCGTTTAGCACAAAGTCTTATTCTGCGCCCGATCAAATGGGCATTGATATTCTGTTCGCCGAGCATTCATTAGGCTTTTCCTTTCTCTCCGCAGTACCAATTCTAGGACGAATTAGCACAGTAGTGCCAAATGAAAAGGTGCTCGCTTCAAACACCGGTTCTTACTTACCATGACCTGCTGACAATATTCTCAAACCAGCTTACCTTGACTGCTGCCTAACTAGCATAGAAGCACCAACTGTGAATATGTTGCCACAATGATTCACTATCCGGGCCCCTCCATAGACTTGCCTCCTTCGAGTTCTATTTGATAGATCTACTCGTTGATTTCTTAGCCATCCCTCCAGATTCAGCGTCCAACAGAGCCTGTTCTACACAATGGCCCGCCACGCAGCAACACTCGACGCACTTCCATCTGAGCTGATCTATGAAATCATCATCAGAGTCCCGTTTTCCAAGGATGACTTCACAGCTCTCCAACTCATCAATCGTCGTGTCTACCAGATCATGGGGAAAAGAGGATGGATGATCTTCAACGATATCGCAGCCGAGCAGTGCGCACAGGCACTTGCAATGCAACGATTGCCGTACTGCTCTCCGTTCGCCCAAGGGCTGGGATATCCCACTCAAAATCAGCTCGCAGACGTCTGCGAAATGCACCAGAAATTCGAGAAACAAGTCAACAGCATGGCCAAAGCTGAGGCGGGTATGTTGCAGCAAGGTTTGGATACCAAATACTTCCGAATCAAGGGTTGGAAGAGCAATGTCCTCACCGGCTTGAACGTGGTCAAAGCCATGGAAAAATACGTCCAGGCCCCGGCCGCCCGGCTACCCAACCCTAACATGCTGCGTGCGGAGAAGAAAGCGGTGAGGTGCAGAGAGTTTGTCGAGTGCCTACCGATATCCTACTGTCTCGCCGTCCGCCACACCACGCTCCTATCGGTGCAGGTGGTTGACTATCTTGGCCTTCACCACGAGGTCTATGACATCCGACACGGCCGTGGCCGTGGCACTGGGCTTGGAGGCGAGGCTGGCGTCGATCTGTGCGACAGGACCATGAAAGTCATGTTCGAGAATAATTACTGTGACACGACCTTCAAGCAGGCACTGTTGATCTTGGAAGACGAAGAGGGACGCAACAGCAAAGCGGCGAGAAGGCAGCTGAGGGACCTGGTCAACGTTGGTCAGCGTATACAGGGCATAGAGTTGTACAACATCACAGAGATGCTGTCTGTGGCCTCCTTTCGCCTTGACCATCACATCACCCGGAGGATCGCTGAAGCTATGGAAGATTGGGACGATTTTGCTAGCGGAGCAGGAAAAGGCTTCATTGCGGAGACACAGAGAACTGAGGGGGGAGGGGAAGAGGCATCACCGTCAGCGAAAAGTTTGGTGGAGAGCTTCCTGGATGATCTCACTGGCTTCTGAGAAGTTGCTATTCGTCGAGAGCTGTGCAATGGAACTGCGGACCTGGTACGACCCTTGGAGCTATCTGATGGAGGGAGCTTCGTGAAGGAACCGAATTGGCTTGCTGAAGCAAAACGCGGGACCCAATGCAGTCAGCGACTTGCTCCTCCGAGAGAGCTTTTTACCCAAATCCGACTTGATGTGCTCTGAAGCGAGTCGGCGCGCAGGAAACCTGACCTCTCACCTCCTTGTCCAATTCTCCAGCTGCAAAATAGCTTAGAGAAATGAACTATCCTCACTTATGTACCTGATGGCCCCTGGGTGCGGTGATGGCTGTCTCTGAACAGAAAGAATAAGCTCTTTCCCCATCCTTTCATCTTCGCATCCTCAAGACAATCCCTACTCCCCCTCCACACCAAGCACATCCAACCAGCACCCTCGAAACCATCCCTATCCAGCCCCGCTCTTCCAAGTTCTGAATTCGAAATCCTCCACATATATCATCAAGACCCTCCTATATCTTGATCCGTAGACGTAGGAAAGACCTCCCCAGCAAGCGAGTGAGCTCCCCGTTCCTCTCCATCCCAACGCAACATTAGCCAGCATGACGCAACTATCCAGCATCGACAGTAGCGCCAACACTCAACCAAACGACGAACCAAGCCACCCCGGAAGATATCGTGAGATAGTACGGACAAGGTACCGAAGTTGATCAGTTGCCCAAGACAGGATCTGGATATCTCAATGGGCGTCCGTATTCGGGGGGTAATGAGATTTGAATGGGATTGTAGTGTGTCGCTAAGAACTGCTAGGGTGATGCATACATATATCTCTGCCAGCCTGCCAGCCGGTAGGGAGGGAGGGGGGAGAGGGAGTAGGTAATGGAATACCAAGGGGGGGATTTGAATGCCAGCTCTCGTGAGCGAAAGAGGCATATGACTTGAAAAGCTTTTGGATCAGGGCTTGAGATTCTTTCATTTCGTCGCTGTGATGGTAGATAGAGTTATGGAGTCTGCTATAATAGCCTCGCCACTACGACCGACCACACGTAAGTGGATCTCGGTTCGTCTCTCAGCATTGATGCGGATTCCCTTCATCTGCGTTCCCACGAATCCGTTAGCTCCTGTATTTCCTTTAAGAAAGAACACAAGTAAACAGACATGAACTCACTTCTGATCATCTTGGCTACCGCCATCACCAAACTCACAATCATAACTCCACATCCAAAACAGATACACAGAATGGCCGGAACGGTCCTCCAGCTCTTACTCGCCAACTTCAGATAACAGAGCGGCGGCAAGATATAAGCCAAGGCGCACGCGCTCGTCGCTCCGATCAACTCAAACACCGCCCCCAGATCACAGGTGACAAGGCTGAGGCCCACTGCGCTCAACACCAGCGCCGACGTGAAGATGAGATGGCGATTCGGCTGGTAGGGCTCCTCGGGGAACCAGTAATTGTTCATCACCTCCCTGCAGACGAAGCACTCTAGGGGCAGAGTGGTGAGCATGTTGAGGCCGAAGCAGAAGCGCGCGATGTTGACGAGGATGTTGTCGGTGGGGAAATTGTTCAGGACGTTTCCCTTGGTTAGGGAACCGAAGGTGAGGAAGCCGGCAAGCGCCATGCTGAGGCAGGCGAGCATGCTGATGGTGGTGCTGTAGTGGGTTACCAGGGAGAAGCGGTCGAGGGTTGGGGTGCGGAGGGAGCCATATATCAATAGGGAGTTGTGGTGACAGACGAATGCTGGGTTGGCTAATGAGTATAGAAGAGGGAAAGGGAGTGGGGTGGGAGGGATGTGGGAAGGATTGTATGTGCCTTACCAAACGAGATGACGCCTACAGCTTGGAAGAAGCCGTTGCTCACGAACAGAAGACCTCTAAAATCACCCCTGCTCTCTGCAGGTACCCTTGCGCCCTGTGTGATCACTGTGGTGATGATTACACACATGCTGATCAACGCCAGTGTGGATGCTTTTGACAACTATGCGCCATTAGATCAGTGTTGTTCCCCGGTCCGGTAAGAAGTCCCAATACCTACCTTCGCAATATCCCTGTAAAGGCTCAACGGCCAACTAATACCAAGCACAAAAAGCACAATAACAAACCTTCTATCCGTCAAAAGCCATAGGAAACTCATGTCCCTCAGCCCCGGTATCAGAGCCTCAAGGACATGAGGAATGGTATCCCCCACAATCACACAGAATGCCACCATCCCGCCAAACGCAAATGCCCATTGCGCCACTGAAATTGCCACCAGTCCACTCTGTCCGAAACAATGCTGCATTGTAGCCTGAAACGAATCAGCTCCGGATAGCTTGCTGTTGATGACTATGAGACGGATCGTCCAATCCACAGTGACAGTCAACGCGACCAGTAGGATGACTCCCATTGTCAGCCCAGCCTGGCGAAATGCATAAGGTTGGCCGATGATTCCCGCGCCGATAATGCTGTTGGCCATGTTCATGAATGCACTACACATGCCACTCTTCGGTCTTGCGTCGGGTAGGTGGTCTTCTGGTTGGAAGGAGTCGGAGAGGAAGGGAGAATCAGCCGGCGCAGTAATACCCGTGAGTAGAGGGGCATGCTGCCTGGCATCTCCATTGCTGTGCAGATAGTCGTCTTCATCGTCGATCCATAAAGGACTGTCAGGTGGGTGGCCGTTTGCGCGAGCGAGCTCGGGGCTTGACGGTACAGCGTCGAGGTCGAAGCGCACACGGTTCGGAGTTCGAGGAGTTCGTGGTTGGCCATCGGCAGGTGGATGGGATAAGGACGATTGTCTCTTCGGTGCAGGTCGCTCGCTTGCAGTGGGTTTCTGAGGAGCGTCAGGCGCTACGGCAGAGCTGTCTTCATCATTGTCATGAGCTGCGGAACCATGCGAGAGCAGAGCCCGCTCTTCCTCCAGCCCATCGGCGTGTTCTTTGCTTTTGGCACCGACATGACTATCATCTTGGGGCATGTCTGTCCGTGAGAGGCATGTTTGGAGTGAAGTCAGTGTGCAAGATGGTAAGCCTGATTGTGTGATTTCTAGATATCAGAAGTGACAGGATTTAGTTAGTTAAAGATTTCCGCCCGGCGGCCCTTCGTCACCTTCCGCGCGTACTGAACTCTTGAAAACTTCTTGGCAAGCTCCCCTAGACAGGAGAGTCTCCAACCTAATACTATAACTATATGACAGGCACTTAAAGAGCCTACACCGCAGATCCACTAACCATGAATGTTGGACTAGAAGGGCACTTCTGAAAATACTGTATACTGCTCCACGAATTTACATCGGTCTACGGAGTAGATGCTTCCAGATTACTTGACTCGCCCATCTTGATGCCTCTTCGTAGCCGTAGTACACGCAATTGATCTTTTTCACGGCTGCGCAGACCTACTGCAGCATATACGGCCGACTCAACTGGCAAACTGGTAGCAGCTGCTCTAGTTGCAGTCTTCTTTCAGCTGGAATACAGCAGGTTCTAACAGTCTTATGTGGCCCGCCCAATGCCAGTACTTATCTATCGTTTTTGGGGGACAACCCCTGATCCCCAAGGCTATCTATGCTGGAACTTCGCTAATTGAACAATTAAAATGAGTGAAAAGTTGATCCTTCCCCGGACGCTGATCAGATCCTAGACATGGCGAGAAGCACAGTAAGGCAAATGACTGGCAGCGGCGATGCAGACCATGCAGTCGCCTTCCCTTCCATGGGAGTACCAGATCCGCCTGACGTTGACCCCATGGCTGCAACTTGCGACGTTGGCGAAGAGGATACAGAAGTCACTATTCCAGACGCTGTTGCTGTTGGAGAAGTAGAACTTGAGGAAGGGGCAGCAGCAGCAGACTTGATGCCGAATCCTATACAAAAAGTCAATAAGTAAATTTCAAACGTATCCGTGGATAGTATACCTATTCGGTCCTTGTCGAAGTCGAATACGGTGTATACATTCTTCAAAAAGACATCACCAAGCAGCCAGGTATCTGGCCCGAAGGATTGTTGCCCAACGATATTGCTTGCACAAATTTTGCCTGCCTCGTCAGGCTTGCCGACGTAATCCTTCGGCGATACATCATATGTCACGCCAGAGAAAGTGAACTGGACTGGAAGATTGGTATCACATGGGATGGTGAAGGCCTCTCTGCTATTCTCACTACCTGGGAGTTTCGCGTGTAATGCCTGGGCGTCCTTTAGAGGCATCAGAATGTAGGAGGTTCCAGTGTCAATGATTGCTGTCTTGCCAGTCAGCCCCAGACTTTGGCCATCTACTCCAGCTCCGTCGCTTGGGATTTCCCATAAGCCATCGGTTGAGACGCTGTCGGTGTAGGACAAGTTCCCGGAGAATTTCGACGAGTCCGGGGCTCCAAAAGTGATTTGGCTGTTATTTGCGCCGTCACCACTTCTTGACAAGTGCACTCCGAACAAGTTGGCCTTGAGAAGTCGTTTACTGGCCATGATATCCATCAATGTCGGCGTTCCAAGCCTGTTCGATGAGTCTCTTCCTAGGCCAAGTATACCATCCATGGGATATGTGCTGAAATCATTTGATGCATTTGAAGCCAGGCCGAACCCGATCTCCACCTCATAACCAGCAAAGGCAAAGGTATCGCTTGCTACAACACCTCCCACTTCTCCAGTGCCATAAGTTACGCTCCACTCCCTGGAAGTGATGTTCAATGTATCCGAGTCATTCGGGCCGAATGTGTCATGTTTGCTGCATGCCTGCGCTGTGCAATCAGCGCCAAATACCCATGTATTTGCTGAGCCTGAATCAATGAGCATCCACATCTCCTTGCCCTCGGAGCCAATTTTGACGCTGGAGAAGTAGGAGTAGTCTTGTCCATCTTGATGAATGGCCATGCTATCTGGTATAGTGGGTTCAGAAGCTATAGCAACAGAATACTGCTTGTCACGTTTGTTCCACTAGTAGACGTTAGGCTCCGAGCACACAACGAGCAACAGGAGCAAGACTCACTTTTGTCCGTCGTTTCTTTATATCAATGGTGGTTGTTTGGCCCTTAACGTGCTCTTGAACATTGTTTGCTTGGGGAAGAATATCTGCACTATCCTCCTCTGAATTTGAAGCCTCTTTGTAGGGATAGAAAGCTGAGACCGTCGTCATAAAAAGAGTGGCATAGGCAAACCATGATGTATGGTGCATAGTAGACAAGTCGATATGGGCTTATGGGTATAATTCAGTGATTTGGCTCTCCTATCCGATAACAAATCCGTGAAACCAGGTAGGTCCAATGATATCTTGTTCGCGACGGTCGTGGTTCTTTCAAGAGATTGTGTAGGATTCAATGCTCTGACAGGATATGGCTGTGGGCTTCTCTCAGATTAGGAATGATTTCTCGTGGAGTACCAGCCTCTTGCTAGATTTCTGTAGTATGCCAGGCCCTGCCAGTGGAATGAATGGTTGGGGGAAAGAACTGTGATATATCAGGAAGGAATGATTAAATGAGAGTGGCGCATAAACTGGATTCTCAATGAAGAGGTCCAATGGCGAGTATCAAAAGAAGGATGCCAGGAATGACTTTTCAAGGACAGTTGTTAGGCAATAATGAGCCATGAGCAGACTGCATCTTTAAAAAGTGAACGACGACGAAAAGTGGAGCCAGGCCCATGGGCACATGCCACCGAAGGAATGACTTGAATGGCCCAACTAAGCCAAGGGGGGATTCCATTCCCGATCGATCCGGCCGAATTGAGGCGTCTGCAGTTCTTTCTTTCCTTTTGCCATCATTGGCCACTTGGCTTGCAGAGTCCCCTCACTGAATCGAAATCTCTTGAGTGGAAGCAAAGGAATACGGAACCAATGGGATCCACCATGTCCAGCCATCATTGTGGAGTAGGTAGGGTGCATACCTGACGGCTTGCCCGATAGTTAAAAACTCCTTGAGTTGTTTTGGCACTGATGGTCAGGGGCGGATCCACTTCTATTGGGCTGATCCGCCCCTGTACCACCTAACGCGATAGGGCCAGAGCTAGTTAGCCACAATGTCATTCTGAGCTTAGCTAACTTAACTAAGTTAGTTACGTAGTACAACCAAAAGTCAACCTCTTGCAGGCGTCAGTGTCTCTTCCTTCTCGACGCCATATCATGGCCGCTTGCTTCAGTGCGAGATTCCATTTGTTCGGAGTTTGAGTCTGGGATTAAGATACATGGTAAAGATTGTGGTGTAGTCCTTTCTGTGTACATGATCACAACTCAGGTGCCAATGATTCGTCATCGACCACCTGCATTGCATCTACTTTAGTACGCTGCTTGATGCAATGCCTGTGGTAGGGATAACAATAATTGTGCGGAATAGTCCATATGCATCCCCATTTTGGCTTCCACAAGACCTCGAAAATCTTGGGTCTTTGGAGGTACTCCACCCTTCAGCAAATAACACCACAATTATCTCGTGGGTTTAACACATACAGTCCACAGCTGAAGCTGAAAGATTGAATGCCGATGTGGGTGTAGGCTATGATCGGGTGGTACCTGTATAATATTAAACATCGTTTGGTGGGTCTGGTTTCATTCCAGCGAACTTCGCGGAGGAAGAAATCAATGGGACGTGTTGCGTGCTAGCCTTTGTTCGACAGGGTAGCACCGAGTCATTTTCCATTGAGACAGAGGAAGACGAGGCTAACATGTCCTTCTGTTTGTGTGTCATCTCAGGTTCGTCTTTGACCTACTTGTGTTTCTTGACATGGCCTAGGGCCAGGATTCAGGCAATAGCCGGGCGAGTTTCCTTGGGAGACAAACAAGATCCGACTAAATAGGCCGGGTTTTGAAACTGAACGAGAACAGCTCTGCTTCACACTTAGTCCTCTCAAACAATCCTGCAACACAAGTTGTCTTCTTCTGGATTCTTTTTCATATGTTCTGAGTGTGAAAAGAGCCATGGCAGCCTCAGGTAGGTCAGCTCGTTCTTCAAGTTCAGCCATTTTCCCTCCGGTACAAACTCCGTTTGATTCTTGTTGGCAACCCAAATTCAAGCAGAAAAATCATACCACCAACCGTGCTCCTGTCGGATCTTTGAACAATGGGCCCTTGCTTAACTAAACCCCGAGACAATCGCAATCAGCTCCGGCGCCCTGTCGTTCATGTCACTGTCAGCACGCGGCAGGGCCCCCTGTATCCTCACGGATTCGTTTCCAGAGTTGCTGGTGACGAAGGAGTGCGTGGGGCCTCGCAGACCTCGGCAATGAGAAGTTTGGACAGTCAAACTCCTCAAAGACCTCAATTATCAGCGAGTTCCTGTCCGGCAGACCCAGCGCACTTCGTCTCGTCTCGTCACCAGGACGATCATGAGGCGCTATCAGTACGGCGGCCGTCTCAGCGTGCAAGTCCTTCTCCCTCCACGCCTCGTCCCGACCTCCTTCCCCATCATCCAATAGCATGTCGCTGCTCACGGTGCCAGCCAGAGATTTATCATTACGACGGAACTACCCGCAAAAGGGAATTATGGAGCGGACCATGTGAGGAGGGCTGTCAATGCGTACTTTGTCACCAGCGAAGACGTGACGGAGACTAAACGAGGTCATGTTTCTTCTCATCAACTTCCTCTTCTTCTAAGGCTGCTGGCCCTTCTTCTTCCCACCGTCTGGCCGTCCCCAACACCCAATCGCCCCATCAGGATGCCGCTGCTCCGGAAACCTCTACCACACTGACGGCCTGACTCCTAAAACGGGACTAGGGGCCGTTCGATGTGTGGGGGCTTGTCAATGTGCAACATGCCGTGCCAGACAATGTGTTTGCCAGCTTGGATGTATGCATTCGAGTAGCCCAATCTGCCACTGAGGTCAGCACACTACCGTCCAGGATTTGCAGACATGGCGAAGCTTCTGATAGTGATGACGGACTCGGCGTCATGGTGGGTGGGGGTCCCAAACTTCAATGGCTCGAGTTATTATCACTTAGCTCGCGGCCTACTTAGTAAGGATACGGATAGCATCATTGTGTAGAACGCTCAACTTGTTATATTGCCACATTCCTCTAATAATAGTTGCTCGCCACGACCAACATAGAAACGAGTGGCATGACTGCTCACAGCAATACAACGAGCGATAACACATACCCCTCACCTGGCTTCAAGAAAGCAAACACGGCGTGCAGAATGAAATGTAAACCCCGTTCTCCTGCTGTCTGCTCCCAGTGCCCGTCGATGATGATCACTGACCCTGCTAAGCTAACCTCGACCCACTTCCCTTCTTCTCCCCAAACACATCATCCAGAAACCCATTCCAAATCCTACTCATGGCCGACTCCTCAACCTGATCTACCATCTTCCGCGCCGATTTCCCCACCGTTTCCGTAAGCTCCGTAAGATGATCAATCCCCAGCTCCACTGCATGATTATCAACGACCTCGCTCATCGGGCTAGCCTGAGAGCCGAGATCCAAATCCACATGCGCACCACCATCAGCCATGGTTTCCTGCACCGTGACGATCTGAGCTTTCATGACGTTGCTGTCGTCGCTGCTGCTGCTGTCGCCGCCCGGTTCCTGGAAGCCGCCGGCGGCGGCATCGAGGTCTGGGTTTCGGGCTAGTGTGTCTTGGGCTTCGGTTGAGTCGATGTGGGGGAGGATGGGGACGCGGATGCCGGCTGTGGGGGGGTCAAGGGAGCCGTCGAAGAGTTTGGGCAGGTAGGCAAAGTCGATTGTGCTGGAGTCATTGACGGATTTCAGTTGTCGGGAGGTGTTGAAGTGCCGGGTTGGTGGGCTCTCAGCTGGGCTCTTGGATCCGAGCCCCTTGCGTGTTTGGGTGGAACCGAATCTTCGCATGGCGATGCTGAAGGCGCGGCTTTGCATGCTATCATGGTTTGCTAGCCGGTCGACTAGTTCATGCTTGGTGCCGGTGTAGAGGATGCTTCGCCTGCGGCATTCATTGCGGAGATCAGAGAGGGTTAAGGGAGCATAGGTGGTTTTGGGTTGGGGATTGTATGCTTGCGGTGAGGAGTTCGACCCAGTGATGTGGAGGCTGCGTTTTGCCGGGACCGAAGAGCTGGTCCTTTGGAGGTTTCGGAGAGCTTTGAAAGAGGATGATCTGGGAGCTGCCATGGTCAATGGGCGTAGGAGCCTTAAGACTATCTTGTTGATGCGTGGTCTTGAGGCTTTTTCCAGCCGTGCTTTGCGGTGCTACAACGCGGATGGCTGCGGAGTGCGGGGTTATTCAATGTATGGAGAGATAGATGGTATGATCAACGTAATTATCTGGCTCGGTGTTCATGAAAGGCAATTCGGAGATGCAAGTTATGGTGATAGCAATTCTAAGAATGGTTGTTCACGCGGTCCGGTTACGACTGAGGAAAATGCACGCGTGAGTTGGGACGTTCAGAGCGATGGGAAGCATGGTGGAGCGGGTAGGTTGGTACTTGTAACCTGAAAGCTGGGTTGAGGTAGGGGGAAGGCTCACCTACCTCGATAGCCAATTCAACCACTATTTATCTCCAACGCTAATTGGAAGCTCTGCCCCGACGTGCAGCTTATCCCCGTACTCCGGAAATCCGAAGGTGCTGCCCCGATCTGAAACGGAAGGTTCACAAAAGCATTAGTTAGACCAGCCAAGCGCCATGGCTGGCAGCTGATGGTTATTATTGTAATTGGACTACTAGTAGTATGTTATCAATCGCACCGAGCACACCCGATGTCCGTTTCCCCATGATGTAATGAAAGCAGGCTCGGACAGTAATTGGAGGACGAAGAATAGACAACCATGAACAGTGCATAAGGAAGTCTGCCTCGCAGGAGCCTTGTGGATGCGGGTGACGACGCCCTTGCGCTTGTCAGTGGTCGCTGTCGCAGTATCCTCCCAGCCGCTGAACAGCCGCTACGTCTTGCTCAAAACTCGTCAACTCCTTCCCGCTGTGATATCCTTACCCACATGTCAGATTGAACGAACAGTCCATTCCTTTGGACACTGCGGATTGGTTTCCATGGTTTCACTAGCGAGATATCGAAACGGCGAAAAAGCTTGATGTCGTTAGCCTCCGACAATACTACATGGGCACAACTGCAAGAAAAATGTCTGACCTCGGTGACAGCCTTGTTGAGCTCCATAAAAGCTACTGGTTTTCCCAAGCAACCATTCTTGCCATAGGAAAAGACCAGATCGGCAGATCGATTCATTTCTGAGAGCTTTTTCTCATCTTTTGTGTCGATCCATCTTCCAGGACGATAGATGTCCGCATCATCTCCATATACAGCCTTCGAGCGGTGCAATCCCCAAGCATCATACCCAACGCTAGTTCCTGCTGGAAGGAAAATGCCATTGATAGTGTCACCACCTTCAGGAACGTCTTTGTACCCCAGACCCAGCACCGGTGGCCACATTCTCAGGCTCTCTTTTACACATGCACAAAGATAGGGTATATGCGCTTGGATTTCACTCTCACGCGCCATTGGCCTGGACAATTTTCCTGCTTTTTCTGCCGCGTCGAGCTCAGCGCGCAATCTGTACAAGACGGAAGGTGATGTGTTCACGAAAAGAACAATCATTTGTAACGACGTTACCGTGGTATCGGAGCCCGCCATTACCTGTAGAACGGTCTCGACCTTGGCTTGTTCCTGCGGTAGGCCATGTCTGATGAAGCTGCCTAGCATATCTGATTTGGGAGCAGACTTACTCGTTGCCGCATACCTATGATTGACAATTCGTTCCGCCACGCCCATCAGACATCCAAGACCTCTCTTGTCTGTTGTCTTTGGCATGAGAAGTCTGCTCACCCATCCAATTCGTGTTAGTCTCTCCAACGAGGGAAACATAGCAAACCATTCAAAGACAGGTAAAAGAGCCTTTTGAGTTTTGATGTAGTCGTGAACATCCGAGTCGGTCTCAAGAAAGCCAAAGGGCTGGCCAAAAGCGATGTCGGAAATGACGTCTAGCGCAAAATACTGTGTTATCCGCGTGAAGTCAACAGGTTTGTAGCAGTATGAGGACTGGGACTCGTGCTTTTCCAAGCTCGAGGCCTCAACAGAACACGACAGGTATTTCTGACGTATGAAGCTGATGAAATGCGTGAGACGATTATCGATGCTCAATTCGAGGTAGGGATTGTCCTTCCCGGAATACTTGGGAGCCACAGATCAGTGTTGGCCACCGGAAAACCGATGGACATACTCCAGGGATCATCTGATTTCGCAATTTCACATGCCGGGCCTCATCTCGTTCACAGAACACATGATTTCTGCTATGGTCGAAACAAGTACCGTTATACCAAGTTGACCGCTTATAGGGTGACCGCACAGCATTGATTCGCCGGATAATTTCGGGGTTGTTAGTAACAACCTCATTGGGACCAATGCGAACTACGTGGCCTTGATTGATAGTTATGAGTCAGCGACGTTGCTGAGCTTCGCTAGGAGCGTGATGGCATCGGACCATATTTTTCACCAGCTTCGAGCAAGCCAACATGTAGCTCTGCGGGAATCATCCACTTTAGTAGCCAGAGCTTCGAAAAGGAAGCAAGGAAAGGACCGGGGATGTGTCGTAACCGCCAGTACGAAGAGAAAAGATACGCGGAAAAGAGTAAAGTCAGGCCGATAACAATTGGGGAAAGCATTATGGCAATAAGCCCTGAGCCGCAAGAGGACACAGATGATGCACGGCGATAAAAGCAGAGAACAAGGAGGGTCGTAGGATATGAATGGGTGTAGAGTAGTAGCTCATGTTTCGAGCCGAGGAGAAGCTCTCAAATATAAGTTCACGTAGCAGCACTTTCCCTTGCCGTTGTGGCCCACCAGGCTATCGTCGCATTAAAGCTTCGTTAGAAGATGCGTGCGTCTATTACAGCGTCGAATAGGAAGAATAGAAGTAAAGCAGAGAGCTTCGGGCGACGGTTTGTCATTTGATAGCGGACAAATTTGGCCTGACACGGGTCTGCGGGAGGATGATTCCGCGGATTAGCGCCTGTACTACTACGGTAGGAGGCATAAATAATGTTAGTTCGCCTTAGTAATTTTGTCATTTAACACGTATCTTACAGACACCCCTGCTGCACTTGTACAAATTCAACACCTTCAACGCGTTCAGCCTCTTTTACTATTATTCTATCTCTTTCTGCATAATTCGCTAAATTTCGATATATATTTATGGATTCTATAGAGTTTATCAGGCTATCTCCTTCTAGCGCTACTTGAATCAATGCCAGCAAGGTGCCAGGCAGTCATTGATGCACTTGATTCTGAGCGAAATAGACTAGTCCTAATCAGGCGAATGTGTGGCATTCTATCTTGGCATTTACAAGTTGCTACTAGGGCGAACTAACATTATTTATGCCTCCTACCGTAGTACAGTACCTGGCATAAGTATTCTTAGCACGGCGCTAGTATATTTGCTCTAAAACAGACTCCAAACGAGACAGCTAAGCATTGAACAGTTAAGCAGTATTGTTGTGGCCAATTGATACCAACAATTATCAAAGAAGCTTCTACTACGGTTACAGGCCGAATTTTTGTAACCCCCCCCGGTCAAGATATCTTGCAAACGTAGTTTTTACACACCCCACCCTACTAGCATCCTGTCAGCATCCCTGTCACTATTTCGCACAAATTTTGCTCATCCTACAAATTCTGCTCATTCTACTCTGTACGCATTCTACTAATTCTGCATTGATATTAATAAGCTTAATAAGAGGCAGGCAGCTAGTAAATGCTTCATAGGATGCTGTATCTTCTGACTATCTTAAGAAGCTGCTTCAGTAGATGCAGACAGAATATCAAGCTGCTACAGATGTCAATAAGATGGAAAGCTTGATTTTAGAGCCTAATCCAATTTAGACTACTTGGCAGGTGGCTATACTTAATTCTTCATAGTACGTTTTGTACGGATACTAATGTTTTCAGCAGGGGGGGTACAAAAATTCGGCCTGATACCGTAGTAGACACTGAGGTGGCGCTGTATTCGATCTAGTTGCTACTAGCGCCGTGCTACGATTAATTATGCCCCCTACCGTAGTAGAGTAAATTCACTAACAAACTACTAGCTAGTACAAGAACTCTGATACGAACATCTCTTTCCTTGATTTTGGGCCTCAGGCATGTTGGCTACCACAGGCTCGTAGCGGTGAGCAGATGGGTGATAAATAATTGATCACTTCTTTTAAAACCCTATCTCCAGCAGGAGTAAATTTTGCTGATTGACATTTCCGCCTGTAAATTACAAGTAATGCTATAGCATAATACTTCTGTCCTCAACTTTGATCGGACAAGGCATGCCTGTCTGTACCCTGAGTGAGGCGCCTTAGCGTTTCAAGACGAGGCACACGACTCGCTCTGGCAGACTGCCTATCACAATACCTCCAGGGCCTATTTGTTCCATTCAAGGCCTGTACCCCTTAGCTATCTCCCCGCGACTTATTTTCGACTACAAAGAGAGTCTCCATTCCCCTCCGGACGGCCCGCTGTCCCATGTAGAGGACACTGCGCTCTGGTCGTACTTCCCAGAGATAGAGTAATCCAGCACGCAAAGATGGAGGCCGATGAAGTATGAGATTCGCGCTATCTCGTTCAGGGGACTCTTTCAATCTGACTTCTCAGTATGATAACGACTCCGCTTTTGGTGAATCACTTGCAAGCAGCACCACGTCGTTGAGATCTGCCGTGACAAAGTACGAGTTTGAGCATGGACGGAGATACCACGCGTACAAAGCTGGTCGTAAGCAGAAGCCGTGTATCAGACACGTACTTGGGTGATGGCTGATAAGAAAGTGCAGAATACGCTTTTCCGAATGATGAGGTCAAAGCCCCCACATCATTCAATTGATGAATGTCCTTCTGATTGAATCAGAGTGAGTTGGACCGAATGGACCTGGAACATCACATGTTCGGTCTGCTCATAGGCCAGTTGCATTTGGCTCCTTTGCAGTCACCTCAGAGTATTCTCGACCTGGGCAGCGGGACAGGTCTATGGGCAATTGATGCAGCCGACAAGTACCCAACCGCTGAGGTGATTGGGACGGATCTTTCTCCAACACAACCGAAGTGGTAATCACGATCGCCTCATGCTCATTCGCTCACCATTGGCAGAGCTGCTGATTCTGGGATAGGGTCCCTCCAAACGTACGATTCGAAGTGGACGATTTCGAGGCCGATTGGACCTTCGGGCCTAATAAATTTGACTTGATCTTCGCCAGATTGTTGTTGGCAAGTGTATCGGACTATCCCCGGCTATACCGACAGGCCTTCGAGTGAGCCTCATTAACTTCTTAGCCGGCTAGTCGGCTCTTGTTCTGATACTTTACATACAGCGCCTTGAAACCAGGGGGCTATCTCGAACTCCACGAATTGGATCCAGAAACGTATTGTGACGACGGATCCTATACCGAGAGTCACGCAGCGATGAAATGGGGCAAGCTCTTCAAAGAAGCAGTGGCGAAAATGGGCCGGACGCTGCCCGATTTGACGCAATACAAGAGCCTGATGGAAGAGGCAGGCTTCGTTGACGTGCAGGAACGATTCTATAAAAGAGCATCCAATGACTGGCCGAAGGACCCGAAGATGAAGGAAATTGGAAGAGTAACTCGAAGACGCTTGCTTCCCGATCGTTAAGGCCACTGACATCTGTTTAGCATGAATGCATGAATCAAATGGAAGGAATAGAAGCCTTCACACTTGCCCCCTTCACACGGGTGTTAGGCTGGTCAGTGGAGGAGGCTCAAGTCATGATTGCGCAAGTGAGATCAGAATGGCCCAAACGTTCATTGCATGGCTACCAAAAAGTGTGAGTTCACCATTCTAGCACGAAGATATCCAGTAACCTGGGGTATAGAGTGGCACTGTATGGCAAGAAACCTGCTTGATGTAGAGCTTGTCGATTGGCAATTCCATGATTTCTGGCCACATCGGTACACCTGTAGATTACACCTGCCGCAAAACAGGGACTTTGACCTTTTCCGTCGCTTCCGATTCAATGATGAATTGGCATCATTATCTCCTTGACTCAAAGTAATAATCGTGGTTCTGATTCTTTGTTCGGATTTCATGATCATGGTCATCTGCACCATCCGTAGGTAACCGATGGCGAAACAGACTGGTCCTTCTGACCCTATGAGCAACTTGCTTTTGGAGTCAACACCCAGAGACAAAATACCATCGTGACAGATATATAGATATCCTAGAGCTGGCATGTTAGACCTCCATAATGCAAAAGCTGCTTCATATGGGCCCTGCTATCGAGTGTTCAGTTTTTCAGGAGCTCAAACATTCTAGTAGAGTGACCAAACAAATTAGTGTACCTGCAGGTCTACATAAAGCCACTGCAGGCGCATGGAGCCAAAATTAGTCCCAGATGTCGGCATGGCACGCTAGACCAACAGACATCTCTTTCGCGTGTGTGCTGATGTTTAATTTTGTGGGTCATGTAACGCTTGTAAAATACTTCGTTTGGATTTGATCACCGCTCTGCATTGTCCTTTTGTACATTTCCGCCGTATATGATGTTCCCTGCGGAAGTATAGAGGCAAGCTCACGATCTCTAGTAAGAGCTGCAGCCAGATAGTCCCCAGTCACATCTTTCGATCAAAGGCTGGATATCATTCCCTGGATGCCCTTGCCCAGCAGCGACTGTCCGCACTTTATTTCACCACGATCTTTGTGAAGCATATACTCTTCAAGTGGGAAGGTAACATGTATTTTGTATTTTTCTGAGCTGTCGTCACTCTGATTCTCCGCCCATTCACACATACCAAGAGTATCCGACCCTGAGCCTTGTAAGGTTTATTCAGATAGTCCTCCATTAGTTTCGAGCTCAGAACACCAAAGGCATAAGGAGAACCTGTTGGTCCCAGGAATATTCAAATAGACTACTGTGAAGAGAGGTGACATAGGATATTCAGAACACCCTATATCTATACCTTTCTAGGCCATTGTTGAAATGGATATCGCTCTGCAATCATCCATTATGCAGTTGGATACTAACAAACGTAGATACATGTAGTTAAAGGATCGTTGCATGCTGCAGCCATGTGGAAATGACCATGCCGTGATCTAGATTGCAACAACAAACCTACAGAGATGAAGCCAGCACCAGCTTTGGACCTTCAGATTTTCTGGCGGTCTGACACAGTCTCTTCCCAGACCATCATAGTTGCATCTGGCCAGAAGTCAATTTTACCGTACAATACTAGTAAGTGTAGGGAAGCCGCATACAATCAAAGCACACAATCAAGCCAAACAGCTTCAAGCCTGAATCGGTATATAAGATTGCATACCTGAGCAGAAATATTACATAGCAAGTGGCCGGAAATTGTGCAGCTGTTCCGACGTGTCCTCAGCTGACAGCTTTTTGGCTGGTTGCAAACCAATCTCTCCTAGCCGGCTGCCAATCACCGTATGTAGTATCTCTCATTGGTCCAGAATTGTCTGAAGGCTGAATGTCTTTGTAATGTGTTGGCTTATGGAAAGCAACATGGTTCAATGTAAGATGTGAGATAGAATTTGACGATATGCTGGATTTCAGAGGTTTGTTTATGGGTTTGATCAGGGATCAACACTTGAGTGGCAGGCCTGGTTCATGATGGCTGTTCTGCACTATCCATATAGGTGTTTTCTTCCTCTTCAGAAATCCTGTCCTTGCACATTCCAGCTGTGAGACATTATGAATGGAAGAAGTCCAATCCATACTCATTATGGCACTGTCCACGGTGGAGGCGTCTTGTGCTCTTCACTATTTGAGGGAAGTCAGTCAACCCGAGGCTGCTATCAGGTAATCGGGACTGGTTGCCCCCAGAACTACCTGCAGCTTGAAATTGTAAGTATGCCGAGCAGCTCTACTGCAGGAGTAAGGTGCTGATCATGCAAGTCTAAGCATCCTGATGGTGGAGAAAGTGGAGCACTTGGTGTCGTGTGCATTTCATGGGACGTACATTGGAACCTGTGTTATCTCAGTAGAAAGAAGCCCCACAAAGATCGAGGAAATTGAAAGGTTAGCAATCATGCAAAACGGCTTTCTCGTTGAGGCAGCTCGGCGACGCCACGTAGTGGTCTGCAAGGCTTCTCATATCACTGCTGAAGGCCGGCCGTTACAGGTTTGGCATGGCCTCATGGAGGAGATTGCACACAAAGAAGATGCAGTCGTGGTATTTGACAGGACTTGGCCTATACAGTCACGCGTGAATTTCACGATGGTTCCGGCAGATTGGTTGAAATTTGATTTGCATGAGTCGAGGGCTATCACAGCGCTAAAGAAGCAATGATCCTTGGATCTTCGGCAACCAAGAGTTTCACCAACCGAATTGCCCAATCAGGCAGCCCATCGCCCATGCTGTCGTTTTCTTGTTCCTGAACCTTCCCCTGTTGGTGCATCCCGCGGCAATGTACGAATTGCCCGGACGATAATGAGAGGGGGCAGCACTATATCATCATCTCCTGATGGTCCTTCTATCTTCTCTTCTTCTCCCTAGCTACAGTACTGCTCTTCAGATCTGGATCTGTACTCTCTGATTTTCCAAGGCTTTGGTTCCTTGATCACATTCTTTTGACTGTCTCTGTGCTAGACACTGCCATTCTTTTCAAAACCATTCACTCCTTATAGACCAGATCTACCATTCTTTTAACGAATCGATTTCGTCTGCTGCTCCTCGAATTCAACCACCCTCTTGACAAAGACCAAAGTTGCTTCCGAAAGCCTCCGAAGCAAGATATCTGCAGTCCCATCCCATCCCAACCAAGTCCCGAAGATCGGCGTGCACCACCAAATCCAAGATGCAGCTCATTAACATCTCTCTCGCCCTAGCGGCTTCCGTTGCATCCGCGGTCCAGGCTCTTCATGCTGTGGAACCAAACCTCCACCGTCGTCACTACGACAACAGCACTGATCCTCCTGTCTCGACTATCACCGTGTCCCCAATCCCAGTCACCTCAGTGCCAATAGGCACCGGAGCCAGCACGGTAACCGATGCTCTAACCACCAAGGTTAGCAATGCGACATTGACTTATACCATGGGCTACGGTTCGTCTGTGACCGTGGTCACAACCACTGTTCGCCGTACGGAGACTCTGACTCAAACCAAAGTGAGCGAATCGGATGACATTTGAGGGTGCTTACCTGTGCTGATAACCCTGGTAGACCGTCTATGCGACCAGGGAATCCGGTAGTGCGGTACCATCTGACACAGATGGAAACAACAAAGCTGTCACCTCTGCGAGCGGCGAGGAAGCCGAGCCCACCACCACCATCACGTCTCGTTCTACTACCACCCGAACAGTCACTGTTGAATCTGCTACCCCCAGCGGTGGCGAGGACGGATCCCCAGCAACCTCCGTGGCACCTGGGGATGGCTCTTCTCCAACCGGCTCTGCTAACCCCAGCGATGGCGAGCACGGATCCCCAGCAACTTCTGTGGCACCTGGGGATGGCTCTTCCCCAGCCGGCTCTGCATGTGGAACTGTCGCAACTGTGACAGAGACCATCAAATCCACAGTCACGGTTGTAAGTCTCACCAAGTAACCGAAGCTATGATCTGTCCTGCTCACATCAATCCCAGACCGCTAGTGCTCCCATGGCCCCTTCCACGACCGAAGATGCCGGCTCTGGCTCTGGCTCTAGCTCTGCATCTCCTTCGACCACCGAAGACTCGGGCTCAGCCTTCTCCAGCTCCAGCCTACCCATCCTCCCTACCAGCTCTGCCGTGCCATACAGTAACGGCACCTCAGCTCACCCCACTCAACCGAAGAAGATGTGCGGCGGCTCCGGCTTCGTGACCAAATCCAAGCCTAAGTCCACCGCCCTTCCATCCGGCCACGACTACAGACGCCACTAGGTACTAGGAGCCGGATACGCCCTGTGGGAATCCTTGCAGGCTTGTTTTGCGCTGGGCGCACATTTGTTCAATTTCTCGGCTTTGGGTGACCAATATCATGATGGGTTCAGTGAACGCAGCCTTGTGGTTTTCGGTCCTCTGTGCATGAGTGGATTCAATTCTTCTTCGGGAATCAACTTTGAACAGTCTCCCAGAGTTTCTTGGAGAGTGGCGGTTTTCTTGGTGCATGAGCAGACGAGGGAGAAAGATCCTATCATGCTTCAGTTCTTGTACTCGTGTTATGCTAGATGACAAAAGAACAATGACAAAAAGTATGTGATATCTCTGAATGAGTTCTGAATGGGGCGTTGTGAGCTGCGAAGGCTGTAGTGAAAGTGACTCGAAGTTTCACTGCCCCATATTTGCAATTGGTTACCATGTGATACGCCCGACTACTCCGTATAGAATTGTCACATTGTCTAGGCCCTTTACTAGTCCTTTAGTGTATCTGACTACATTCCTTTCCCTCAGCCCAAGGAGCACCAGGCCGGACAAGCAGATGACTCATACCCGCAACCTGACGCGCGTTTTCTCACCACCCAATCGTGTTCCGGGGGATAGTCTTCCCATCATGAGTTTAATTCACATAGTACCCCCGGCCGCTCTAGCCGATATGCTGCGATGATCGCATGCGGATCACCAACCTAGCAAGATCCCCCAGTCAGATACCTTACGGCACAGCTACATGAACCGGTGTTTAACTTACATAGTACTCGTACATATGCCGGGCTATCCCCAGTCTGCTACACTACCACTTAACTCCGCATATTCTCCACCCATCGACCACGGACTTTGGACGGCAACAACTGCGAGAAAAGCCGGCGTGGGGGCACCTCGCCCGCCCAGCTTACTAATACTAAATTACGGAGTAATAGCTTTTTTCTATCGCACATGGCTTACATGACCCTGACTCGCACGACGTTCGCCGCTTTAGGGGTGACAAAATGAGGACCATTAAGTGTGAAAGTGCAGTGGGCGTTCAGGATATAAAATGCAGCAGCGGTCCCCTCAATCTATCGGGATATCCATCCATTGAAACATTCGCCCACTTCTTCCCCCATAAATCTCCTGCAGACGTCCTCAGTACTGTGAACATAACATAGTAGTAGTTAGTAGCTGCTCAGCCATGTCCTCCGCACCAGCGCTACCGACCCGCCAACTGGGTAGAGATGGGCCTCAAGTGACCGCGCTCGGCATTGGTCTCATGGGCCTCTCCGCCTTCTACGGCAGCACCGAGTCCGACGAAGAGCGCCTCAAGTTCCTCGACTATGTCTATGCATCTGGTCAGAGATTCTGGGATACCGCGGATATGTATGGAGACAATGAAGATCTGGTCGGGAAGTATGTTGTCTCTCTTCATCTCTCTCGCGAGAAAGCAGGACCCCCCCTATGCGCAATCGAGTTCATTGGGCTCTACAACCTTCTTGTCTTGCAAAGCCCCAAGTTCGATCGAAATTTTTTCTGACTTGTGTCTGTGTGTGTGTGTGTGCATGAAGGTGGTTCCAAACCAGGGGCAAACGCGACGAGATCTTCCTCGCCACCAAATTCGCAAACTACACCCACCCGGACGGCACTCGAACCGTGCGCAATGAACCGTCCTACATTCGCGAAGCTTGCGATCTCTCACTCTCCCGCCTCGGCACCGACCACATCGACCTCTACTACTGCCACCGCGTCGACCCGAAACAGCCCATCGAAATCACCGTCGAGACCATGGTCGAGCTCAAGAAGGCCGGCAAGATCCAGCACCTCGGCCTGAGCGAGGTCTCGGCCGAGACGCTGCGGCGCGCATGCAAAGTCCACCACATCGCCGCCGTGCAGATCGAGTATTCGCCCTTCACCATGGACATCGAGGACCCCAAGATCGGCCTCCTGGACGCCTGCCGCGACCTCGGCGTCGCCACCGTCGCCTACAGCCCGCTCGGCCGCGGCTTCCTCACCGGCCGCTACCGCAGCCCGGACGACTTCGAGGAGGGCGATTTCCGCCGCTTCGCGCCCCGCTTCAGCCCGGAGAACTTCCCCAAGAACCTCGAGCTCGTCGACGCCATCGCCCAGCTGGCGGAGAAGAAAGGCTGTACCAGCGGCCAGTTGGTCCTGGCTTTCCTGATGGCGCAGGGTGCCGACATCATTCCCATCCCCGGCACGACCAAGTATAAGAATTACGATGAGAATATGGCGAGTCTGAAGATTGAGGTTTCCGACGAGGAGGACCGCGAGATCAGGAAGGCGATTGAGAATGCCACGGTGCTGGGAGGTCGCTATCCGCCGGGCTTTGCTGCCATGCTGTTTGCAGATAGCGCGCCGTTGGAGGAGGGGAAGGGGAAGAGTGGTAACTTGTAGAAGGATAGGTTGGTAGGCTGCACATTAGGAAAAATCATCACGCTCTGTTTCATGAGTGATGTCAAGGCGGAGAGCTGCTTTGGTGCCGCTTCTCCACATATCATTTGCCTTGGCTTTCCCAAACAGCAGGGTTTGTCAATGTACAGCATATCTCCATATATCTACTGTAATCATCATATCCTAAAGAATAGACAATGTCTCCACCCCAACCAGACACCCATGTCCCGGCTTAAAGCAGGCTTTGGTACTTGTCCAAACCTGATTTCTGCTCATTACCGTTCCGTATCTGACCAGGGGCCTGAACAGAGGGCGGTGGTGCGTTATTCGGAGGGTTCAATCCAGCTCCGCCCCAGTTCAGGGAAGGCGTTGCCAGATTGGGATTCAGATTCGGCGGTGGCGGTTTGGGGATCGCTGGTGTGAATGGAGAGGGGTTTGGTGGCGGGATTGTGTACATTGAAGAGGGTTGTTGGTTGGTTGGTTGGAAAGGAAGGTTTAGCGGCATTCGTGAGGGAGGATTCTGTGGATTTGACAGTACTGATGTCGTGGTAAGGGAGGGGTTGGAGATGTTGCGCTGTTGTGGTGTTGCCCATGGGGAAGGGGTGGGCTCGAGATGTGCTCTATTGTTGTTGTTTGCGGGTTGGAGGGAGGGGAAAGAAGATAATGCTGTGTCGGGCGTAATGGAACGAGATGCGGGATTTGGTGGGAGGTTGGCAGAGGACCAGGAAAAGGCCGGGACTTGGGCTGACGGCTTAGAAGCCGCTGGAGCCGGCTTTCCTAACACAAGCCGCTCGAAATCATCATCGTTTGCGGATGCGGTATTCGAGCCGCTAAAGCCGTTCGCTGCCTTTGATGGCGTGTTGATAGAACGAGCGTCCGAGGGCCTATTGGTGGCGGACAACTCTTGCAATTTTCTGGTCTGCTCGCGTTCAATCCGTGACGAAAGGGACTTGATGAGGTCCATGAATGACTTGAATTGTTGTAGATCAAGAAGAGGGCCAAGGCTGAAGCTCCATACTATCGATAATACTTCAAGTGCTAAGAAGTCGGTGTCGGCAACCTTGCCAATTTGACGTAGTAGATTGAGAGCGGCCATCATTACTCCCGGCTCTTTGGTTTTGATAGCCTTGATCAAGGGTACGACCTTTTCCTGGACAGTGTACTTGTCCAATGCAGTTCCCGTTGAGGCTTTGGCTTTCTTCTCCTCATGCAAGATACCGGAAAGATCGTCACCAGCAGAAGACCGCTCTTCTGGACTACCTCCACACAGTGTCAGTAGAGCTTCGAGTCCACTCACCTTGATGCCAAGGCTGGATGTTTTGCTGAAAACCGATGCTACACAGGGAAAGAGGTCATTTTTGATAGTTGAGAAATCCAGGACAGGTAGAATGGAGGGCAGACATTTTAGCGTGGCATCCACCAGCGAGTGGGTGGTGGATTCCATTGCAAGGTTAATGATAGGCAGAACATCATCCTTAAATTCCTTGCCGGAACAATTTTCAACTATCAGGTCCATGTTCTCGATTGTGACCATCAAGCCCGCTTCTCTATTGGTGTCCCGGTCTTGAGTGGAAGACTTGGTCACAAAAACTTCCTTAAGCACCGGCATTACCTTTTCTGGAAAGACTCGCCTTCCTGAAGGTATCGTTTTGATAATTTGGAAGATATTTTGTAGCACCAACGAAAGTAACTCCCTGTCTTTCGTTTCTTCCAGAAGTGCAATCAACACCTTCTTCCCAAGTACACTTGTGGGAAACTGCGGCATGACCCGGCCCAGCCCACGCATGAACTGCGCCTTTTCAGAAGAAGTCTTGGCCGGGAGTGCATCGAGAAAGCGAATGGTGTTAACAAGGATGTTATCAAAATAAGCTGATTGCTGGAACTCGCGAGCTGTAAGACGTTGGGCAGGTCTCCTAGCCAAAACCTGCGGTAGGGTCTGTTTGAGCTCTTTTGGCAACGGCCTCGATGATAGAAATTCGTTTCTGGCCGAAGGCGTGGTTGATTCGCTGCTGAACAACCTCTTGTATGTCGATTGATTGCCACCCGTCTGAAAGGGTGAAGTATGCGGGGAGTTGTAGAGTGCGATAATGACCAGGCCAAGAGAGAATATATCTGCAGACGTAGTAACGTTGTTATCGAGGACAAAGTCTGGAGAGCTGTAGTCGAGATTCAGCTGGACAGATTGAGGCAGACGATGATCTTGATACAGCACTTCTGAAAGTGCTATGGGCGGTAGTGATTGGTGTCCTTGTGCTCCGTCCGGTGGTCCTGTAAAGGATAATCCTGATAATTTCCAGTCTGATTTGGCATTGACATAGATCGCTTCAGGAGTTAGATTGCCATGTACGAGACCGGCTGATTCATGCAAGAACTCCAGGCCTTTGGAAAGTTGCAGAAGCCCTTTCTGGATCTCTAGCTCATCCATCTCAACCTCTCGCCTTCTTCTGGACCCGTCAACATCCTCGATAACAAAGCGGCTTCGCTGTCGGCCTGCAGGACCGCTAGGACGCTCTTGTTGGTCTCTCTCTGCCAGCAAACCTGCAAGAGAGGCGGTGATGAGTTCCGTTGCAAACATCAAACCACCCATTCGAGTATCTTCCACAGGCTCCACGAGCTGGAGTATGCTCGGATGGCGTAGCCTGGCCAAGCTGCTTGCTTCTTTCTTCAGCCGCTCCACGATCTCGTCCTGAACCTTCCTGACCGACGTAGCACTGGTACGAGCACCAAAGGCATTTGAAGTGCCTATATCTAATGATTTGCGGTCAAAGACAAACACTGAGACCAGAATTCCAGTGCTCTTCTTCTTTCCGTCAAAGATGGTCCATGCGCCGGATGTAGCGGTGGGCGTCTTTGCGATCTCATAATTGGCAGCAATGTTAGAGGTGAATGACTTGAAGGCTGCAGAGAACATTCCGCCTGTGAGCAACGATGCACAGGAACGGATGAAGGAATAATGGAAGCAGACACATGTGCACAGTTTTGGCGGAGTTGCAGCCTGTATAATGCTACCGCACTGGTTCCTCTCCAGTTGTTGAGTTACAGTCGGTTGATGCTGCAATGGTCATTGCATCACCTGTGCCACATTGTCCATCGTGTAAGGACGGTCATTTACCTTTGAACAGGCTTAGATAGGTCTTCACGAGCTGCTCAGAGCTGCCTAGAGCTGCCAGTAGTAGTAAATGCCAGTTGATGGCATGCCCGGAAGTTGCCACTGTCCCCAGAGCCTCCAGCCAGCCGCGGTCTAACGCCATTTGGTTAGACGCTGACAGCCTGCATCCAGCTCCGAGACCGCAACCTCTTTTTCTGACACCGCATTCATTATTCTTAACCGTTGTCGCAGTGTATCAACCGATTTCACCTCTAGAACTGTGAGCGCTGCGCCGGTTGAGACGTTATATCGATGTTGCCCTGATAACATGATCGCTCCAAAGTTGCTATACAGAAGCGTGTCGCAATGTTTTCGGCATGCAAAAGTGCCTTCCATACCGTGTAGATCGGTTGCGAAGACCATTTTCAGGAGATCATACAGCCTGCAGACAGATGACATCTCAATTAAGGGTCTTCCAGGGCTTGATCCCTCAAAGCTATCTGTCACTAAGACTATCACCCCAAAAGAGCTTGTCCCATCAGAAGAGCTCGTCTTTGGAAGGACGTTCACAGGTAAGATACTGCCCTGCTGATGTATCTGGATGAAAAACTGACAGAGCACTCGTAGACCACATGCTCTCGATAGAATGGACAGCATCAGAAGGATGGCTTGCTCCACGAATAACGCCATACCAGAATCTCTCGCTTGATCCGGCAACATGCGTCTTTCACTACGCTTTCGAATGTTTCGAGGGCATGAAAGCATATAGGACTGCCGATGGCTCCATTCGCCTGTTCAGACCCAACAAGAACATGGAAAGGCTCAACAAGTCGGCTGCCCGAATAGCACTTCCTACCGTTGATGGTAAGAGCTTCACCAGCTTGATCGCCAAACTCGTCCAAATCGATTCCAGGTTCATACCAGATTCTCGGGGCTATTCGCTCTATCTTCGTCCAACCCTCATTGGCACCCAAAGGACTCTCGGTGTTGGCCCGCCCGGATCCGCTCTTCTCTATGTGATTGCTTCACCTGTTGGCCCGTATTATCCCACTGGTTTTAAGGCAATCTCTCTGGAAGCAACAGACTATGCAGTGCGTGCATGGCCAGGCGGCGTGGGCGATAAGAAGCTTGGTGCCAATTACGCTCCATGTATTGTGCCACAACTCCAGGCTGCCAAAAGAGGCTTTCACCAGAACCTGTGGTTGTTTGGAGAAGATGAGTATGTCACGGAGGTGGGCACCATGAATCTTTTTGTTGCTCTGCGGGACAAGGAGACTGGCAAGCCTGAATTGGTAACTGCTCCACTAGATGGGACTATCCTGGAAGGTGTAACAAGAGACTCGGTGCTTGCCCTGGCGCGAGAAAGAATGGTTCCAGAGGGTTGGGTGGTGAGCGAGCGATACCTCCGAATGGCCGAGCTCGCCCAAGCATCTCAAGAGGGTAGAATTCTGGAGGTCTTCGGTGCTGGCACAGCAGCTGTGGTCAGTCCTATTAGAAAGATCAGTTGGAAGGGTGAACTCGTCGATTGTGGACTCAAGAAAGATGTAGAAGCAGGCGAAGTTGCTCTGCAGATGAAAGCCTGGATTGAGGGTATCCAGTACGGAGATGAGGAGCATGAATGGAGGTAAGTGCTCCTTTTTGTTTGAAGACTTTTGCTCAAGCTGACAGATACAGTGTCAAGATATAGACAATCATCAATTATAGATGAAGAATTGCGAATAGAGCGGTCTGTACTTCCTGAAGTTCCCTCAGCCTGGGTGGGGTGTGGTGAATGCCAGAAAACCCCCAATCTGCGGTGTTGATAGACTCCCTACACACCGCACCAGGTCTTGCCCAGCTTTAATAATCCACAACTACATTTTGCGGTCCAGCTTGCTCGGCCTCGGATTTTCACCAACACTTCAGATTGCAGTCCAGCTTTCGAACATCAGACCTTTACGGCTTCCTATCCAACCAGCTTTCCATTCTTTGCTCGAGCAACAAAATTGGACTCTCGCCAAGCCGACGAGTATTCAGCACCGACTGCAAATTCAGCCAATCTTCCATCCTCACAAGCATCTTCTGTACCAACCATGTCTCAGACGACTCCATGGGCCCTTCCTGTCCCCTATTTCACCATGGAACTCGATACCGAAGATCTAGCTTCAAATAACGAGTACGGCATCAATGAAGAGACGGGGGAACTCTTCCAATACCCTCCACCACCAACACCACCATTCGAAGCACAAGCGGCGGCGTCCTCTGCGCCTGTTCTCGACCCTGCGCTTCCTCTCGACCCTGCGCTTTCTCTCGCTCCTGCGCCTGCTCCTGCGCCTGCCCCAAGTCGTCGATCTACTCGCACTCGCCAACCTACAACCCGCCAGACTGCTACTGCACCTCGCAAGGCAACAACTGGCCGCGTCTACAAGACCACAGACAAGCACCGAACCGCCTCCAAAGAAGCCCACGCACAATACAGAGACGGGGAAAGAGAAGCAGCCCGTGCGCTGCAGGGCATGGTCCCTGGGGACTTCCAGTCAGACGAGGTACCCAAGCTTGGAGGAACGAAGGAGAAGATGAGAGCGATGGAGGATGCAATGTCATACATTGCGGTGTTGGAGGAGGAGAACCGAGAGCTCAAACGTCAACTTGGTGGTTGAGTAGAGCAGGTGCAGATGGAGTCGTGGGAAGGGGGTCAAATTAGTTTAGCTTTATTTAGGCAGGCAATTGCCCAATAAGACCTAAAC